ACTTTTTAGTGTCTCTTTGTTTTGTGTATAAATAAATGTAACCTTAATATCTATTTATACATAGTTAAATGGAGATTTTCTCCATAGTCTTTTTTAGAATTTGTTTATTTTTATTTTATAAGAACAATGTACTAATTCTTCTTTTGATGGATGACTATACTTAAGGTCCATGAATCACATGAGTAAGTTTTCAATGGTGCCTTTTGATTAATCACATCGATCGTTGCTTTTCACAATTTGAGAAAATTACCCAAATGGAGAAAACCAAGATATTGACAAAATAAATAATTTTAGTGCCTAAATAGAACAATGAATTGCAACTTTTATCCAAAAAAAATTCCTGAAAACAAAGAGAACTCAGTACATGATCTCAAAACCAAAACGAGTTTACATTTTATCCCTTATTCAATGCCCATTGAAAATTTTTTTCTTAAAAAAGTTCTGACAGCGTATTCTTTGCAGTATTCATTTTTATTGGACATGTTAAATAAGGGTCTTATTGAAAAACTTGCACCCACGCGGTATTTTAGTGGGACTCACATGCATTTTACCCAAATAAGTGTATTTAAGAAAGTGTTATTAGCAAATTCCCCTTTTCTATTAAGAATCACATTTTAAATATGTTTTAAATACATATTTTACTTAATATATGACCTATGTATTAAATTTGTGTCTGTCCAATAATGAATATGTTTAAATCTCTTATACTAATGGAAAAATGATTTTTTACATCAGTTTGTATCTGATGTAGATATAAGCAATGTAAAAAGTTCAGTTGTTAAAAATTAATATAAAAGTGTCATTTTTTACATCGATTGTTTATAATAATCAATGTAAAAAAGTTCTTAATGTTTATTTTCATCAACGACGTCGATATTTTTTTTCTCTGAAAATTTTAACGTTTACGTCAATATTATCAATATATTTTCTTAAGTTAAATTAAAATTTATAAACGTCAATATTTATAGTGTTTGTCATGTTTTTCAAGTTCTTCATGTTTGTCGTGTTGATTGTGTTTATCGTGTTTATTGTGCTTATTATGTTCATCTTTGTTTAAATCTGAAACATAAAAAATATGCAATGTTTATCATATCGTTTAATAAGGAAGAAGAAACAATAAAAAGTGATATAACAAAAAAATGAAAGAAATTAAAATAATTGATGTACTTGAAAAATCTTTGCATGTTTGTTGTCCACTAAGCTAACAAACAGAATTTTCAGAAAGTTAAGAAAAATTTGTGTTCAAGTCTCTAATTTTTGCTATTTTACTGATGTGTATCTAAAAATTTGAAATTTGAATTGATTCTACATCAGTTTTCAGAAACAACCGATGTAGAATATACATTTTACATTGGTTGTTTTTACAACCGATGTAGAAAAGTTCACATAAATCTAAAAAATGTCAGCGCATTTTCTTTTATATAAATTATTTTTACAAACGATGTAGAAAGTACTTTTTACATCGGTTCTTTTGACAACCGATGTACAAAAATTTGTAAAAATTTCAAAAATATCATTGCATCTTTTTCTACCTTATTTCACAAAAAATTGATGTAAAATCCTGTTATAAAAAAATATTTTTGTACTAGTGTTAAAAAAGGTGATACTAAATTTAATTTTGAAATTTATGTATATAAAAATATGTCAATAAGAGGAATTATCGTGCTTGACACCTGACTATACATTGAGAGATCAATCACTTATTTTTATGTAAGCAATAATATGTGAGCTTAAAAAAATAAACTTTAATTTAGTGAAATAATTATTAAGTGTTGGCTAAGCAATTTCTAAAGGGAAATCTATTTCTTTTTTCGAACTGTTTCATTTTAAGTGAGATCATTTGGTGGAAATTTTTCAATTTGACACTCTTTTAAGTCATTTGATTTAATTTGAGAACATTTGGTATAACATTTTCAAAAAGTATATACAGAAAAATAAACATTTTGACCAATAAATCTAAAATATTCTGAATCAAAGTCTTAAAAGCCTAAAATATTCTGAATAATGAAAATTGAATGTTTTTATTAATATTTTATATATTGATAATATGTATTAATAATTTAAATAATTTTTATTAATAAATATATCAATTAGGTTTTCTTAAAAAAAGTTATACTAAGACTAATTTAGCATAAATTGTTAATAAATGTTAAATTTTTTTTGTATTGTACTTACTAATCAAAGATAAACAGTTTATAAAGATCAAAATAAGAGATGGATAGGCAACTCATCACGAAGAATTCTCTGGTGTTTGAGATACATTAAACTAGTATTATCACCTGTGCTATACATACATACTTTAAAAACATTGTCAAATTATTTTTTTTTGAATTTTTTATGTGATTTAACTTTGATATGTCTCATATATGATATTATTAAGATTTAAACTTAATATACACGAGGGATTTTATTTTTATTTAAATTTTTACAGATTTTAATCCTTACATTCAACCAAAAATAATAGATATTAAATTCTTCTTCAATATATATATTTATTTATATATAAAAGAACAAATTTTTTTTATATTGGTATAAATTTAAAAACTCTTACATTCAATCTGAATCTTTTATTTAACTTAAATCTAATAGATTATAATTTATTACCTTAGATATGTCATTCTGCATCCATGGCTCTATCAACCAATATAATAATATCATTGATCTTATTGTCAATACTCATTACATTGAGGTGCAATATTGGTGAGACCCTATGCCTTTTGTGCAATAGAGTAACCATAGAAATCATCAACGAATTAGCTAAACCACCACCTGGCTTAAATCTTACTTTGCATTGCAAATCAAAGAATGTTGATAAGGGACCACACACACTGGAGGTTGGAGAAGCATACAACTTTACCTTTCATAAGAACTTATTTCCTACTACATCGTTCTATTGCAGCTTCCAATGGCCAACACAACCATTCCCTATCAATTTTCCCACATATAATGAACACCGAGACCAATGTCGCACAGTTTGCTCTTGGAAAATATGGACACATAGTGCATGTATGCGTGATGGAGATTTTAGTGTGCTATCCGTTAGAGAATGAATCTTCACTAACTATGGATACATGTCCTCGGAATACTTCAAATGAGTACTTTTTTATATGATTTCTTACTATTGAAGATGCAAATATATATAATATGATGTACCTCGCTTAAATAATCAAATTTTATTTCGAAGGTGCATGCATGTCAATGTCTTTGTTGATTTTGAGTTGATCTTCTCTATACATGCATGCACAATCATTTCTTGCATTAACATGCTTATGCACACTTTACAGCTTTAGTTGAGAAAATATTTAGTTTTTAGTTAAATTTATATTTACCATTTTTTTTGTTGAATTAGCCACCATATTTTATTCACTTCATGGTTAGTGTTTTCATACTATCGCTTAATCCATCCAATCTAATAGACATGGACTTCTTGTCAATTAATCTTGTTGAATTCTATAAACTTTTATGAGTTTTGATTTATCTAATTGCATAGCATACACCACACCATATATGAATTTGTTGTAACCAAAGACGATCGAGCGTGCCATATAGAGAATAGACTAGGCCATTTGGGAAGAGCAATGAACAAATACAGAAAAAAATGAGTAAAATCCTGTGAGGAAGGGGAAGGAAAAAGAAAAATAAATTCAACACGGAAATTTAACCTATAAGAGGCTATAATGGAACTTTTTTTTGAAAAATCTTAATGTAACTGCAGAAGCAAAACTCAGTGCTTTCTGCTTAAACTTTAATTAGACCATATGCCAAAATTGTGACAAGATACATACCTACTCATTAGCAAATTTTCCAATTTAAGCTACTGAAGAATTTTTAGTGAGTACAATTGTATATATATATAGTTACGTGTTCACTGATTTCATTAGGGCTTTACTTTGCATAAAAGTGAAAAAAAAAGTATTTTAATATAATTTTTTCAAAAAATAAAGTGATATTTTTATCATTAAAAATAAAAATAAAAATATTTTCGTAAACAGAATGCCCCAAAGATGCCTTGGCATTTTCATTAATCTACTGTATATCAAACTAATTTGTGGCATTAGTCTCTCAACAATTCGTTCAAATTTAATTTCTAAATATTTTAAATTATTATGATCAAGTTCTTTCATTAGCTTTTCTCTACCTAAATTCTAAAATTCCTATTTTAATGGTTAAATAAGAGTGAGATGCACGTGCCCATCCACATATGTATTTTATTAAAAATTATATTTTTAATTGAAAAAGTGAAAAATAATTAACTCTAATAACAAATAATGCCATAATGATTTTAGAGGAGTTCATTATCTATTTCTAAAACACCATAAATTTTTGAATGTAGGAAACAATAAAAACTTTGACTAATACTTGACCAGAGAAGCTCAACGAGTTTATCAAAATGATTAACATTTTGATAAGTTGGTCAACAATTGACTTCAATTTTTTATGGTCAACAAAAATTAACTTCGAGTTAAGTTGGATCATTGACTGTGATGGGTTGGGCTCGGGTCTCGCGAAACAAATCTTTATGGGATATTAAATAGATTCGAGTCAAAAGATATATTTTTGGTCAACTTCTACAGAAAAATAGCCCAAAAGATAAAGGCCAAAGGCCCAGTTGAAAAAGTACCACGGAATCGTTTATGAAAAAAGAATAAAAATAAAAAACAAAACATGTAAATATTTTAAAAAATTAAACATAAATAAATTTAAATTTCAAAAAATACAATTATATTAAAAAATTAAAAAATTATTGCTTGTAATAATTCTAGTTGTCTCAAATATGATTATTTCTAATAATTGTTTTTAAAAAAGTATAAAATTATTGCTTCAATATAATTTCACTGCTCTCTCTATAAAAACAGTTTTATTTTTTAAATTAATTAATATTTTTAAAAATTTAACATTCCTGAACTTATTTACATGTAACAAATATTAAAAAGAAAATCAAGAACTTCCAAATGTATGTATATCAAAAGAATACATATAAGGAAAGCTTGCGAGAAAATATCTAAGAATATGATGTATGGTGAAGGACGTTGAGTTGCTTCATCAATCAACAACATCATCCTATGTTTATGTTGTGAACAGAACAGAGCAGGGTTGTGTTTGTGGAGCAGCAAGAAATCATGCTCTTTCTCTCCCTTCATTCTCATCTATCTCCAAATTCTTCATATTCTCACATTCACATTTCCTCTTCACTATTACCAAACTCCAATAACACTCACCATAATCACCAACCCTCTTCCCTTCCAATTCCCAAATCCCATTCCGATGTTCCCATTAAAGCTCCCACTCCTCCATGGATGCAGGGTCCTCTTCTTCTCCAACCCCACGATCTTCTTGACCACTCCAACCCCAAAGCCAAGGTGAAAAAATATGACCTTTCTGAACAAACATTGACGGGGAAAGAGGTTAGAGGGAAGAGGGTCATGAAAAAAATTGCCCAGAGGGTTGAAAAGCTTAACAAGGCTCAGAATTCAGCTGAGACTCAAACGGGTTATCCCAAAGTTGAAAACTTTGTGGGCTGTTTGGAGAGTTTGGAGGAAAATGAGGAGGTTAGAACTAACGGGAGAATGCCGTGGGAGAAGGATGAGAAGCTTGTTTTTCTGAGTTTGAAGAAGGAAAAGGTTATCACTGCTGCAGAATTGACTCTTGATAAGGTGCTGCTTCGAAGGTTGAGGAATGAGGCTGCTAGAATGAGAGTTTGGCTTAAGGTTAAGAAAGCTGGTGTTACACAAACTGTTGTGGATGAAATTAAACGGACTTGGAGGAGAAATGAACTTGCCATGGTTAAATTTGATATCCCTTTATGCCGGAATATGGATAGAGCTCGAGAAATTGTTGAGGTTTGGCATGTCCCTATTCTTGAAGTAGAATTTTGTAGCTTGCCATGTTAGACTACTTACAATTATTATATTACTGGAGTATGAATCGATATGTTAGTTTGCTAGTGTGTTGTGCGTGTGTATTTGTACATGATCGAAAAGGATTGCAAAGTTGGGCTATGCGGTGTTGTATGTATATTTCTTCCATGCTGACCATCTAATTCTGTGGTATGTTTTGGCTAGTTAAACATTTGTTTTAGTTTAATAAAATTTCCAATTTTTAAAGCTAAGGATATGAAACAAACTGGTTTTTCTAGTATGTTTGTAGATGCTCAATATAAATTGATCTGAGCCAGTTTGGCTAATTCTTGATATCTTATTTTTTGAGCGTCTTGTTACTGCTATATAATGCAGATATATTGCTATTCATGTATTAGTTGTATCAATGCTTTAATATTAATTCAATTGTTTTGACTTGTAGATAATTTTTGTGTTATGTGTTACATACATTTCACTTTATCCTTCCATGTTATCCAATGGCTACATTAGTGTTCATTTCTTGTGTGAATAGACAAAGAGTGGAGGCTTGGTTGTTTGGAGTAAGAAGGATGCTCTTGTGGTTTACCGAGGATGCAATCATCAATTGACCACTAAAGGTTCTTCTATTCTAAGAACAAATCATTATGGAATGAATTGGGTGGAATCAGCTTCCAAAGGTGATCTTTACTGGGTTAAACCCAACCATAGTTCGAGTGAGATGCCAAGCTGGAATGCTGATAATAAGGATTCTATATCAACAGGCATCCAAGATATGAACTGCCAACCTGTCTGTGGATCATTGTATGAGCGGGAAACTGATCGTTTATTGGATGGCTTAGGACCTCGTTTCATTGATTGGTGGATGCACAAGCCACTTCCAGTAGACGCTGACTTACTTCCTGAAGAGGTTCCTGGGTTTCATCCTCCATTTAGGCTTTGTCCCCCTCATTCTAGTGCAAAACTAACTGATTATGAACTAACATACTTCAGGAAGCTTGCTTACCCTTTACCAACTCATTTTGTCCTTGGTACCCTCTCGCTTCATGTAATCCTTCAATTTCTATTTCAGGCTTAGAATACCTATTTATTTTCTTGTTTTTCCTTTGATGTCAATTAATTAGTGCAATTTATACAAAATATTTTCCAATATAAACCAGAGGGCAAGTGTTGGCACAACAATGAAGTTGTTGCCTTCTGACTTGGAGATAGTGAGTTTAAATTCTAGGATAGCATCTCCACTTGTGGTGGTAAGTTCTGTGTACCCCAAGATCCACTAGTTGGGTGGGAGCATCATGCACTGAGTTGCCCTATTTTTACCAGTATATACCAGCTTAAAAAATAAATATACCATTTGTTATCTGTTTTGGTTTCATTTTTTAGTCCTTCTGGCAGTATTGATCTACTACTACTTATATAGATGGTCAAGCAGTATCTGTATCAAGAAGTAATTGATTCAAGAGTGATGAATCTGATCAATAACTAATAAAGAAAATCATAATTAATTGGTTGTAAATTAACAATAGCTTGAAAAAAATTGCCAAGCAGAACTATTTTCATGCTTATCCTTGTATGCAAGAGGTTAGTTAATTCATTTTGTCTTTTTATTATGAAGGAAGGAACAAAGGACTTAAAGGCTTAGCTGCTGCCATCTTAAAGTTGTGGGAGAAGAGTCTTATAGCAAAAATTGCTATCAAGTATGGAATTCCAAATACTGACAATGAAATGATGGCCAATGAACTGAAGGCAAGTATAATAAATTGTTTACTGTTCAGTATATGTGAGACACCACATCCTAGACCTTAGCATAGGTTTAGTCAATGATATTTTGTATATGAGGTTGACTTCTGCATGTTGCATTGAGTTGGAAATTGTTAAATGATTGCCCTGATTCGTTTTTGGAGGAAGAACTAATCACTTTGGTTGTTCTCGCTTGAAATGTAGCCTCATACAAGACTGGCAGTATGGCACTATACAAATTACTATAATGAAAGGGCCCATAATAATTAAATATAAGATTGATTGGGAAAATTTTCAATGCCTGTCAGAAGCTAAAATCATCTGTTGCACCCACAAGATTTTTCCAGATTAGCTTGAATATATGTTCTATGTTTACTAAATGCAGGAGACTGGTGGACTGAGCTGACCTTTTATAAATTGTATATTAGTTCTTGTACTGGTTTTGTTTTTGTTTCCTGAAACAGGTGTAAATAACTTTGATCTACATTGCAGCATCTCACTGGAGGAGTTTTGTTGTTGCGAAACAAGTTTTACATAATACTCTATAGGGGAAATGATTTCCTTCCAAAAAGAGTTGGTGCTTTGGTAGAAAAGAGAGAAATGGAACTTAAAACTTGCCAACTTCATGAAGAAGTTGCACGGATGAAAGCAATTCAAGCCTTTTCTTCTAATGATGAACCACCACAAGACACTAGTACAAGTGGAACTTTGACAGAATTTAAGAAAATCCAAACAAAGCTTGAGGATGTTAAAAATGTTGATGTAGATTTAAACATTCAACTGGAAGCAGAAATATATAGACTGGAGAAGGAATTGAAAGAGGAAAAGCATAAAGCTTTCATTGTGAGATTAGGTTTATTGACTTTCCTTTCACATTTGTCATACATTGATACTCTCATAAATTAATTGTATGGATTCTGCAGCTTAGCAAGAAAATAGAAAGATCTGCAAACGAATTATCAAAGTTAAATGCTGCATGGACACCTACTGAGCAGGACACTGACTTAGAAATAATGACAGATGAAGAGAGAGAATGTTTCCGAAAGATAGGATTGAAGATGCATAGTTGCTTAGTGCTTGGTAAAGAACTTCCTCTTCCCCTTTTCCAAATGCTGCACGTGACTTTTTGTTTTGAATTTTTTATTTTATCTGTAATCAAATGCTTTGTTGCTGAGTAATCTAATTGTTAAGCTGTCTTACAATAGTTAGGAACATGACCACAGGACTCCTTATAAGGCTTGAGCAATTCTCCCCACATTGAACTAGCTAAGTAAACGATCTTCACAAATAAAGCATGCCTTGCTAGTTGCCAACATAATCTCTCCAAAGGAATAACTGCTTGTAATCGTCTCTCTAGTTTTTTTTGAAGGGATAGAAAAATTAATTTTCTTTAAAAACATGAGTCCATGTCCATCAAATTACCAGACTATTTTAATGGGCTTAACAGCAAGGGGTGTTTTTTGATGTGAAAACTCAAATGAAATGAAATACCTGATTCTTTTATTAAAAAAAAAGGGAAATATTCTTCTCACTGTACTTTACTCCACACCTTCATAACACCAAAATTGATACCTATTAGGAGAGCATAATCACATCCAATTTTACCAACAATTATTATTCCCAAAATGATGCTATTATACGTTAACTACTCACTCATGTCTCTTTTAGCTGGAGAAGCTTCTCTAACGTTTTTCTGCTCTGAAAATTTATATTGACAAATGAATGCAGGCAGGCGTGGAGTCTTTGATGGTGTATTGGAAGGCCTACACCAGCATTGGAAATACAGAGAAGTAGTGAAGGTGATTACGATGCAGAGACTATTCAGTAAAGTCCTTGACACTGCAAAGTTGCTGGAGATAGAGAGTGGTGGAATTTTAGTTTCAGTTGATAAACTAAAAGAGGGCCATGCTATTATTATTTACCGTGGGAAAAACTATAGAAGAACTTCAATAAAGGTAGCAAAAAATCTTCTAACCAAAAGAGAAGCATTGCGTAGATCCCTTGAAATGCAGAGACTTGGAGTAAGTGGTTGATTACCTTCTTTTGCATCTATCATTCTATTAGTTCTTTTGAGAAATTCATATACAATTCCTTTATTGGTATTTTCCAATGATTAAGTTTCACTAGAAAAAAAGAGAACAAAATATTATGTGAATAATATTAGAATTGCTTAATTAATTGAGAGCCTGTACAAAATACATTTATATAGACTACTAGTCTCCTAATTAAGGAAATAAGAACTGTACAAATCAAATCTGTCAAATCTATCCTTAATTATAGAACAAATCTCCTAATTATATTTTACAACACTTCCCCTCAAGCTGGTGAAGGTATATCTGTCATTCCCAGCTTGCACATAAGATCTTTAAACTGTTCCGTTGGAAGTCCCTTGGTGAACATGTCCGCCAACTGCAGTCTTGAAGGAATGTACTCGGTGGCTACAAGACTGCTGTCCAATTTTTCCTTAATGAAATGTCGGTCTATCTCTATGTGCTTTGTCCGATCATGTTGAACTGGATTGTGTGCAATGCTGATGGCTGATTTATTATCACAAACTAGTTTCATGGGAGCTTCATACTTTATTTTGTATTATTTTCATCCATAACAGTTCACAGACCCCTTGTGCCATAGCTCTAAATTCTGCCTCTGCACTTGATCTTGCAACCACATTTTGCTTCTTGCTCCTCCATGTCACCAAATTTCCACCCAAGAACATTCAATATCCTGTAGTGGACCTCCTATCAACAACTGATCCTGCATTGTCAGCATCGGTATACACTTCCATGGATAGGTTTCCCTCCTTTTTAAATAGCAATCCTTTCCCTGGAGAGGCCTTCAAGTACTGAATAATTTTATTTACTGCCTGCAAGTGTTTTTCTCTTGGATCATGCATGAATTGACTAACTACACTAACTGCATAGGCTATGTTTGGCCTGGTGTGAGATAGATAGATGAGCTTTCCCACAAGTCTCTGGTACTGTGTCTTATCCACCTTTGGGCTTCCATCATCATTTCCAATTCTATGGTTTTGCTCTATGGGTGTTCCAGTGGTCTTACAACCCAACTTACCAGTCTCTTTAAGAAGATCAAGAATGTATTTCCTTTGGGAAATAAAAATACCCTGTCTGGAGTATGCTACTTCTATCCCACGGAAGTACTTTAGCTTACCGAGATCTTTCATTTCAAATTGAGCAGCCAACTTTTCCCTCAAATTTTGTTTTTTCATCTCATCGTCTCCTGCAATAATCATATCATGCACATAGACTAAACGTAGAGTGAGTTTGCTGTCTTGTGAGTGTTTTATAAAGAGAGTATAATCACCTTGGCTTTGTTTGTACCCTAGAGATACCATGGCCTGAGTGAACCTCCCAAACCAGGCCCGAGGTGACTGTTTGAGGCCATACAAGGCTTTCTTTAATTTGCAAACTTTACTTCCTCCACCAGCAACACCATATCCAGGTGGAATCTCCATGTATACTTCTTCATCTAAGCTTCCATGTAGGAATGCGTTTTTAACATCGAACTGATGCATCTCCCAACCAAAGTGTGCTGCCAAGGAGAGGATAATTCTGACTGTGTTCATTTTTGCCACTGGAGCAAAAGTCTCGTCATAATCAATCCCATAGGTTTGGGTGTATTCTTTTGCAACCAGTCTCGCTTTATACCTGTCCGGTGTGCCATCCTAGTGATACTTAACAGTATATATCCACCGACAACCCACTGCTTTTTTATCCTTTGGTCTCTCTACAATCTCCCAAGTCTCATTCCTTTTCAATGCACCTATTTCATCATGGCTTGAACTCAGTTCTTATCCTTTAAGGCTTCTTGTACTGATGTAGGGATTATAATAGAAATCAATAGCTAAAATAAAACTTTGGTGCTGCATAGAAAGATTTTTAATAGACACAAATTAGGATATAGGATATTTGGCACAAAATCTTTTTCCTTTTCTTAAGGCAATTGGTAAATTATCTGGGTTAAGATCACAAGAGATATTTAAGGTGTCCTCAAGATTATGAGTTCTTACCTCCGGTTCGGACAATTGAAGTTGCTGTTTGACCAGGTTTGGTTTTTCTCTTCGCTGATATTGAATCCCAAAACGTCTTACTTCATTATTCTGCATTGGTCCAGGATCTTTGTTACCATCCAGAAGAGTGGAATTTTGCAACAAAGGAATAGATGACAACTCAAGGAACTCAGCTTCTTCTAGGTTACTCTCCCCCTGATGCTGAGTACTGTTTCATGAAATGTGACATCCTTGGAGACATAGACACGACGACTTTGGGGTTGATAATATTTGTATCCCTTTTTGATTGAGGCATAACCTATGAAGACACATTTTATAGCTCGAGGATCTAACTTTCCCCGATAAGTGCTATGAACATGGACAAAAATTGAACAACCAAAGACACGATTTTGGAGGCTGGTCATAATGGGGTTAGAAGGATAGAATGAGGTCATGACTTGAACAGGGCTAACACCATCAAGAACACGAGAGGGCAATCTATTGATTAAATATGTGGCAGTGAGAACAACTTCTCCCGTAAGACTTAGGGACAGACATTTGGAAGAGTAATGATCTAATAACCTCAAGGAAATGACTATTTTTTCTTTCTGTAACTCCATTTTGTTGGGCGGTGTCTATACAGGTTAACTCATGAATAACTCCTTTTTCTTTAAAGAAATTGGAGAGATTTTGATTTACATACTCTCTCATTATCAGAACGCAATCTCTTAATAGGACTCCCAAACTGTGTTTGAACCATTTGGTAAAAATTAACAAACAGCTGAAAAACTTAAGACTTATCTTTCATGAGGAAAATTCAGGTAACCCCGTGTATAGTCATCAATAAAAGAAACAAATCACTTGGTATCAGAAATATTAGGAGTAGATGTAGGCCCCCACACATCCGAATGAACAAGATCAAAAGGTTTTGAACTTTTATTATTACTGGGAAGAAAAATTGTTCGATGATGTTTAGTAAATTGACTGACATCACAATGAAAGGACTCAACTGACACTTTTGTAAACAAAAAAGAAAATAATGACTTAAGGACACTAAAAGGAGGATGCCCAAGACGCCTGTGCTGAAGCCATATCTGGGAAGAAGATCAAGATTCTGAACTCATTTGATTGCTAGATGTGAGTACCTATTGTTTGGTGCACTCTTTACTGTCTTCATGCTGCAGGTAATATAACATGCCCTGCTCTTTAGCAATTCCAATCGTCCCCCTCGTGGCAAGATCCTGAAAAACACAATAGGAGTGGAAAAAAGTGACTGCACAGTTTTAAGTCTTGGACGATCTTATGAATAGACAAGAGGTTATTAGATAGTTGTGGAACATGAAGCACATTTTTAAAAAAAAGGGAAGATTGAAGTTGAATGTTGCCACAACCAGTAACAGGGGTATGAGAACCATTAGCAACAGTGATATGTTGGTTACCAGATGAAATGGAATAGGATGAAAAATAAGGAGAATGAGATGTCATATGATCAGTAGCACCAGAGTCTATAATCCAGATATTCTCAGTATCAGAACCCTTAAAGGATAAGAAGCTAGAACTCTTACCAGTCATGGTTAAGGAACAAGAACTAGATATCTTACTAAGAGAGTCCATAAGAGCCCTTAGGCGTTCCAACTCTGCTTTGCTGAGAGCCAGTACCTCATTTTCTGCTGTTTGGGCAGATGGGACAGTTTTATAGTCAGATGTCACTTGATTAGCACGTCGTTGTGTAAGCCCTTTGAACCCTCCAGTTCGCTCAAGGACCTTCTCTTTGCCATGGAGCCTAAAACATGTCTCCTTAGTGTGGCCGTCTTCCTACAATAACTACACCATCTATCTTCACGACTAGCTTTTATTGGTGGCCTTCCAAATGAAGAGCCTTTTACAGGACCCTTGCTACTAGCTAAGGTTGAACCATCCATAGAACTCTTGTTCGTAGCCAAGGCTGAACCATCAATAGAACTATCCCCTTCCAGCATAACTGACCTCCGAGTTTCTTCACCTCGTACAATGTGAAACACCTCTGAGAGAGAAGAAAGCTCATTCTTGCCCAAAATCTGAACCCGAATTGGATCAAATTCTGAGTTTAGTCCATGCAGGAACTTAAAGATTCGCACATTTTCTAGGAATGCTGTCAGTGTGTTTAAATTAGTTGTACACTCCATTTTCAAATTCTGATACTGGTCCAACTCAATTCACAAACCATTCAATGTTCCGTAGTAATCTGTTACTGAAAGACTCCCTTGTTTGGTATTAAAGATCTTGCTCTCTATTTCATAACATGCTGCAGTATCCTTCTTCATAGAATACATCTTTCTAAGGTTCTCCCAAATTTCCTTTGCATTGGAAAAAAACATGCAATTCTGACTGATCTCCAGTGTCATAGAATGCCACAGCCAGGTCATGATCAGAGAGTCTTCATCATCCCAAGCTTCATATTTTGGGTCCGTTTTGGCTGGAGGGTCTCCTTCAATGTGACTCAACTTCTTCCGTCCCTTGAGGGTTCTGCGAACCAACTGAGCTCACTGTAGCAATGAAGGCTGCCTAAAAGATGCAGAAGCAGAGCCCCCTAGATCGGGAGCTCTGATATCAACTTGAAAAAAAAGGAACAAAATATTATGTGAATAATATTAGAATTGCTTAATTAATTGAGAGCCTATACAAAATACATTTATATAGACTACTAGTCTCCTAATTAAGTAAATAAGAACTGTACAAATCAAATCAGCCAAATCTATCCTTAATTACAAAATAAATCTCCTAATTATATATTACAACAGTTTCATTTTCCATTCAAGACTGATTTGCTGAATTTGTTTCAGTCACTGAAGTTTTTTGCTCGTCAGAGGGAGCAGATGATCTCCGAATTGGAGCTGAAACTGGTAAATCTCAACAATCTCTGCTTGAAACTGGCATTCATGTATAACAATATCAACAAATAACAAATCTGTCAATTTGTTTTTTTCATTTGACCAGAAAACTTAGATTTCAATACGTTAACTTTATTTGTTGTACTGTATAACTGGGATTCTTTTTGCAATTTTAGGCAAACCTACGGCAGAGAAAGGAAATTGAGCTGAGAGAACTTGAAAATTGATGCATGCATGTTTGAATCATTATCATGCTGCAACTGCTCTCATGTTTTCTGCTCATTGACGGTAGACAAGATTAGGCATACCAGAAATCCAAGCATCAGCAAGCAACATGTTTTTGCAAGTAAGCTTTTCACTTCACGAGTATTGTAAAAAATTTCTTGTTTGAGTTCAGTTGTTCAAACAAACATTTATTTCCTATTTAAAAAAAAAAATTATTCTGATGCTATTACTTTCATCACTATTTTCACGACCTTATTCTTAAAGGTGATAAAAATGGATTATTGTAGATCCTTTTGTTCTTATTCTTTAGTCTGAAAGGATCAAAGGACTTGGTGGTCATTTGGTCCCATTTGTATATATTTTTATTTTGTTTTTAATGTCTTGAATTGTACCTTTCCGACCATAAATCAATAAAGAAAATTTCTGAAGCCGTTTCGTTACCTTTAAAACATCGAAACAAAGGTGAGGGACCTTGAGCTACATCCTAAATCATGAATTTTGTCTAGAACTTGCTGGTGTTTTCGTTGATGTCCTCACACACCAATACTCTTCAGGATTTTGTGTTCTTCCGTGTTTAATTAATTGGTTATATGTGAACTTCCTTTTCAGATAATCAAAGTGGCATCTTTGCTGCTGTATGGATCTGGAAAACTTTGAAACAACAATTCTGCATGGAAGAAATGAAGCTTGAAGCATATGCACAAATGTAAATGAGCAGGGAAGATTGTGGAATTTTTTCCTTTTTCAGAAATCAAATGTTTTCCTTCTTCACTCATGTTCAATCATCATCAACTTCCTGTAAGTTGAAGCTGAATCCTGTAAAGGCATAGCTTGCTTTTAGAAGTTAAAAAAAATGCTTGTACAAGGTTGTTCCATCCTGTGAAGTGTTCTATAGGCATAAAGTTATGAAGCTGCCAGAGATGTATTTTTTCAAAAAGTAATGATTCTCTTAAACTTATCTTTTAAGAGTAGTTTTACTAATAAATGCCAAATAAGCATTTTTTTTTTCTAATTTGTTATCGGTACTAGTTATTGAAACTAAAAGATTTCATAACGAATGATAATGTTCTTAATTACTCGTGTTATAAATATACTTTATCTGGTGATGCAATTTATCATGTAATGTAAATGTTTAAATATTTGTAATTTAATGGTATTTTTTTATTTATGTTTGATGTAACATGTCATATTATAAAATAATAAAGTAGGGTGAGAGTGCTAATTTTTAAATTTTATACAATTAATTTATTGTATGAGAATTTTAAATTAAATAGTAAAAAAATTAATAACAAGTTATTGAAAAGAATGTTTTATAAAGTTTAACACTTAATGATATTTAATCTTCTTGTTTTCTGATACACTACGCGTGCATGCTTTGCCACCATGCATTCAGTTTCATTCTTTCACTCTCCTGAGCCTTGCAAATAAGTTGCTTAAATATTATATACAATCAAGTGTTTTGTTTTTCATATTTTAATTGTCACAAAAAGTTATACCGTTGTTTATATCTTCAAATTTCATTCCAAAATTTTCAGAATTTTTATTTTTTATGAACTCCATTCAGTGAGATAAGATTTAGTTACTATTGTAGTTGTTTAAATCTTCATATTTCACTCTACATAACTTCTCGTGGTTGAAAAACTAAATTTGTCTTCGCATAGTAATAAACTAAAACGTGCGCCATTTGAGTGAACAATGTTTCTCAATTTTGTTTTTCAACAGTCACAAGGTTCACATCTGTACACAACTGTTGAAGGGGGCAATTCTATAAATGTTTGGCAAATAAACAGTATAAATGAGACCACATGAACTTAAGTGAGATTAATTAGATCACTCATCGCATTAAATAACAATAGGTACTTAGATAAAGCATATATTATATGATGAATAAAGATCAGCATTGTGTAAGACAGTTCAAATATCAGGAAGTACCATTTGTTATTCAACCATTTTAAACATCAGACGTATCTACAAATTCCATCTATATTTTCAAGGATTTAAAGTTTGACAAATCATTTTTGTCATAGAATGTTTTGCTTAAGAACCTGTATTCTAACTTACTACACACTTACCTCTATGCTTTTGCTTAACTCATTCAATTCAATGGAACCACCCTTTTGAATTGTTATTGAATTTGTATCCTGCATATTGCTAGAAGATATATCTGAAATTTGTAAAGGTGGCCTAGCTGGAGAACACAAGACAGGCTTTGGAGGATATGGCACTGACTCAAGTGCTCCTTCTAACATCTCTACTACTTTACTCATTGATGGCCTATCTGATGGATTTATTTGAACACACCATAGACTCACCAAAGTCATCTTTCTTACCTTTTCATTTTCTTCTTCTGTGGTAACCAAACAACTAGAAGGAATATCACCTTGTTCAAGATCCTTGTAAATCCAATCTGGAAAATACATTTCACTCGTATGTGATCCTCCACTATCGTAATTCTTTCTTGCCCCAATCATTTCAAGAATCAACATGCCATAACTATACACATCAGATTTGTGTGAAACTCCACCAAATGTTCGGCTAAGCACTTCAGGTGCAATGTACCCTATAGTTCCTCTTGTGCCCAATATGGACACAATACTCTCTTTCTTTAGACATATTTTTGCTAGTCCAAAGTCAGATATTTTAGGGCAAAAATCTTCATCCAAAAGAATATTTTGGGGTTTGATATCAAGATGCAAAATCCTTGTGTTGCATCCTCTATGCAAGTATTCTAGTCCTCGAGCAATGCCAATACCAATTTGGTACAATGTGTACCAATCCAAATTACAAATAGCATTTGGATAACCACTTTTATATATGAAATTATCCAATGATCCATTAGGCATAAATTCATATATTAGTGCTCTTTTCTCCATGTCATAACAAAAACCCAATAGTGAGACAATGTTTACGTGGGATGTTCTACTAATACTAGCAACTTCATTTATGAATTCTTCTCCATTTCCCTTATTCTCACTAATTACTTTTACTGCAACAGGACGACCATCAGGTAATGTAGCTTTATAGACAACACCATATCCTCCTTGGCCTAGTTTATTTAGAAATGTGTTTGTGATCCTTTTCACTTCTGGATAACTATATCGCTTTGGTGCCAGAGAACCATAACTTTGCATGAAAACCTCCACACTATTGTCAACAAATTTTCTTCTCTTCGTGAAGATCCTTCTTTTTCCAAAACTTAGAAGCCTCTTATGGTAACAAATTATCATAAGAAACACTACTACTCCAAAACCAGCTGCTGATGCACCTGAATGTACAGAAAAAGGGATAAAAATGGACTTGGATCAATTTTAGAAGAACCTTGCCACCGTATTTGGAGACAATAAACATTTATAACTGAAACTACAATTTTTTTATACCTATCGCAATCGTAAGCCTCCGGTTCCTTTTTGAAGATGATCCTACAGGTCAAAATAGAAATAGATATAGATCGATTCAGAAGAGGCTATGAACAATTTATGACTCTCAAAAGTTGTTTTCAATTTATTTCTATAAACTTCTTGGTATAACTTACCTTATCCTAACAAATTCCATTGTTAAATATATAATACAAGTCATTGTTTAAAAAAAACAAAAACTTATTGAATAAGTGGCTAAACAAGCACCCATAATTTGTTACAATAATTCTTATTTATTGTCTAAATATCATTGATGCATTTGCTACTGGACCTCTTTTGGGTTCTGTTATTCCCAGGAGAACATGTATACATTCTAAGATGCACATTTCATATGCATGCATTGTCAATCCCATGAAACTTCTTGCTTTTCTATTCTTGTTGACCTACAATAATTTATTATTTTAGAGGGTGTTACAACTTTACTTATTTTAAGTCTCAATGTTTTTCTATTATACATATGAGAAAAATAATATTTGTACAATTAATGTGTATGATATTTTTCAACAAATTGAAGAGAAAAAGAAAGAGAAGAGAAAAAAAAAAAAGCGACAAAACAATTTTATTGTAGTTAAAAATTTGTTATAAGAATTTATTGTGATAGTAGAATAAATATTTCTAATCTCTGTCTTCAAATACAAGTCTTAAATGCTCAAAGTTTTCAAAAGGGCTTCAGTCGCAAGAATTGTGTTTCCTTTTCTTAGAACTGCTTTTACCAATGAAGTGACGGATTATATCGACTACTCTACTAATCTTTAAAAACAAAAAATAATAAGATTTCTTTGATTATGCATGATCAGTAAACATTGAAGTTTTTGATCATCAATAGAACGTAAGAAAAAAGATAGAGGACATTGCTTAGTGGATCACCATCACTGGCCTGCAGAAGGTAGAGATGGAGATCTTGTGTATGACTATTATTTCTCATCCCTAACTTAAAAATATTGATAAATAATGTAAAGTGATAAGAAAAAAATATGAAAATTAATTTTTAAGATTAGTTTCAAGAATTTAAAAATAATAAGATTTTATTAGAAAGATATGTAATTATTATATAAAAATATAAAAGTGTAATAAACGTTTTCTTTCTTTATTAAAATGTATCATTTTATATCCTTAAATTTAATTTCAAGAGTTGATGTTAACAAAATAAAAAATGATGGAAATGAAACTCTTTGTTTATTATAAGAAAGAAAATGGATGAAAAGAGAAAGAAACTCATAAAAAATGAATAAATTATTTAATATATGAGGAAGATGAAAGAAATTAAAGAATAAGGAAATAAATTTTCCGTGAATAAACAAATGTGCCCCTCATAATTTAATAATTTTTTTCTAATAAAAAATATATTATTAGATGGGATTCCTTAAATAACATATTTTTAAAAAAATTTGTAACATATATAATTTCATACATAGGAGTACGAGAAAATGAATGATATGACATATGTGAGGATCTTTCTGATTGTGAATCACACGAAGTTGGATGAGATCCATCCTTGCAGAAACACTTGAATCCTCCTCCATGGAAGCCACACTCTCCACCAGAAGCAATGCATGTCTTGCACACCTCGTAATTCCCCGTTCACTGTAACCCAAACCCATTATCTAATGCTTCGTTTATTGATCTATTAGGTAAAAATGAAGCTTGGGTTCCAAATATGGGAATCATAACACTCATGCAAAACTCCGAGTACGAGGATCCCATGATGTAATAGACAACTTTGTCAGCATCGCATTTAACATTAAACATATATTTTAGATTTGGAGTTGGATCGCAATCATAAAACTAAGTCACGTTCACAAGCACCCCATAATATTGAACCGGAGTATTATCAAATGTATTGTTATTCGTATCACTCACAAATACACTATCCCAATAATCGTCCCTAGCAACAATGAGTGTTTGTGTTGTGTAGTACCAAAGAAGAATACGGTATTTGATGGAATTGATGGTGATCTTTGGGAAACTACCTTCACATTTGAGCTCCAACTGAGGTTGACCACAATACTGATCTCTATTTCCTCCCCAGAATGGGAATTTGAGGTTTGAAACACTGCTTCCGCAGCTGAAAGTGTTGTTGCACTTTGTGTAGTGATTATCATTCGCATAGAGATATGTTGGAATATTGGTTGAGATGAGGATAGTGACCCAGAAAAAGAAAAGGGAAGATGGGTGAAGCAGAGGTTTCATTCTTCCAAAGGAAAAGAAAAGAAGGTTGGTGTGGGGAGAAGTGAGATGAATGAGGTGTGGGCAAATAAACTCCACGTAGATTATTTATTTTGGGAAGGGAAAAAATATCTTCACATCCTCTAAATGATGTAATTTAAATAAAATAAAATAAAATCACTGTGTGTCTCTAAACATAATGCAAATTTAAATATAAGAGTTCTTACTATAAATAGAATAATCATATGTAAATGTAATCTAGATTTACCTTACCTAATTTCTAACATTTTTGAGTTACTAAATGATGTGTTTCAGTAGAAGATAAAGAGTGATAAAAAAATATGATGAAAAAAGATATTAAGGTAAAAAGCAAAAGAAAATAAAAAATAAATGTAAAAAAATAAGTATAAAAATATAATTATTATTTTAAGAATAGAGTAATAAACTCGCATTTGATAAATAATGTGACTTAATAAGAAAAAGTATATTTTTTTTTTACAAAAAATACTGTATAAATATATGAAATTAATTGTTGTTGACTTTTAACGCATGTAAATTTCCACTGTTTGAATTGATGACTTCACACGCTTGTAAATTTCCAAAGTTTGAAGGTGAGTGAGGGAGACAGCAATGAAGAATAGAGTTGGAAATTTGGAGTAGCTCTTAGATAGCGTGTTGACAAGGTAGTTAAATATCTCACATTTTAGAGTTTTATTATATTTTACTTGCAACCATTTTCGATTTTTATATGTGAAATTATATATGTATATTAGTTATGTATAATTTTTATAAATTAGAAAAAAAGCACAAGATAAAATAAATAACATAAAAGAGAAAAAAATATAAAAATTATTATATGAATAATATTACTCTTTATACTTGATGATGATGATGATTATTTAAAGTCTTGTAATATTATAAATGAACCATGTCAACCTGCGGCCCTCCATCGTAGACAAGCTACTAAGAGGAATGGTTGTCTTCTATATAAAAATAAAATATCATATTTTTTTTAGATAAATTTTTCAAAATTGTTTTTTATTGATTATTATTTTATAAAAATATTTTTATTGGAGATAAAGTATTATATTTGGTAAAAAAAAAGATAATTTTGTTCAAATAATTGATAAATTTAATGTTATTAATAAAGATAATTACATTACATTTATTAATTTCGGTGAAGTTGTTAAAAGAATCTTATTTTCAATATTAAAGGTAAAATTATTTTAATTCCACTTTTTATATCGGTCAATTTTCTTAAAAATAAAATAATTTATAAAAATAGTCAATTTACAAAATAACTATATTGACTTTCTTTAAAAAATATTTTAATAACATTTTCTAACACAATTATTTAACATACTCTTAATTATTAAGTAAAATTTATAAAGTTTATGCAAGTGTTACTTTTAATTTTTATTGAGGTAGAATTTCAAACTAATTAAATAACAATACCAGCGTTACCTGCATGATAACCTATGTTTTGTATTAAAAATAACCCATGTTTTATAAACTACATACTAAACTAGATTAGTGAAAAAAAGATAAAGAGTACTGTGAGAAATGAAGAAACAAGCGTACCCGTGTCAGAAACTGAACATGAAAGTTCATCCTTGCAGAAACATTTGAATTCTCCGTCAAAGCCACACTCTCCACCAGAATCAGTGCATGTCTTGCACGCTTCAGAATTTCCCGTCCATTTCAACCCAAAACCGTTATCTAATGCATCGCTTACTCTATTGGTAGTTACAAGTGAAGAATTGGAATTAAAAATTGGAATCACCACAATCGTGCATGAACCCACCTGGTACGAAGGTCCCAGAACGTAGTAGACAAATTTACCAGAACCGCAGTTTTGAGAATACGGATTCATATTTGGCATTGAAGGGCAATCATAAAACAGTGTCACGTTCTCAAGCAGACCATTATCATACTGAAACGGGGTGTTATCAAACGTGTTGTTTTTAGGATCACTCACGCAGATATTATCCCAGTAATCGTCCCTAGCCACAGTGAGTTGGTTTGTTGTATTATCCCAACCCAGAATACGGTAGTTGATGGCACTGATGTTTATCTTGGGGACATTTTCTTCGCATGCGAGTGCCTCCAATTCAGAATCACCACAATACTTTTCTCTGTTGCCTCCCCAAAAGGGGTATTTGAGGTCTGTGATGCTACTTCCGCAACTAAAAGCCTTATTGCAGTTGGTGTAGTGGCTATGATCATCAGAAAGACATGTTCGAATATTGGTTGAGGTGACAATAGTAACCCCGAACATGAAAATAATTAGAGGTTTCATTGTGTGACACCACAATTATTAAGTCGTAAACTGCACATAGATCATTATATTGGGAATTGAGTTATAAATTAGCCTTTCACTTTGAAGTTTCAACGCGGCAAATTTCCCCAATTAGTTGTTTCTACGAAACCGGCCGGGGCGAAGCAGTGTGACATTGAATTAGAATAACTTTTGCAAAACGCGTGGACTAGGTAGTTTAATTAAATATAATATTTAATTATAGTATTTTTAGTGTTGACTGTAGATAGCTTGAATAAATAACTCTTTCTCAATTTTATATATCAAAGCAAGCTTTATCTCCAATCTTTAATTTTTAAAGTTGAATCTCAAGTTTGACGTTACTTTTAATTATTATTGTTGATATTAGATAAAACATTTGGTCGTTATAGATTGATAAAATGCTCAAAACACAGTCTTCATTAACAAATAAAAAATCCAAATATCAATGATCTTAGCCATACCTGGAGGAGGAGGCTCTTGGGATGGTGGAGGTGCTTTGGCATCTGGTGATGAATTTGAACAAGTTGGTTGATTTGATTTCGAGTCATAACCGCAGATTCCATCTGATTTTACACATTTCTCACATTCTTCAATACCTGCTATCCATTTCACCATAAATCCATCTCTGATTGCCTTCTGTATGTTGGTGAAATCTCTAATATCAACCAATGATGGAGAAACTGGAACTACCACACTTGCTTTGCAAAACATAGGAGGAGGGGAAAACCCAAACTGAGGATAAACATAATCAATAGCTCCATTTAGGTTACAAGGAAGAAGTCCAGCATTTGAAGGAGTGCAACCATAGAAGAGGGTAAGATGCTTATCCTCTGACCCATAAACAAAGAGCTCAGTGTCAAGGCTGGTGTTGAAAAGTTTTGAAGGGCATATTCCTTGTAACTGTAAGTAGTCCACTCTGGTGATTTTCATAGTATGTTCAATTGGGTTGGCCACCAAAACCTGGTAATTGACATTATGGATGGTTATGTAGCTGATATTTTTCATGCAAATGAGATGCAACGAAGGGTGGCCACACCAACTTGGACGGTTATCTCCCCAAAATGGAAAACCAATGTTTCTTATATTCCCACAACTTATCTGATTAGTACAATTCCTATAATAATCGTAGGAGCTTAAATGTGGAGGTATCTGAATTAGTACTAGGAGGATTATGTATTGATAGAGCATAGGGATAAGAGGCAGGTGAATAAGCAAAGAAGCCATTGGGAGAGTGCAAAGATGAAGTCTGCAACAATGTATTCTATGTGAAGTTAACATTATTTTATGATGGAAATTGCTTTCAAAGAAATAGACAGTAATTGTGATTTGTGCATAATTTTGGATGTTTAGGTTGGCTAAAGAATGAGCTGTGGGCCAATTAGGCATTTATATCCGTGTAGACGTCGTTAAGTGAATTTTAAACAATATTATTATCATCCGCAAGGTATTCATGGGTAGCCGTGAATATTTATTAAAAAATATTCTAGATTTTTTTTTAAAGAAAATAACCTAATATAAATTAATTTATATATCAATTATAATTAGAATAAAAAATAAAGAGCCTAAGTAATAAAAGTAGTATAATATTTTGTTACAATAATAAAAATATGATATTAAATTAAATATGATAATACAATATTTAAATATACATAATAATATTTTAATAATTTTACCCATAAATACGGTTAATTTTGCCATCGATATAGCCGAAAACTCCACGTAGCCGATTATTTTGGGAAGGGAAAAAAATATCTTCACATCCTCTAAATGATGTAATTTGTTTGAAAAATTAAAATCACGGTGTTTAAATATAAGACTTCTTACTTAAATAGAATAATCACACGTATGTAGATGTAACGTAGTTTTACATTATTTTCTAACATTTTGGAGTTACTAAATGATGTGATTTTAGTAAAATATAAAAAATTGATTAAAAAAAAATAAAATTTTTGACTTTTAAATAATATTTATGACACACTCTTTTTGTTTATTAATTTTTTATTATTAATATTATTATACTTTAATTTTATATTTTTATATTATAAATATTTATTTTTCATAAAATATTATTTTTAAAAATATAAAATTAATGTTGTGAAGGTGGGTGAGGGAGACAGCAATAAAGAATAGAGTTGGAAATTTGAAGTAGCTCTTAGCGTGTTGACTAGGCAGTCAAATTTCTCATAACATTTTAGAGTAATTTATTATATTTTATTCAGAATCATTTTTAATTTTTATATGAGAAATTATATTTGTATATTGACTATGTATATTGTTTTATAAATAAGAAAAAATCATAGGATAAAATAAATAATATAACAGAGAAAAAAAAAGCATACAAAAATTATTATATGAGTAATATTACTCTATATACTTGACGATGGCTGTTATTGTCTTGGAAGCTACTGAGAGGGACGCTAACCATGTCACATAGATCTTAAATATAAGAATAAAATATTATGATATTTTTACATAACATTTTTACAAATTGTTTTTTGTATTGATTATTTTTTATAAAAATATTTTTAACCCATGTTTTATTACCTACGTACTAAACTAGAATTTGTAGAAATAAACATAAGAGGTCTCATTATGAACTTGGGCTGTGCTAGATGGGGCCACCATGTGAGGTCTCGATTTTAGCTTTCTTATCGTTTAGAAGTTAGAAGTATTTAATACACTTCATTAAATAATTTTAATTGTTCTAAAAATAAATAAATGCTTTTGTATGAAATATATTCTATTTTCAATTAAAAAAATCTTTTTTATCAAGAATGAAATTAGAAGTTTTATCAAAGGCTTAGGATCTAACCTACGTTGGGTCTTGCCTTGCTTAGGCTTTTGCACTAAATAAGCCATATCCAAATTAATTTATAAGCTTATTTAACCAAAAAATAATAATCTTACACCATCTAAAACCTTTTTATGCTCAATAAATATTTTTATTTAAATAAATATAAATAATATATTAACATTATTATTATTTTATTATAATAATATTTTATATAACGCCTTGAAATTATGATTTTCATTCATTTATTTAAAGCTTTAAGTTTGTCAATTTATTAGAGTTATATTATTCCTATTTTTTTACAGCAAGTTTTACTAATAAATGCCAAATGAGCTTTTTTTTTCTTTGTTATCGGTACTAGTTATTGAAACTAAAAGAGTTTACAACGAATTATAATGTTCTTAATTACTCGTGTTATAAATATACTTTATCTGGTGATGCAATTTATCGTGTAATGTAAATGTTTAAATATTTGCAATTTAATAGCAATTTTTTATTTATGTTTGATGTAACATGTCATATTATAAAACAATAAAGTAGGGTGACAGTATTAATTTTTAAATTTTATAAAATTAATTTATTGTGAGAATTTAAATTAAATAGTTGAATTAAAAAAAATTAGTAAAAAGTTATTGAAAAGAAAGTTTTATAAAGTTTAACACTTAATGACATTGAATCTTATTGTTGTTTTGTGATACACTTCGCGTGCATGCTTTGCCATTCATGCATTCAGTTTCATTCTTCCACTCACCGAGCCTTGCGAATAAGTTGCTTGAATATTATATACAATCAAGTTTTTTTCTTTTTCTTCATATTTTAATTGTCACAAAAAGATTATACCGGTGTTTATATCTTCAAATTTCATTCCAAAATTTTCAGAATTTTTATTTTTATCAACTTCAGATTTGATTACTATTATAGTAGTTTAAATCTTCATGTTTCACTCTTCTTAACTTCACGTGGTTGAGTGATAAACTAAAACGTGCGCCATTTGAGTGAATAATGTTTCTCAATTTTGTTTTTCAACGGTCACAAGGCTCACATCTGCATTTCTATAAATGTTTGGCAAATAAACAGTATAAATGAGACCACATGAACTTAAGTGAGATTAATCAGATCACTCATCGCATTAAATAACAATAGGTACTTAGATAAAGCATAGATTTTATGATGAATAAAGATCAGCATTGTGTAAGACAGTTCAAATATCAGGAAGTACCATTTCTTATTCCACCATTTTAAACATCAGACGGATCTACAAATTCCATCCATATTTTCAAGGGTTTAAAGTTTGACAAATCATTTTTGACATACAATGTTTTGCTTAAGAACCTGTATTCTAATTTATTACACACTTACTTCTATGCTTTTGCTTAATTCATTCAATTCAATGGAACCATCCTTTTGAATTGTTATTGAATTTGTATCCTGCATATTGGTGGAAGATGTATCTGAAATTTGTAAAGGTGGCCTAGCTGGAGAACACAAGACAGGCTTTGGAGGATATGGCACTGACTCAAGTGCTCCTTCTAACATCTCTACTACTTTAGTCATTGACGGCCTATCTGATGGATTTATTTGAACACACCATAGACTCACCAAAGTCATCTTTCTTACCTTTTCATTTTCTTCTTCTGTGGCAACCAAACAACTGGAAGGAATATCACCTTGTTCAAGATCCTTGTAAATCCAATCTGGAAAATACATTTCACTCGTATGTGATCCTCCACTATCATAATTCTTTCTTGCTCCAATCATTTCAAGAATCAACATGCCATAACTATACACATCAGATTTGTGTGAAACTCCACCAAATAATCGGCTAAGCACTTCAGGTGCAATGTACCCTATAGTTCCTCTTGTGCCCAATATGGATACAATACTCTCTTTCCTTAGACATATTTTTGCTAGTCCAAAGTCAGATATTTTAGGGCGAAAATCTTCATCCAAAAGAATATTTTGGGGTTTGATATCAAGATGCAAAATCCTTGTGTTACATCCTCTATGCAAGTATTCTAGTCCTCGAGCAATGCCAATTCCAATTTGGTACAATGTGTACCAATCCAAATTACAAATAGCATTTGGATAACCACTTTTATATATGAAATTATCCAATGATCCATTAGGCATAAATTCATATATTAGTGCTCTTTTCTCCATCTCATAACAAAAACCCAATAGTGAGACAATGTTTACGTGGGATGTTCTACTAATACTAGCAACTTCATTTATGAATTCTTCTCCATTTCCCATAGTCTCATTAATTACTTTTACTGCAACAGGACGACCATCAGATAATGTAGCTTTATAGACGACACCATATCCTCCTTGGCCTAGTTTATTTAGAAATGTTTTGGTGATCCTTTTCACTTCTGGATAACTATATCGCTTTGGTGCCAAAGAACCATAACTCTTCATGAAAACCTCCACACTATCGTCAACAAATTTTCTTCTCTTTATGAAGATCCTTCTTTTTCCAAAACTTAGACGCCTCTTATGGTAACAAATTATCATAAGAAACACTACTACTACTCCTCCAAAACCAGCTGTTGATGCACCTGTATGTACAGAAAAAGGGATAAAAATGGACTTGGATCAATTTTAGAAGAACCTTGCCACCGTATTTGGGGACAATAAACATTATAACTGAAACTACACTTTTTTTTTTTTTACCTATCGCAATCGTAAGCCTCCGGTTCCTTTTTGAAGATGATCCTATACGGTTCAAAATAGAAATAGATATAGATCAATTCAGAAGAGGCTATGAACAGTTTATGACTCTCAAAAGTTGTTTTCAATTTATTTCTATAAACTTCTTGGTATAACTTACCTTATCTTAATAAATTCCATTGTTAAATATATAATACACAAGTCATTGTTTTTTTTTTAAAAAAAACTTATTGAATAAGTGGCTAAACAAGCAGTTATCCAAATGCACCCATAATTTATTACAATCATGCTTATTTATTGTCTAAAAATCATTGATGCATTTGCTACTGGACCTCTTTTGGGTTCCGTTATTCCCAGGATAACATGTATACCCTCTAAGATGCACAATTTCATATGCATGCATTGTCAATCCCATGAAACTTCTTGCTTTTCTACTCTTGTTGATCTACAATAATTTATTATTTTAGACTTTACTTATTTTAAGCCTCGATGTTTTTCTATCATACATATGAGAAAAATAATATTTGTACAATTAATGTGTATGATATTTTTCAACAAATTGAAGAGAGAAAGGAAGAGAAGAGAAATAAAAAAGCGACAAAATGAAGAAAGATAAAAAATTTTATTGCAGTTAAAAATTTGTTATAAGAATTTATTGTGATAGTAGAATAACTCTAAATATTTCTAATCTCTGGTTTCAAATACAAGTCTTAAATGCTCAAAGTTTTCAAAAGGGCTTCAGTCGCATGAATTGTGTTTCCTTTTCTTAGAACTGCTTTTACCAATGAAATGACGGATTATATCGACTACTCTGCCAATCTTTAAAAACAAAAAATAATAAGATTTTTTTATTATGCATGATCAGTAAACGTTGAAGTTTTTGATCATCAATAGAATGTAAGAAAAAAGATAGAGGACATTGCTTAGTGGATCACCATCACTGGCCTGCAGAAGGTAGAGATGCAGATCCTGTGCATGACTATTATTTCTGTCAATCTTGTGATTTATTCTTGAGTAATCTATAATATTTTATACTTGTTAAATGTCAATTGAAGGATTATTTGGTATTGTAATAGATTTAGATGGAGTTTGAAATTATTTTAAAAAAAAAAGTGAACAGTACCGTATGAACAGTGTCAATGAATACTAAAACTGCCTATAAATAGTGCAAACCGCGTACAAACCATGTATGAACAATAAAAATTGTGTATGTACAGTGACATCATCTTGACGTCACATACGCGTATAGTGCGCGTACAATACGTGTGCACAGTGTTTCCGGCGTGAATAGTGTCCTGAACAGTGTTTCCGACGTGAACAGTAAGGCAGTGAACAATGTTTCCAGCGATAAATAGTAAATTTTGAAAATTTTCTATAAAAAAGGGATTTCACACGAAATTTTCATTTCTTTACTCCTATACAAGGTTCTCAAAGGTTCCAAGGCCATATACCACCATTTTCTCTCATATTAAACCCTCATAACTTAGATTTCTTGCTAGATCTGAGATTCTACGTCTATTCTGAGGAATTTGAAGTAAGTTTCTTTAAGTTTGAAGCTAGATTTACTGTTCATTTCTCTTCTCCTTCTCTTTCTCATAGAAGTTCATGGTGTTGTTAAGAGAAACTTCGTTCTAAAGCCAAATCTTCGGTGCATCTTGTTATAAAACAATTAATATTCGGTAGATCTAGTGTGAATCATCGTTCTGAGGTAAGGAGAGCTTACTTTAACCTATGAACTACGTTTTGAACGGTTTAATATGCTATTTCAAGATGCTTTGATATAATTTTGTTAGATATATTAAATAAAAGTTATTTTTTAAGCTGTAACTACTGTTAATTGATTTAAAATGCTGAGATTTTAGCTGATATATTATAAACTTACCTTAGTTGAGCTTTTAAAATAATTTTGGTGGTGTGCATCATGCTGAGATATATGATTTGCATCATTATAGAGCCGAGTTACATGTTTAAGTGGGTAGACGTGTAACGGTAAGTTCATGCTGAGCTGTTGTGCTGTCTGGATCTAGATACCGGAATGGGTCACTCCCGGACTGGCTCAGTTCCTTCTGGATTACTTAAGCTGTGAAACCAGTCAAAAATCGTTTTCATACTGTGCATTAGATGGGCCAGTAATGCATGGGGCTGTTGCTGTGAGTAATGTTTTGTTATATATATATATATATATATATATATGTATGATTTTAGTTTATTTTTGTAAGCTCACCCTTGCATTTCTTTCTATGTCGTTGTATACGTGTGTACTGCGATGATCGTACTGTGGTATGTGAGCAGATATAGCAGGTGTTGCATCTACTTCACAGACTGAGGGGCCAGTGAAGAAATGTTAGAAGCTGGAGTCGAGTAATATTGCATTAAAGTCATTTTTCTTTATATTTTGAGAACTCATGTAGAGAGAGATACGTAGTATAATTTTGGATATTTTGAATATTATGAACTAAATATAATATTATATTATTTTATTAGATATTTTTATTAAGAAACTTTATTTTATTTTGAATGAGGAGTAAATTTTATACTTATATTCTCTATTATTTATTTATCTTAAATAAGTATGAAATGTAGAAACAATGTTCTCGGTTTCTTATAAAAGGAGTCGTGACAATTTCCCATCCCTAACTTAAAAATATTGATAAATAATGTAAAGTGATAAGAAAAAAAATATGAATATTAATTTTTAAGATTGGTTTCAAGAATTTAAAAATAATAAGATTTCATTAGAAAGATATATAGTTATTATTTAAAAATATAAAAGTGTAATAAACATTTTCTTTCTTTATAAAAGTGTATCATTTTATATACTTAAATTTAATTTCAAGAGTTGATGTAAACAACATAAAAATGATGGAAATGAAACTCTTTGTTTATTATAAGAAAGAAAATGGATGAAAATAGAAAGAAACTCATAAAAAATGAATAAATTATTTAATATATGATATATGAGGAAGATGAAAGAAATTAAAGAATCAGGAAATAAATTTTCCTTGAATAAACAAATGTGCCCCTCATAATTTAATAATTTTTTTCTAATAAAAAATATATTATGAGATGAGATTCCTTAAATAACATCTTTTAAAAAAAATTCTAACATATAATTTCATACATAGGAGTACGAGAAAATGAATGATATGACATATGTGAGGATCTTTCTGATTGTGATTCACACGAAGTTGGATGAGATCCATCCTTGCAGAAACACTTGAATCCTCCTCCATGGAAGCCACACTCTCCACCAGAAGCAATGCATGTCTTGCACACCTCGTAATTCCCCGTTCACTGTAACCCAAACCCATTATCTAATGCTTCGTTTATTGATCTATTAGGTAAAAATGAAGCTTGGGTTCCAAATATGGGAATCATAACACTCATGCAAAACTCCGAGTACGAGGATCCCATGATGTAATAGACAACTTTGTCAGCATCACATTTAACATTAAACATATTTTGTGGATTTGGGGTTGGATCGCAATCATAAAATTAAACAAAGTCACATTCACAAGCACACCATAATATTGAAACGGAGTGTTATCAAATGTATTGTTCGTTGTATCACTCACACATTCACTATCCCAATAATCTGTAGTCCCAAAGAAGAATATGGTATTTGATGGAATTGATGGTGATCTTTGGGAAACTACCTTGACATTTGAGCTCCAACTGAGGTTGACCACAATGCTGATCTCTATTTCCTCCCCAGAATGGGTATTTGAGGTTTGAAACACTGCTTCCGCAGCTGAAAGTGTTGTTGCATTTTGTGTAGTGATTATCATTCGCATAGAGATATGTTGGAATATTGGTTGAGATGAGGGTAATGAGGCAGAAAAGAAAAGAGAAGATGGGTGAAGCAGAGGTTTCATTCTTCGAAAGGAAAAGCAAAGAAGGTTAGGTGGCGTGGGCCAATAAACTCCACATAGTTGATTTATTTTGGGAAGGGAAAAAATATCTTCACATCCCCTAAATGATGTGCTTTTTTTAAAATAAATTAAAATGTCTCTAAATGCAAATTTCAATATAAGACTTCTTATCAAATTGAATGATCATACATATATAAATGTAATGTAGTTTTACGAGTACTTTCTAACATTTTTTAGTTCCTAAATGATGAGATTTTAGTAGAAGATAAAAAGTGAAAAATATATAATAAAAAGAATGAGAAAAAAATAAATGTAAAAAATAAGTATTTAAGAATTGAGTAATAAACTCGTGTTTGACTTTTACATAATATTTATGAGACTCTTTTTTATTAATTTTAATTTTAATTTTATTATACTTTAAATGTATATTTTTATATTATAAACAGTTAAAATTAATCTTTAAAGTTAATGTTATATTTTTGTTAATAGAAGTGAAAAAAATAGATAAAAAGAGAAAAGAGAGTTTAAAAAAAATGATAAATAATGTGACTTAATAAGAAAAAATTATAAAAAATTAAAAATAAAAATACTGTATAGATATATGATTTTAATTGCTCTTGACTTTTAATGCATGCAAATTTCCACTGTTTGACTTCTAACGCATGTAAATTTCCATAGTTTGAAGGTGAGTGAGAGACACAGCAATGAAGAACAGAGTTGGAACTTTGGAATAGCTCTTAGATAGCGTGTTGACTAGGCAGTTAAATATCTCATGCTATTGTAGAATAATTTATTATATTAGACTTAGAATCATTTTCAATTTTATATGAGAAATTATATTTGTATATTGACTATGTATATTTTTTTATAAATAAGAAAAAAACATAAGATAACAAAGACGAAAAAGTATATAAAAAATTATTATATGAATAATATTACTCTTTATACTTGATGATGATGGTTATTATTTAAAGTCTTGTAATATTATAAATGAACCATGTCAACATGCAGCCCTCCATTGTAGGTAAGCTACTGAGAGGAATGGTAACCATGCCACAAAGTTCTTATATATAAACATAAAATATTATGATTTTTTTAGATAAAATTTTTAAAATTTGTTTTTTATTGATTAGTATTTTATAAAAATATTTTTATTGGAGATAAAATATTGAATTTAGTAAAAAATAGAGTAAAATAATAGGTCTCAATAATTTTAGAAAAAATATCCAAATAATTGATAAATTTAATGTTTTTAATAAAGATAATTATATTTATAAATTACAGTGAAGTTGTTAAAAGAATCTTATTTTCAATATTAAAAGTAGTATTATTTTAATTCCACATTTTATGATGGGTCAATTTTTTAAAAATAAAAATAATTTATAAAAGTAATCAGTTTACAAAATAACTATATTGACTTTTAAAAAAAATATTTTAACAATATATTTTCTAACACACTTATTCTAATATATTCTTAGTTATTAAATAAAATTTATTAAAATTGGTAAAGTTTATGTAAATTCTACTTTTAATTTTTTTTTGAGATAAAATTCAAACTCTAATTGAATAACTATACTACCACCTACGGTTTTTTTATTAAAAATAACCCATGTTTTATTAACTACATACCAAATTAGGATTAGTGTAAAATACATAGAGTACTGTGAGAAATGAAGAAGCAAGCTTACCTGAAACTGGACATGAAATTGTTTGAGGTCCATCCTTGCAGAAACATTTGAATTGTCCATCAAAGCCACACACTCCACCAGAATCAGAGCATGTCTTGCACTGTTCATAATTTCCCGTCCATTTCAACCCAAAACCGGTATCTAATGCATCGCTTACTCTATTGGTAGTTACAAGTGCAGAATTGGAATTAAAAATGGGAATCACCACAATCGTGCATGAACCCACCTGGTACGAAGGTCCCAGAACGTAATAGACAACTCTACCACCACCGCAGTTTTGAGAAAACGGATTCACATTTGGCATTGAAGAGCAATTATAAAACAGTGTCACGTTCTCAAGCATAAGATAATCAACCTGAAACAGGGTGTTATCAAACGTGTTGTTTTTAGGATCACTCACGCAGATATTATCCCAGTAATCGTCCCTAGCCACAGTGAGTTGGTTTGTTGTAGTATCCCAACCCAGAATACGGTATTTGATGGCATTGATGCTTATCTTGGGGACACTTTCTTCGCATGTGAGTGCCTCCAATCCAGGATCACCACAATACTTTTCTCTGTTGTCTCCCCAAAAGGGGTATCTGAGGTTTGAGATAGTGCTGTTTCCGCAGCTAAAAGCCTTATTGCAGTTGGTGTAGTGGCTATCATCATCACAAAGGATTGTTGTAATATTTATTGAGATGACAATAGTAAACCAAAACATGAAAATAATCAGAGGTTTCATTGTGTTGCACCACAATAATTAAGTCCTAAACTGAGCATAGATCATTATATTGGGAATTGAGTTATAAATTAGCCTTTCACTTTGACGTTTCAACGCAGCAAATTTCAACAATCAGTTGTTTCTACGAAACTAGCCGGGGCGAAACAGTGTGACATAGAATCAGAATAACTGTAGCAAAACGAGTGTTGACTCTAGATAGCTTGGATAAACTCTTTCTCAATTGTATATATAAAAGCAACCTTCTATCTCTAATATTTAATTTGTAAAGTTGAATCTCAATTTTGACTTTTAATAATTATTTGTCTATATCACTCAGACTGTTTTTTTTCCAAATCTTGTGATATAATTCTCATAAAAACTATACAAAGCTTACTCCATATTGACACTAGAGATGAATAGTGCAGCAGTTAGTAGGTTAAAGAGATGTTTTACACTTGTTTTGCGTCCCATGTTAAGATCTCACTTTAATTGAAAATTATGACTAAAATACTTCTTAATTATAAGGCCATTAAGACAAACCTCTTCTTTTGAGCTAGTTTTTTTTTTAAAGTAATTTAAGCTCAGCTTTCTTTTTAATATATCATTCCTAAGTGTTGTGCACGTGTGTAGGCTAGTTATTTCTATGTGGTTTCTCATTAGTGGTGTAACTCTTTCTTGAATTCTCTCTTCAATCCCACTTCTAGCTTGATGCGATAGTTAAGTTCACTTCAAACATATTTTGGTTCGCTTTTTTATTGCCCAACTACTGGAAGCTTTGAATGGTCTTAATTTTGCGTGAGAATTGAACTGTAACAATGTCATTTTTATAGATATTGTCAAACCACGATGAATTTATTTTGCAATAACTTTGTATGGTAACTTAATTATTACTTACAATTTATTAAAAACTATGAAAATGATGAGAATCTCACTTTTTCTCACTCCTAATTTAATGTTTTTGTCGTGTATTTTTATAAAAATGTGAAAAGTGTGTTTCAATAGTTAATCTTCACGGTAATATCTCTGCCTTAGTGCATTGTTTGCAATGTATTATTGAATATGGATAGTTAAGCTTTGTTTGAGAGTTTGAAAAGAGAGAAAGAAGAAAAATTTAAAAGAAGAAAGAGAAAGAAAGTTAAACTCCGTTTTTATTTAGATGTTTAATATTAAGAAAAGAGTGTTAAAGGATTTAATTATATAAATAATTTTAAAATTAATATTTTAATTTTTTAATTTTTTTTAAAAAAAATTATCACTTAAAAAGTTAACATTTTTTTTAAAAAAAAGTTAAAATCTAAATAATATAAAAGAGTGGAAAAGAAAAAATTCTCTAAAATAGAGAAATTCAAAAAACAAATTTTTAAAAAGTTTTAGAGAGTTTAAGAAAATTTCTCAAAATTTTTCTTTCCTAATTAAGTAACTTTTAATCAAGATTAAATCCTTTATCTCTCCTCCTATCCCTTTTTCGAACTCCTAAACATAGCTTTAGACTCGTTCAAGGAAAGCATAGTACTTAAATGCCCATGAAGACTTCTTGGTTAACTTGTGGATTTGGCACAGCGTGAGGTCTCGTTATGAACCTGTGCTTGCTAGATAGAGTCACGATCTGAGGTGTGGATTTTAGCTTTCTTACTGTTTAGAAGTTAGAAATGATCATTTTTTATGCAGTTTTTTTTTTCCTATTAATGATTATTTTAACAAATTTGGCTTAGAAGTATTTAATACACTTCATTAAATAATTTTAATTGTTCTAAAAATAAATAAATGTTTTTATATGAAATATATTCTATTTTCAATTAAAAAATCTATTTTTCAAGAATTTAATTAGAAGTTTTATCGAAGGCTTAGGATCTAACCTACGTTGGGTCTTGCCTTACTTAGGCTTTTGCACTAAATAAGCCATATCCAAATTATTTTAAAAGTTTATTTAACCAAAAAAAAAATTCTTACACCATCTAAAACCTTTTTATGCTTAATAAATAATTTTATTTAAATAAATACAAATAATATACTAACATTATTAATTTTTATTATAATAATATTTTATATAACGCCTTGAAATTATGATTTTCATTCATTTGTTTAAAGGTTTAAGTATGTTAATTTATTAGAGTTATATTATTCCTATTTTTTTACAACACATTGTATAATAATTTGTTTCTATGATCTTTTTTTCATTTTATCTACCGTTATAGCTCTCCCTCTTCTCTTCTTACCTCTCTCTTTGTTATATTTTCGTTATACAAAAAAAATGGAGTGCAAAATAAATAAATAATTAAAATACTGGTTTGGTAAGTATCATAGTAGGTGGGGGAACGAGTAACAGCAATTAATAAGCCACTCCCAAGTATTCAACCATGACGAGTTAAGTCAAAGAATTAGGTTAAAAGAAATCATGATTTGCAACAACCGAAAAGAAAGTAAGAGATTTAACTCAAACGGTGAATGAAACATGTTTCGTCTCAATACCATTTTTTGGTTTTGTGATAAACTATAATTACGATTAGACTCAGATGACTTTGATTAACCACAATTTTAGATCACTATTAAAAGAATAGTTTCATTAACAAACAAAAATTCATCAGATGTTTACATAACTATGTATATAAACATTATTCATTGGCTGTTAAGAATAATTTTTGGAAATATTTATTAGATTTGAGTCTAAATTACCATCTTAGTTTATGTAAAATTTTTTAATCAAATTAGATGTGACGTACATTTGCGATCAGTAATGACCCAAAAAGGGTATATTTTGTTCTCTGTTTGGCCACGTGTTTATATATATATATATATATATATTTGTTACCAAAGAATCATCTTGCTTTGGTCAAACGTATTCAGAGCAACCAGAAGTTTTTTCGCTGCCATTTGCTTTTGTTATGATCAGCTTGTTCAGAAGGGAGAGAGATTCCTCCTAACGTGTCAAAAAGAATTTCACACCACTTGTAAGCTTGAAGGCAAAGCAATATACCAATTTTCATGTATCACTTTTTGTAAATAGAAAAAAAAAACTCTTGGATTTTAATTTTAAATTTAAACTATAAATATATACAAATAGTTACTCACTCACTATCCACCTTTAGGGTTTTATTTCTAAGGCAATTTGAGTTATTTTCATTACGTCAAATACTTATGAGTCAATTTTTTATTTAGTTATTGATGTTTAGCTCGGTATGATTATTAAGAAGTTCAAGATATTTACTCCCAAAAGAGGGCAACTCATTATAATATAAATATTCTATTAATATAGGGTTGACTACTATAAGCCGAAAGATGTTCGTGTTCTGTTCCTTAATACAAGAGGAAAAATGAGTATATAGCCTAATGAAGTAGCTTGTTCCACTTATTGTATTTGATCTTGATCATGATGTTTAATGTTATATCGCATCCCCTAAAGTGCATTAAAAAAGGCTACTAGAGAGAAGGTATCCTCAATAATGCACATGGTGGGCCTGTGTATATACTTAATTGGATATTATAAAGCACAACAAGAAGCAACACTTTTGAGGTGACTTGAACAATACAAACAAAATGGCTGAACATTTGGTCTTAAAGACACCTAGATTCCTTGAAGACTTGAACAGATACTAAACTCTCAGCGTGTATAAGAGTGTCATTTTCCTACAAAGACCACGATAAAATTACCAATTAAACACTATTCCATTGGCATCCTCGCTAACCCTTGATACTTCTTAAATCTGTAGCTTGCATCATTACTTGACCCAATTTGTGCTCAACAGCATCATTTAAGAACCCGATAATTAAAGTATAGAGAGTTTAAAAAAGTACACCTGTTACACATTGAATCAAGACACTCGTACATGGGGCCTACCTTATCAAGAGTATAAACCATAAACAAGTACAGAAGAATGTTCATTATCTTAGCATAAGTGAGTTGATACTAATGTAACGTATTATTACCCTTTTAAGTAGAGTAAAAAGAATATAAAACAGGTACATTTCATTAAAAAAAAGAATTTTTCTATATTAGGAAAACATTATTATTATTTTGCGTCTACATTTTCTAACAACACCCCAGTAAAGCATTGCTTAAGTATGACAAAATGTCTTTGGATCTGGCGGAACAGGACAAAAATAGAAGAACTTGGATGATAAGAAGACACCTCTGTGCATCAACACGTGGAAACTGCAAATAGAGACAGATTTTGAGGAACGCATCGTGGTATTTCTCACACTCACTTTATTCCAATAAAACAATTGTACAATGTAAACATCGTTATTTTCCTATTCAATTTACCAAACACTTGGTTACTAATACCCAATGCATTTCCCGAAAAGTACGAAACTCAAAATACGACGTCGTATGATGACCGTTTCGTTCCACTCGCTGACAAATACGACAAGCGTTAGTTACGTTACCTTTACGGCTTTACAGCAAACGCACGGCGCGCACGTTAGCAGCTACAACAGTTATTTGTTATTACCATACTATTATTAGGTAATTCTATTTATCAAAAATTTTAAAAAAATTAAATAATAAATAAAACAAATAAAATTGGGAATAGAAGGAATCCGTACAATTATCACAGTAGAGAGAAAGCGCTACTCAGGAATGGTGACAAGCACCGGTCGCCAAACTCTTCTCAGTAACCGGTAACGGAACGCCGACGATACCGGCCGGAGAGCGGCGGAGGCGCCGAGCCGGAAGGGAGATCCGGTACGGAAGCGGACGGAGAGGGCGGAGGAAGGGAGGAGTTCATCTTGCTGATCCTGTTGTTGGTGGAAGGTGGTTTTGTCGTCTTGGAGCGGTGGCGGAGAAGAGACGAACAAGTCCTTGAGCTTGTGGCGGACAGGGAGGTCGGTGTCGGTGGTTTCCGGTGGATCTTGGGGCGGGGGATGGAAGCGGCGGCGATCGAGGGGGCGGGCGAGGAACATGCGGAGAGTTTTGCGGCGGCGGAGGTGGATGACGGGGCTGGTGGTGGGGCTTCGCGTGGGGCTGCCGGCGACTGCGCATTGGGTGGCTAAGAACTTGAATTTGTGGAGAGTGGGCATTGAAGAGAGAGGAGAGAGAAAGGGTGAGATCTGAAAGAGAGTGATTGATTGATTGGATTGAAGAAGGAGAATGCCTTTATCGGGGGAATATAAAAGCTTCCTTTTTATTCGCCCCAAATTCTACTACTTTATTATACTATTGTTATTACCTTTCTTTTTTTATGCCTCACTTTTAATTATTTTTCCTTTTTTTTCTAATTTAATATTCTTGATTTTTTTCTTAAAACAAAATCAAAATCTTTTCAATTTATTTTATAGTATAACACAATAACACATTACCATGTGCAACTTTCAAAGTATAAAAAAGTAGTGGCATTTTTTTATTTGGAAATATATTAATGGATAGATTTTTGTAATGACATTTTTAATAAATAAATTTATATTTAATGAGTATATTGAAAAATATTAACCTTGAAAGTGTTAAACATGACTTTGAAAATATAATAAAAATCTATATATATAACTATACTAATGAAATATACTTAAACAAATTAAAAGAAAAAGAAGAGATAATATTTTTTTTCAAATAATGATAATATAATTAAGAAATTTGTTTCATCTTTGAATTTGAAAGAAGGAATTTATCAAATGTGTAATGAAATTTTTCTTTCTTTTTATTTTAGACTATGTGTGATTTTAATTTCTTTTATTTTAGTTATTTATATGTTATTATTATAGTTTTTTTAATTATTTAAATTATAAGTTTTTAATCTAAAAAATTATTTTATAATTAATAAAATATAGTGGAAGTGTGATATATAGTTTATTATATAAATTAATACAATAAAAAAGGTTTATATGAAAGATGTAAATAATTTCAACTAAAAAAAAAAACATCTTGAAAGTTATTTTTTATTTCATTAAATGTATATAAAATATGTAAAAGAAAACCAATTAGAGGGGGAAGACCTTTGAAGATTTGATTCCTATGAATCAAAGCATTAAAAATGGCAACAGTCAAATAGATTAATGTACAAGTTTGACATTGGGTTACAAAATTATACCTATATTGATTTAGTTACTTAAGGTGCAATTATACCTTTCTTCTTAAGCTATTAGGGAAGGAGTCTTAGAATATGATCGTGAGAGTCTAATAATATGAACCATGCATGAAACAAAACCAATTAATAATATGTGACACTTTTTGATCAAACAAATTTTTATTTTCTTACCAACAAGACTTGTCACGGACCAGAGTTATACCTTGGTGTGATAATGTGAATATAATTCTCTTTATATATATATAATAGTTTTTGTCATCTTATTACGAGTACATAGTATACATTTGACAACAGCAATATTGCCAACAGATTAGCTTAAAACACGGTTTTAGAGTTAATAACTAAATTAAAATGCTTACATTATCATATCAATTAATAAAATATAAAGCTGATTAATTTAATTATTCTTTCAAGAGGGTACCAAGTATACTTTTAAGTAGTAGATGAAGGCATTAATTGTTGACAACAAATTACCAGCTAGAAAGACTAGTTGGCTACAATTAAATTGCTAGACTATGAAAAGTTGGAGAAAAAGATTGGAACAAGGATTTTTGTTGAGATTAACATTTTTTTATGAGAATAATTCTATTTTTAATTTCAAATTTTTAATTATTAAATGAATAAATTATTAATTTTTTTATAATTTAAGATAAATATATAAGATGGTATCTTAATACTCAGTTTTTAAACGTAGAAAGGACCATTTCTTTTTGGCCTAAGACTCAAAAGGATGATTTTAGCGAGGAAGAAAAAGAAGACAACATTTTTTTACTTTAAATAAATGTATTTTAATTTTAAATATTTTAAAATTAAAAATAAAAAACAATATATTAACATAAAATAATATATTAATTATTTATTATAAAAATATTATATTATGTTATTAATTTAAACAAAATCAGCCTTCCTTTTTTTTTTTTTTCCAACCAAAATTCTCGTCAAACAATTCTTCTAAAGGTATTATATGGTAAATAGGTTCTTATTATGGACAAATATTCTATTAGTTAAATTTCACAATTTGTAACTTACACTCAGTAAGTAAGCTGAAACCTTATAATGCATAACTAATTAGTTGAATTAAAATTGTTTGATAAAATTAATTATATAAGTAGTTAAAATATATTAAATGACTAAAAAATATATATTAACATTATTTAATGTAAGTGTAAATTATTGAAAAATTTAAAGATAAAAATAAAACAAAAATATTTAAAATTGACTTTTAATAAATTAAATGTTATTTGACATAACTTTTTATAAGCTCTTTATTTTATTTTATTTTACTAATATGCTCTATTAGCTTATAAACGAAAGACTAAGAAAGAACTTCCAAGTATAGAACACCACAATACAACTCAAGATGTAAGACAATAGATACAAATTGAAAACATCTAAACAAACACTAAAGCTGTGGACCCAAGTGCAATAATTTATGTGGTTGATGTACCAAGAAGGATACTCTTTCATTTGAGGAATTTGTAGACGAAACGGACCTTTCTGTCTTTCACTTATGTAACTATTGCTAAGACAATTACTAATTATGCTAATGTAGATTCCTATTTGGAAAAACGTATTAAAAATGATCAAACAGAAATCTAATTTCTTGAAATTAATCCGTATCATGTTGATGTAGATGCACACTTGTTGAAAAATATTCTTGTATCAACATATTGATGTAGACACAATCAATTAATAGTTTAGGTACATTAAAATAAAGATTCAATATTCTTTATTCTTTCATATAATTTTATATCTTTCAACTTATATTTTTTTTTATCAATAACTCCAAGTAAAACAATACAATATATAACACAAAGAATTGAGTAATACTAAAAATATAAGAAGCTTAAAAATAAGAGTATTTAGAAAAGTTAAATTAAAATTTATATCAAATTTTTATTTGACTATTTATAAATAAAATATTATTTATCTACTTAAGATAAAATTATTCAAGCCTACATGTTAAAAATGATTCTCACTAACACTTATCAAACAACAGTAATAGAAACTTACTATTCTTTGCTTAATATCCATTCTTGACCTTATTTTTCTCACGAGTTATGAGAGGGAAAACAAGCAGCCTCTCATGTTTTCTCTCTCTCTCTCTCTCTCTCGTTATAAGAAAGACCCAAAAACTAATTACGGTAGGACTAACTCATATCTGTATAGATTCTACAATACCAATCATTGTATCCTTTTCTGTGGTAACATGAAAGAATATAAGTGAGCAAATCCGAATCCAACTGATTACTATATATATATATATATATACTTACAAAAATGCTGCTTAATGTGGCCCTAATTCCTGAACACAAGTCTATGATCACAACTGCATTATATGGACTCTAACCATCTATTAAATACTTGGCAAGGGCTATTGAGTACACAATAGTAGCTGAATAAATTGGCCTAAACGTTCTCCACTACATGCATGTTTGTATGTATCATACAGTATCTGAGCCTACCTGAAAATGTTGTTCTGAATCTTGATTAAAAAATAACAACTCTCTGGCCGTGCATACGTGTGGTTAAGCTGTTCTTCTTAGCGTCTCCTTTGGCTGTAGTAAAAACAAGGGAAATTCAGCACTTGTCATGATTTAACTATTTTCCTATCTGTAACCTTTATATTTAACACAGTTTTATGTATATTTTCACAAATACATCACAACACTACGATATGGGAATATTTACACTACAAATATATGTTATCTCTCTCTCTCTCTCTCCCCTATGCATATTACCTGTCTTGAATCAACAGTGAATTCACCCTTTCATAGCTACTATTATCAATTATGATCGTAACATAAAGGCCGGAAATAAAAGTATAAAACAGTAGCTTTTAGGGAAAAGAGATGTCAAGGCTACGACTTCTGAACTAGCTCATTGAGACCAGCAGTGGTAGTAGTACAGTAGTTTCACAGTTTCACAATCTAATCTAAGTCTTCTTCACCAAAATAAAAAGACTATGAGGAATTAGATACAGAGGAGCCGCTAACCCATTTATCAACAACAGAATCAGGTGAAACTGGGCAAGCAACCTTCTTCAAAGGTATAACATCATCTGTTCTAACATCCACTACTACTGCCTCTTCCCTTTCACCAAGTTCATCACTTTTGATTCCTCTCAAGATCTCCACCACCTCATCCATGGAGGGTCTCATCTCTCTTTGCTGCTGCAAGCACCTAAAGGCTAATTCTGCCACTGCTGTTGTCATCCTCCTTATAGCGTAATCCTTTTCAAATCCAAGATAAGGATCAACCAACTCATGCAATTCCTGGTTCTGAATCTTATTGATGGCCATGTTAGCTAAGTTCACATCATTGCGGTGCCTGTTGATGTCCACAGCTTGTAATGATGATATAAGCTCAACTAAGACCACTCCAAAGCTATAAACATCACTTTTGTCAGTGAGTTGGTAGCATTGATAATACTCAGGGTCAACATAACCTGGTGTTCCTTGTGGAGCAGTTGAGACATGAGTGACATGGTTTGGGAACAACCTTGAGAGACCAAAATCAGCAACCTTGACTTGAAATTTATCATCTAGGAGAATGTTGTTGGATTTAACATCACGGTGTATGACATCAGATAAATGAAGGTAAGCTAGTGCCTCAGCTGTTTCTACTGCAATGTTCAATCTCACTGGCCATGGGAGAAAACTTGATTTTGATCTGTTTCCTTGTAGATGATCAGCCACTGTTCCATTAGGTATGAATTCATAAACAAGGAGAAGTTCTCTGCTACGTCTAGAGGTGCATCCAAAGAGTGTCACAAGGTTCTTGTGCCTTAACCGGGCTAGAATCTCAACTTCATTCATGAACTGCTCAACACGTTTGAAATTGCTTTCATAAAGGCGTTTCACTGCAACCACACGTCCATCTTGGAGTTCACCTGATAAACAAACACAAGATTGGTAAAGGAAATCTGAAAGCAAGGGGAAATTGTGCGAGAAATTGGTAGAAATTAATATACATTAAGTTCTTCTTTTGTTATACCTTTGTAAACAGCGCCAAAACCTCCCTCACCAAGTTCTCTAGAAGGGTGAAAATTTTTGGTAGCTTCCTCTAGTTCATCATAGGTGAAGACTTGTACACCAAAGTAGGAACTCCTTTGCACTATTTCAGACTTGGAAGACGGGTAAGAAGAGACAGTTCGAGACGTATTAGTTGTAGATGTTAAAGCGTCTCTGCTTGAAGGAGCCATGAAGTGGTCCTTGCTTCTTGATTTATCAGCATTGTTTCTTCTTCTTCGCACAATAAAGTACACACAGCCAAGAATGGCAACAAGGGCTACAACTCCTAGACTAGCGCCTGATAATAATATTAATAGTAGACATTAGTGAAATTTTATTTCCAAATTCACTCTCCATGCACCTATTAACAAAATAAAAGAATGTGCTAAAAAATTAACAAAAAGAAAGTTACCTATTGCAACACCAACTTTGCTAGAGCTTTTTTTTTCTGCAATATGTCAAACCAAAAAGAAAATGTCATAACAAGGAATCAGATAAGGATTTTCTCCCTTAACCAATTGGTTGAACAGTAAACATGTAATTATAACTGCAAATTAAGTGGTGGCAGAAAGTGATAATAATTAGACTTCCAAATCAAAAGTGAGCCATCCAGTTTGCCAACTGGCAAAATATTTTACTTTACCCCCAAGAAAAGTAGCAGCAGTCCAGGTGGTTCTGATTGGAATGAAAGCAACATTGGCATAAATAAGCAAGATGCAAGTCTATGAACCATAACTGAACGTGGAAATTAAATTTAAAACTGTACTCAAGAGGTGTATGTGATCCAAAAATAGCATATCAAAACTAAGATCTATATGCTTATACCGAAAGCAAGAAAGGCTACAATATTACCAAAGTATGACTGTTTGAACCCAACTTCAGGTACATAATATTCTGTGCGGTTGACTTTATGACTTGTAAAAGGAAACGAGATAAAAATTATGAGTTGACTGACAGCTAGCGTTTCACTTCAGAAGAAATGGAGAAAATAAGAGGGAAGAATAATTCTAAATCCTCGTAATTTTTATTTCTACTAATTTTCCTAATCAATTAATAAATGAAGAAAGCATTTAATATGTTTTATGTTTTCAACGTAATAATAAATGAACATTTTCATTAAATACTCATTTATAAAGTAGCTGTATAAAGTAGCATGAGAATTATTAGGAGGATATAACAAATCTCAAGATGAAAAGAAGCAGCCCTCTACCGGTACTCTATTTGATTAATTTGCGTTTTACCAACCATAAGTTAAATTAAATCACATGGTAATTTTTTTTTTTTAAGCAATTGGTGAACTTCAAAATTTTGAAGTAAGAGAATCATCTGTGTATACTTATCTAACTAGTGAAGTTGCCAATTCCTGTAGACCTTCAAGCACGAGTGCACAACTCATCAAACCAACTCCGGTCTGATCATAATTACTTAAAATTACGATGAAAAATAATGACGCTAGAAGTCTAAAACCCTGTAAGCAATTTCAGTCCCCATAATCAGTGGCCCTGGACCACCAAATGGCCCATTCCAATACCTGCTATGCTTGGCGCGCAAACTAGGAGTCCTTGCAAACAAAATGGCTGCCACTTGTATTAGTCTACACAACAACCTCTTAAGTTCTAATCACACAGACAATCATCCTCAAAACCGTAAGAACCATAACAAATTTTCCTCCTAGAGAGAATGAGAAATTAGTGTTTTACACTTTTTTGGCCACCTGATTCAGACTTGATTAAATGAGTTGTATTACAAACTACAAAGCCGTGATGCCATATATGATGTAGAGGGAAGAGAGATAGAGAGAATTGTAGATAACTGTAAAAAAGAGTGTATGAAATAAAGGATTTAAGTGAGAATTAACCAAAAGAGAATCTTGAATACCTGGAGTTGCACACAACCGATCTCCACAAATACAAATGGTTTCATTGTTATCAGAATCAAACCCACACTGTTGGCCACCAGAACCAAGACACTCAAAGCACTCAGTGTCATAAGGATTGTTATAGTTAACATTAAACCCCTTCATCAAAACATCCCTAAGCAGAGACCGGTTTTCTATGAGCCTTTCAGCTTGCTCATCAAGAATTGCCACCTCAATATGTTGATCACATTCAACAACACCAAGAACCGGGTCGAAAGGAAATGGACCAACCAAAGAGTAAGATTCATTCTTATACCCGTTACTCTCACAATGAAACATATTACCAGGAGGTTTGGTGAATGCAGAAGTGGGTTTGCACCCATAAAACAAGGTGAGGTTTTGATTCCCGGAACCGTAGATGAAGCTTGTGTCATCAAAAGTTGAGTTAACGTACACATGGGTGCATGTTTCATTCCAAAGGTCTATTCGTGCTAAGGAGAGGGAACGAATCACTGGGTTGATTTGAATGACTCGGTAACTCACTGAGGAGATGTTCAACTCGGGAACACCATTGTTGCAGCTCAAATGGAACTGTGGTGGCCCACAGAAGAAGGGTCGATCACCGCCGGTGAAAGGGTAAGAGAGGTTGGTGATAATGCCACAGTTGAAGGTGGTGGTGTGGCAAGTAGAGAGTGATGCATGGAGTTGTAACGACGTCGTATGGTGGAAGGAGAATATTAGAATGGCTATGATGATGATGAGGGACAAGAGGGACAACATAGCTTGTTGTTCATTCGTTTCGGTTGTCAAAGGTTGAGGCCATAAAAAGGTCGTGGGTTTTTAGTATGAACTATATTTCTATGGTTTGAACTAACCGACAAAAAAACAGAAAAGAAAAATAAAATATGAAGATGAATTTATTTGACTTGGACTTTGATGACGTGTGCAAGAAAATTATATATTGAAAAGTTTTTAGTTTTTAGCAGCCAAATAATGCGTGTTTTCGTTTTCTTATTTTTGTTTAAACAATTCTTTTTATTTTTTTTAATAACAAGCTTGACATCATGTGTTGTATTATATATAATTATTATTTTTTATTTTCTCAGTACATGTATTTTAAAAATATAAAAAAGAGTAGAGGAAAAGTTGTTAAATAAATATATTGTTGCTTTAAAATAATAGACATGTGTATATAAAATTGTGGAAATATTGAATCATGGTCAAAATACCTATATTGGTTGAACGATGCTTATTCAAAATCTAGAACTATGACTGAAAGGTCTGAATCAGTGGAGCATATGGTTTGGACGCTTTGGCGGGTTCAAATGGCGAAGTGTTTGTGTGATTCTTTTAATGGAGAGAAATGGCAACTGAGTTTAATCGTAGGATTTGAACATATGGGATTTGAATAGGGAAAATTTTTATTAGGTTTAGAAACTCCAAGCATGTCTACTAGACATTTTTCTTTGAAAAATTAATGTTAATAACAGCCTGCCTTGCTGAATAAGTAATATTTCTATGAACAAGAGGTTTTGATAAGCCAACTCAACTTTCTTTAATACCCGAATATAGTATTATTTTAGAAGAATAATTACTTTATACTTTTTCAGATTTTTTAAAAATAACATGTGATATTTTCTCCAAAAACATTTCTAACCAAATAAATCCACAAACACTTAATGATTACGGCTAAGGTGATGTTTGAGTGGCATTTAATGCCATACCCAAGACTTTTTTAATGTATAAGATCTGTAACTAAAAGTTGTTGAAGTATAAAATTTCAGGGGCCATATATATTTGCATTTCACAAATATTATCTTATGTTTCTACCTTAAACTGCTTTGCTCTATTGAACATCTTTTTGCTGGTTGTGTGAAAAAATTATTGCTTTGAAATCCTCCAACACCCAGACAAAACCCAGGTTTTCTTTTTCTACGACAATAGGAGGTGACATCTTGTCACATTTTGTAACTAGTGTTTTGAACCCATAAAAGGGAATTGGTAAATATTTTGCAATAGCACGCAGAACTACACATCCAAAGTCAGGGAACAATAATTATTTCAAGATATCTGATAAAGAACTGCCAAAATCTAGAAATTGGTTTTTGTTTAATCCTGGGGTATCCATATCAGGACAATTTTCCCTAAATTATAACTACAGAATTTCAAGCAGCTATTGCTGAGATTCTAGATGGAAATACATTATTGAACATACGACAAAATATAATAGAGTTATTGGACCCCATAAAAGGGAAGATTAGTCTAATAGCAGTCAAAGAAGGCAACCCATATTTTAAAGGGAGATGAACATGCATCTTAAATTAACAACTACTGAATGCTACTTACTCCTACCTAATATCTACCATTCTATCTGCAATATTTTTCCGAAAAATAAGTCATCTGTCAGAAAGATGATGCCGTAAAGGTGCAAAGAAGTCACTGACAAGGTAAAGATGGTTTAGTTTTAATTTTTTTGTTTTCTATTTTTCTATAAATCTTTAAAACTAGAAAACAGATCAAAGATGTAACCAAAATCAGGTTGTAGTAGGCCAAAGCAGCAATGGATTCCTGCAAGGCTAAAACACTAGGCAGGAACAACAAGAATACATTACAGTTACTCACCTGATTTACATGAAGATGGAAAAGATCCATCCTTGCAATAGCAAGCAAAATTCCATGAGCTTGGGCTATAACCACAGTGCCCACCAGAATTTTGGCATTCATCACACAATGTATTGTTTGCATTCCACTCTACATCAAACCCATTATCAAGAGCAACCTTCAGATTTTCCAATGTTGAATTTGTCGCTAATACTTCAGCTTCTGACTCCAAAATTGGAACTAAGACTCTCGATTTGCATGCTCCCATTATTTCACTTGATGAGATCGAAGTCTCAGCATTGTCAAGGAGGTTCTCCACCACAAAATAGTTATTATCCATTTGAGTTCCATTTACACTGCAATTAAACTGAGGGGAAAAGCTATTTGCTTGAGGAAATGGAGAGGAAGGACAATCATAGTAGAGAGTGAGGTTCCGAGAATCTAGGCCATAATCAAAGAAAGTGCAACCTATAGTGGTGTTCCTGAGGCTAGTGGGACAAGTATTATTCCAATAGTCAGTTCTTACAACTTTGAGACTATGGTTAGAGTCATCGACTTCAAGAACTATGTAACTATCTGACATAATGGTAATAGTTGCTACTTCATTTGTGCATTGTAGCTCAAACGCAGGGTGGCCACAGTATAGGGGTCTATTGGATCCCCAGAAAGGATAGCTAAGGTTTTTGAGATTTGCACAATGAAATGAAGAACTACATTTCAGATAATACACATCATCGGCACAAGAGGATGTTGGGATTTGATTTAGGATGATGGTTATGACCAAGAATGAGAAAAAGATGCTTGAATAAAGAAGTTGCATCTTCAGGAAAATAGCCTGGTAGAGAAGAGGGAAAGAGGATATGGCACTTAAATGGAAGAGGGAAGATTGCAAAAGCTACTGGATCCAATCTTATGGGTGAGATTAACGTGTGCTTGGTGTGTTCTGAAATAGTACTATAGATGCAATTGTAAATTTAGGTCACCTATTAATCATTGACCAAGCTTGGTTATTGGTATTTACCTAACCTTGATAAAACATTAAAGAAAATTTAAGGGTTGGTACTCAGCTTCAAACAGCTCAGGCCACTAATGACCAAACTTCATGTCTAACTACTCTAACTACTTAACCTTACTCGCTATTCATGTGGTTCATGAATAGATCAAAAGTCAAAATAGGTGTGGCACGTTTGGTTAATAAAGGTAAAACTATTTGAATAAGATATATTGCTCCTACTACAAACTCTTAAAAACACTTTTTACAATTTATCTATATTTAATCTTTTTCCATCACACTTCTCTATTTGTAATAGATGATTCCGCATGTGGAACACAGTTCCCAGGATTTTAAGTAAGGATTTTCTTTGCTACATATGGTGCCAAAAATCAGGCCACATAATCCAAATCAAATAATCAATAGTTTGGACCTTCGTATATGTGAAAACATCCGGATGACAGGATGAAGCGTGAGCGTGACTTTAGCATGAGAATAAACCTAATGCTTTGGTGAAAACAACACGTGAAATGGTCAACAGACCTTATCAGAAGTTTGAAATCTTATAAGCATCCCAAAAGTCAAATCATTATCAGCACCTTTTATTCTTGTGCAAGCCAGATATTGCTGACCCCGTCTTCTTCAAGTTTCAAGGTGTTGGAGGAAGAATCAAGAAAATTAACCGGCACCATTAACAAGCAAATGATCTGCACTAAAATTCCAACACCCCTATTTGTTCCATATATAAGGTGCTCATCTCTTGTCCAGTTGATTTGCAGTGATAAAGTTAAAGTGTGTCTTTAGATCTAACGCAGAAATTATAACTAGTAGCTTTGAAATAAACGTGAATCCACGTTCATTTAAACACAAATAAAAATATGCTAAAGTGATCCATAAAAGCATTTTAGAGATAAAAGCATTTGAAAATACGGCTAGCTTCTTCAATCAGAAAGAAGCCACATGCTTACTTGTACTTATTAGAAACAAACATAAGAGTACTGTGAGAAATGAAGAAACAAGCATACCCGTGTCAGAACATGAAATTGTATGAGGTTCATCCTTGCAGAAACATTTGAATTCTCCGTCAAAGCCACACTCTCCACCAGAATCAGTGCATGTCTTGCACGCTTCATAATTTCCCGTCCATTTCAACCCAAAACCGTTATCTAATGCATCGCTTACTCTATTGGTAGTTACAAGTGAAGTATTGGAATTAAAAATTGGAATCACCACAATCGTGCATGAACCCACCTGGTACGAAGGTCCCAGAACGTAGTAGACAAATTTACCAGAACCGCAGTTTTGAGAATACGGATTCATATTTGGCATTGAAGGGCAATCATAAAACAGTGTCACGTTCTCAAGCAGACCATTATCATACTGAAACGGGGTGTTATCAAACGTGTTGTTTTTAGGATCACTCACGCAGATATTATCCCAGTAATCGTCCCTAGCCACAGTGAGTTGGTTTGTTGTATTATCCCAACCCAGAATACGGTAGTTGATGGCACTGATGTTTATCTTGGGGACATTTTCTTCGCATGCGAGTGCCTCCAATTCAGGATCACCACAATACTTTTCTCTGTTGCCTCCCCAAAATGGGTATTTGAGGTCTGTGATGCTACTTCCGCAATTGAAAGCCTTATTGCAGTTGGTGTAGTGGCTATCATCATCACAAAGACATGTTCGAATATTGGTTGAGATGATGCAAGTGATCAATAATATGAAAACGGAAGATGGGTGAAGGACAAGTTTCATTTTTGTGTGCACCAAAAGAATGAAGAGAAGGTATAGGAGAAGTGAGAGGGATGGGTTGAGGTGAAGCAAGATATGAAGATTGAAATAGTAAACCACGCGTAGATGATTATATTGAGAACTGAGTAATGAATTCGCGTTTCAATTTCAATGTACGCGAGTTTCAACAATTTGACGTTTCTACGATACCCGAGAGAAACGGCAACATGGGATTATTACGTGAGCACATATAGTTTATGTCTCTATGATGTTTCATACACCCCACGATTCTAGATTTCATGTTTGTCTTTTTTTCAAAGTCCCACATAAGTATGCTTCCAGAAAGAGTGTCCATTTATTGACCACTCTTAAGAAATTGAACCCATTCAAGCGTTAACTTCGTTATTTTACTAAGAAAAAAAAACGGGTTTGTTTTTTTTATACTTTTATCATAAATGTGTGGAATGAAAATATAAAAATAAACAGTAGAGAGAACATTATTCTATTGATAATAATTGTAACGATCATATTGAATTTATTTTGTCAACAGCACATTAAAATATTAAAACGGCTTCTGAATAGAACATTATCGACAATAGTTTTGGGCCAAATTGCTTAATCCAGCTTGGGCCACTGGGCTTGCATGAAAAGAAAATATCTTGTTGACAAAAAAGATATTTAAATGTAAAAAAAAAAAAGAAGAGGAAACTATATTTAAATGTAAAAGAAAATATTCAGCTTGCAAAGTAGCAAATGGATTCGTGGATATCTTTTGAAAATAATAATACTACATTTTATTTTACTTGCGGACAATTCAACTTCGTAAGTAAAGATAATTAAAAGGGGTCTGCGTTCAAATTTTTATTTTTTCAAAGAAAAGAAAGAAATGAATGCCAAATAGTGATGCAAACATCAGAATATCTTAAATGATATTACACTTTCTTTGACCGAAAAAAATGTTAAAAAAAAAGAATATATTTTTCAATTCTTTTGACTAAAACTTAAACTCTAGACTCGGCTTCGTTAATGAAAAGGTTTTCAAAGAATTTTTAAAATTCATACTATAAAGGAGCATCTAGTATTCAAAGTATTACTTCTTTTTTTTTATGATATTACAACGGCTATGTAATGTATATATGTAATAAATAAGGATAAAAAAATATTATGAGATCTGTAAATGCAAAAATAATATAAGAAAATAATTCAGAAATGACAAAAATAATCTGAATACATAATAGCTATTCACTAAAGGGGTGACGTTAGAAAGGGAATTTTAAGTTTAATTCATTATTTAAAAATGAATAAGACTAAGCATATATAATATATTTGGGGGCGTTTTTGGTCATATAATTTGAGACTTCGTGTGAAAAATATTAGTCAAAATGACTTTCTTTCACCAGTGATACAAATTATCAAATTTGTCATTATAACTTTGAATGACATTTTCAAGTTTTGAGGAAATATATTATACCATAGGAATTAGAATAATCAACGCCAAAATGTGTGACAGATCGATGATTTTTAAGTCCAAGAGAAAATTGAGGCTCTAAGTTAGAATTTCTTGAATGCCTTGATCAATCACAATTGCTCAATGTTGAAGTGAGAAACAGAGAAAAATAACTATTTTCCATTCATCTCGTTCCTCCATTTTCATCTCAACTTCTTTTATCTAATTTCGTTTTCACTAAAATTTCCAAACATATTTGGAACTTTTACACTAAAGGCCTCTAGATGTCGTGTGGAATAAGTGTTTTAGTTTCAGAGATACCAAGGGTCAAGGCATAAAGAATACTATCAAGGTATACTTTCAATTCAAGTTTGAACTAGTCACGTGATAAAGATTAAAGAACCATAGTTGAGTTAGGATTACAGTTGAGCTCAATCAATGAGCCAAGTGGTGTTATTAGTATGAGAAGCATATTCTTCCATTTTTAATAAAACAATTTAACCAAAATATTACATGCACAATGAATAATATTTCTAAAATTTAATCTTTCTCAAATTCAATGACACCGTAAACTTCACCTAGCAAGATTAGACATTGCTGTTCATATTAGATAAAACATTTGGTCATTATAGATTGATAAAATGCTCAAAACACAGTCTTCATTAACAAATAAAAAATCCAATTATCAATGATCTTAGCCATACCTGGAGGAGGAGGCTCTTGGGATGGTGGAGGTGCTTTGGCATCTGGTGATGAATTTGAACAAGTTGGTTGATTTAATTTCGAGTCATAACCGCAGATTCCATCTGATTTTACACATTTCTCACATTCTTCAATACCTGCTATCCATTTCACCATAAATCCATCTCTGATTGCCTTCTGTATGTTGGTGAAATCTCTAATATCAACCAATGATGGAGAAACTGGAACTACCACACTTGCTTTGCAAAACATAGGAGGAGGGGAAAACCCAAACTGAGGATAAACATAATCAATAGCTCCATTTAGGTTACAAGGAAGAAGTCCAGCATTTGAAGGAGTGCAACCATAGAAGAGGGTAAGATGCTTATCCTCTGACCCATAAACAAAGAGCTCAGTGTCAAGGCTGGTGTTGAAAAGTTTTGAAGGGCATATTCCTTGTAACTGTAAGTAGTCCACTCTGGTGATTTTCATAGTATGTTCAATTGGGTTGGCCACCAAAACCTGGTAATTGACATTATGGATGGTTATGTAGCTGATATTTTTCATGCAAATGAGATGCAACGAAGGGTGGCCACACCAACTTGGACGGTTATCTCCCCAAAATGGAAAACCAATGTTTCTTATATTCCCACAACTTATCTGATTAGTACAATTCCTATAATAATCGTAGGAGCTTAAATGTGGAGGTATCTGAATTAGTACTAGGAGGATTATGTATTGATAGAGCATAGGGATAAGAGGCAGGTGAATAAGCAAAGAAGCCATTGGGAGAGTGCAAAGAAAAAGTCTGCAACAATGTTAACTTTGTATTCTAATTGAAGATAGCATTTTTTATGATAGAAAATGCATTCAAAGAAATAGACAGTAATTGTGCTTTGTGGAAAATTTTGGATGTTTAAGTTGACTTACGTGGATGGTGTAACAAAATCAGGGTAACTTCATGTAGTTTTCCTCAATTCTTCATTTTTTTAGTATAGGGATGGCCTTGTTATATGGGGAAAATTGACTTACACTGACATGCTATACCAAGAAATTAATCTGTGAGTCCATTTAAAACACCGGCGTAAATTGGTTGGCAATTTGGTCCAAAGACATTTATGTTAAGAAGAACATTGCTATTTGTCTCAACCAAACATATTAACACCTGTGTTCCAGGATTAAACGTGTAGTTGAAATTGAAAATTTTGAAAACATGCAACTCACCCACCATATACGGGTTCTTCAGGTGTGAAATGCATGCTCCATGCGTTTCGCATTTTTCGTTGTCATAAAGTTAAGAAGATAAACCAGGTTTGGATAAAATTTATACTTTTTAAAATTACAATACAAATAAAATGAGGTTAGGTGAATTTGGAGTATTACAATACATATAGTGTGTTTTATGATCTACTTTTTTTTTTATACTATTGCGCTTGATCCCTGTTGATGAAATAGGTCATGCACAAACAGTTAAAAATGCCGAGGCCGTGCATATCCTATAGGGAGCTGTTGCACGGAATACATGTTATACAATTCAATTAGCGTTTGTTACAAAACTACGTCCGTAATTTAAACAATAAAAAATACTAACAACTATTAATTATTAACTAAAATTTATTAAAAACTATGTAAAAACAGAAGTGAAAGAGTAACATTTACAATTTTAATAAATAATTAAAAATGTATTAAAAATAATAATGTCAGAGAATGTATTTCAAACGATCCTCTAAAATAATTAACAAAAAATGGAAATGTTAGATAAAGTGTTAGTTTCATGTGGGTCCGCGAAATTGAGAATTGATCCAACCATATGGGCCTGGCTCAATCATGTTTTCTGCCAATTGGGCTACTCTTGGTGGGAATGCAAGAACTTGTGGACCCAATTAGGAGTGGTGGAAACCATAGAGTATTCCTTTTGACCAAAATAATAAACGGAGAGGGATTTCCTGAGATGGCGTAGTTCCATGCATGTGACCAATGACTTATGTGTCAGAGAAGAGGGGTAACATGATGCTTCCATGTACGAAAATTGTTGTGAGACGGTCTGAAGGTGATGCAAGCTGATACCATGTACAAACTATATCACATTGATTCCACTTTGACAATGAGTATTGCCCGGATCGGAATTCTCTCTAGTTTTAGCTGGTCGGTCTAGGAAAGTAAAATACACTGACTGGACTATCCAATCATGAGAAATAATCCTAATCCATATTGCACACATAGTTAAGTTGCACTGACACAAGCCCTCTACATTCAAAATATACAAAACACAACATCTTGGTAAATATAATCATAGATTATAACAACTTGATTAGCTATAACTTCAACCCTATATTCTAGGAACTAAATATGATTGTTGAACTAGTCACTCTTAGATGAGCTTTTGTCAAGATCTCTCTCTTCGTTAAGTACTCCCTTGATGAAAATAAATTTTATATAAGAGAGAACAAATTTTCCCCAAGACCTCTACAATCTCATTTCGAGAATATTTAATCGTATAGAGTAACCAACCATAGTACCCTGTGAAGCAAAGCTTTTGACAATTTAATTAAATTAATAGAACAACCAAAAACTTGAGATACTCTCAATTATGTCAATCAAACCTCCAGCAATGTGAACTGAAACAAAATTTACATAAGCTTCATCAGATGCATGATATCCAATGTTTTGTCACTCATGTCAGCCTCAAGTTGACACTAGCAGATGTTGTGCCAAGTGTCAAGGAAGTCTTTTCCCTTTTTCTATTGCCAAGATGATAATTAAGTGTCATCCTTTAAGGATTACTTAGTGGATTGAAGTCAAGTGGGTGAGATTGTACTTTGTCAATGGGACAAATCCATATCATGCTTTCTAGGTTTCTATCCCAGTCACTCCACAAACAGAATTCAAATTTTCTCCAATAATTATAATCCTGAAGGTCAAGTAGCATTAGCTCTTTCAACAACCATCCAATGTCGCATAAGACATATTGCTTGCGCTGTTTCTTGAATTCCCATCACCCATGAACATTCACTGACCAAAAACATGTCTATCCTCTGTTCCCACCCGTGCCAAATCTGCAAGTCAATGCTGGAAATGTTAGAAGGCCCTAAGAATGAAGTTAGCATTGTAAAAGCCAAACATTTTCCTCCTCACACATCTGAAACTGAAGGTTTAAGCTACTCATGTGGTCTACCAGACTATTTATTATCAAAAGAATGTCAGTCATTCCGCTGTTTGACTTATCTTGTGCTTCAAATCTATGTACTTTGCTTTTAACTTCGATCCAACTACAACCAGGATTCGGTTTTAGACCTTTGTCTTTCATTAATTTTCGCACTCCTGCTACCTTATTCCACCAACCTACACTTGCATATAGATTCGCCAGCTGCAGAAGTGTGGCAGAGCAACCTGGTTCCAACAATAACCTACTCTCTGCTGCCTGGATGCCAATCCAAACACTTCCATGAAGCCTAGAGGAAGAGAGTAGTGAACCCCAAATAACAGCATTGGGAAAAACAGGCATATTTTGGATGAAGTCACGAGCTTCCACAAGCAAACCAGCCCGACCAAGAAGATCCACAATGCAAGAATAGTGATCTAGTTCTGGCTGTACACCATGCTCTACCATGGAATTAAAGTAAACTTGACCTTCTTTGACAAGACCTCCATGCCGACATGAGGATAAGACACCGAGGTAAGTAACAGCATCAGGATTAACACCTTGCTTCATCATCTCTTCAAAGAGCTGAATTGCCTCTGGTGCAAGCCCATGCTGTGAATACCCAGTAATCATGGTGTTCCATGTGACAACATCCCTGCCCACCATATTTTCAAATATGTACAAGGCATCACCAATTGCCCCACATTTGGAATACATGGCAATGAGAGCATTATCAATGTGGAGGTAAGAATGAAAACCCATCTGAATTATTTGACAATGAGCACCTCTCCCATATCCCAGTGCTCCACTGCCCATAGAAGCACTCAGAAGACTAGTGTACGTAAAATAATTTGGTCTCAAAGCTGAACCCCTCATCCGATGGAAAAGTTCCAAACACACATCAACACGCCATTCTTGCGCAAACCCAGCAATAATTGCCGTCCATGAAACTACGTTTCTGACAGGCATTTCTTCAAACACACGGTATGCATCATCCAACAAGGCACACCTGCTGTACAAACTTACCAAGGAACTTCCAATATAAACATTGGCAATGAACCCAGTTGTTATTGCTAAGCAATGATATTGAATTCCTCCCCAAAAATCACACTTGGACCCACATGAACTCACAGCATGGGACAGGAAGCATGCATCAACTCCCAACCCTTGTTCCGTCTGTAGAACAGAGGAGTGAATAGTGATTGCAGTTGTAGTCCTCGAAGTAGCAGAATTGTTAACAAGAGGAATGGTTGCATTGTTTTCCAACATGTCCTCAATGAGCCTAAGATGACTTTGACGACCCTCAACATAAGTGTCACTTTTTGGGGGGAATACGAGGTTAAGGACTCTTAGTGCATTTGCAAACCTTTTGTTTGATGTGTTGGGTGCCAATTTGTAGGAAGAGAAATGCCTAAAAAGTTGACTTTTAAGACAAAATGTTGGGTTTCTTGCGAGGAATGCATGCATTGTCATTCCTTGATTCCTTGGATCGAAGGCTCATGCTGGTGAGAAAAGAAACATGTGTCGAGGGTTTGACACAAACCTAAATTTTGGAAAATGCATGACATTTATTAACCTTAGAAAGCCCTATGTAATATGCCCCCCGAACCGGACAAGGATTAGGTTATCAGGTCAATTACTTTACTTATACTAATAATAATAATAATAATAATAATAGTTATATTGTACTATTATTTTATTAAACTTTTATTAAAATATATTTGGTTATCTATGTAACTATTTAAATTCATTAACTTATTTAACTGTAAATTTGTAAATAAGTTTTGAGATAAGTTAAACCTTTTAAAAGTTATTAGAATAAACCTTTGAGAGTGTGTATGAAATAAATAGGTCGAAAAACAATGCAACCTTAAATTTGAAATTTGCTTTTTAAGAAAAATTTATCTAACATCGTCAGATTTTATTTGGATTGAGGTAGCTCCACACTATTAGCAAAAAATTTGGTTATGTTGAATATATTTATATGCCTTCGACGCATGAATTTCTAAGAAAAGATTAATCTCACTTTTTATATTATATATATAAGTGTTTTTAGGATATTAATTAAAGAATTAAAAAAATAATTATAAACATTAAAAGGTACTCACTCTTATAATTTTTAATACATTATAACATACTTTTCTTTTATAAAAAATATTATTTATTTATAATTTTCTAATGTGTGCGCAAGATAAAAATTTAATAAATAATATATTTTTATTAAAAGTTTTAATATTTAATATTATCAACACATTTAATTTAATAATATCATAAAATTTTCAATAAAAATTTATTATACATAATAAATACTTTTAGATACACATTAAAAATATTTATTAATTTCTTAACAAATACTTAAAAACACTAATTAAAGTAATTCTTTATACATAATAATGAGATCATTAAATATACGTTCTCAAGCAGTCTCTCAACGCAAATTCACTGTATTAATGAAAAAAGAAAATTGATAAAGTGATGGTAACTATATTATTTAGAATACATTTTTATTAAAAGTAATTTAGTAATTAAATTACATCTATCATACTTGTAACAAAATCTATTTATTGTTTTCCTCAATTTTTCAAAATGAGAAGTTCAAAATAACCTTTAAAAAATCAAAATAAATTGGATAAGGTTAAAAATTCATACATCAAAGAGGCATTAACTAATTGAATTATATTAAATGAGCCATAAACGCACAATATCCAAAATAATTAAGAGAACCGGATATGACTTGGGAATTTTCAATTTTATCCAAAGCCAATGATCATCCTCTTTCTTTACACAGGAGAGGGACTCACAACAAAAAAATTAGCAACATATTCAAACAAAAGGAATAAATTGAGAAACCCCCTTTGCCTAACAATCAATGAATCCTACAAAAGAGCACACCTAACATGGTCGACAAAGAGACCATGAAAGGAACAAAATCATGAATTGAGGTCATTGACAAAGCCATGTATCTTTCTTTCTAACACTTCTGAACAAATCTGCCCCATAGTATGATAGAAAGACAATAGATCAGACAATTGTTCCACAGTCATTTTCCCCATCACATTTCTTGCCACTTTTTCTCTATCCTCATTCAGCTTCAATCTCTCTATATAAGACCCTGCATTCCTAACCGTTGCACCCATTTGCTTCAATCTATTCTCTTGTTGCACACTCAAGGCCGTGTTTGACTGCAAATTTTAACATAAATCAATAGATAAAAAGGAAAAAAAAATGATATAACTATTGTATTCCTTAAACAAATGAGGAAAATTTCCAAAATAGTTTTTATATATATCCTAGTTGAGCCTAGATAGTACCTCAAGAAATTGTGCCCCAGCTTCAAGCTCAGACTCTTTGGTAGAATTCATACCACGGCCAGCGTTGTATAGGTTTTTTGCAAGTGAGAAACTACGCACTATAATCTTCCTTTTGTTTTCCATTTCCTTATTAAGTTTCAAAGGCTTTTGGACAGATGTTAAGCTATTCAACTTTTTCTGATATGCAACAACTGCCTTTACAAATTCCTGCATAAATTCCATGAAATTTCAAATGTTAATCCAACATGTCAGTGTATTAATTTAACATTAAGATAAATAGATGTTGAAAGAAACCAATTTCAAACCTTATAAGCAAAGGGGCATCCTGGGTAATCAAATTCATCTGAATCAGACTTCCTCATACGCTCAGGGTGAAACTGCAATCCCATAATGAACTTACCCTCTTCAGGATTATAAGCATCTGGGTCATAAAACCCTTCAATCAAACCATCAGGGGCAAAAGCCATTGGCACAAAACGTTGTGCTAATCTCTTGACCCCTTGATGGTGATAGCTATTAACCCAAATATCCATTTCCCCTTCTTCCAAAGAATCCTCAAACCAATGATGCAAAGGGGTGTCTTCAACAACTTTTACCACGTGCCTATGCCCATCATAATCATCATAGTTTATGTGCATCACCCTTTGGGTCTCTTGGCACTTAATTGAAAGCTCTTTCCCTATGTCTTGGTATAGGGTACCCCCACATGCCACATTTAGGATCTGTGATCCCCTACATATCCCCAAATAGGGAATGTTCCTTTCGAGGCATAGCTTGGCGAGGCTCAACTCAATCGAATCCTTCTCTTTATCAATGGCGGTGTCACTCACATGAAGCCTTCTAATCTCTTCCAATTCCTCCTGGGAAAGACCAGATGTGTCTAAGTCTTGTTCGTACCAAGAAGGATCAATGTCTTCTCCTTCGCAGAGAAGAACACCATGGATTGGCTCAAAGCTATCCAACAACATATGAACCCCAGAAACACGAGGAACAATCACGGGTACGGCACCATAACCCACGATAAGATCAAGGTGATATTCACCTGAAAAAGACCAAAAATCACATTACATGTTATACACATGAAACACTATTGGAAAATTAAAAAAATAAATAAAAATTCATATTTGCATTTGCACTATTGCATTGCTATACAGAAAACTTGATATCACTGAAGTACTGAAGGAAAAGAAAGTAAACATACCCACGAAATCAACAAACTTGTTCTTGCGAACGCTTCGTCTGGAAACAATTAGAACGCGAGGGAGAATGACAGAAAGATCGGAGGACATTGTAAATGGCTGAGAGAACAATTGTTATGGCTGTGTGGAGATTCGATAAGGATTATGAAGAAGTAATTATATAGATGTATTCGTTCAAATGAGGTTTTTTTCGCTCATATATTTATAGGATAAGGATAAGTATAAGGGATTAATATAAGCGAAGAAACCCTCGATTGTGTGTAACAACTAGCGAGGGGCTGCACTCAATATATATTGTGAGAAACAACGTTGGAGTCGCAGGGTGACAGAAAAACAAGGAAACATTGTCGTGGCTCCGCGTATGTTCCACGTTTTCAATTTCTATTTATTCTTTTTAAATACTATTGTATGGTTCACTCGTCACCAATTTGGTTTTTATATATATTTTTTCCTCGTTACTTTTGGCTGCCCGTTGACTTAAACTTTGAAAGCTGTGCATTTCATAGAGCCAAATTAGAGCCTTAATTTAATTCTATTCATAGTTAACACGTTGATCCGCCCATTAATTTACTCATTAAGATTTTTTTAAAATGTAATTAATGCTACATCATAAAAATTTATGTATAATATCATAAATTTAATATATTGATAATGTTATGTTTTTAATAAAAATTATTATTTATTAACTTCTTATTATGAGATTTATATTGTATAACTTATTATCCTTTGTATAACTGCATTGATTTATTAATTTGTTAAGATTTACATCTATCATAACCTGGTTAGAGAGGGGGGGGGGGATGCCAGCTGTTAAGTACTTGGATTTAAATAGCTAATAAAATTGCTTATCCATATCAATATAATATTACCAATCAATACATTGGTCTTGTCTATGGATTTCTAGTGTAAAATAACATACCATGCTTTTCTGAATGATACACCCCACGTATTAACTATATATTATATGAAATATTATTAATGGTCCATGGCCATGTGTGTTATGCGAGTTGATAAGCTAGTCTACATCAAAGCTAACGGATATGTCTAGCAAATCTTAACAAAAGAGCATGTGCAATGATACATGATAATTACATGCTATCCATAGATTGAAGAAATAAATTGAATATAAATCATACAAAACAAAATAATTTCATTAATTTTTATCAACTTGTGACAATAACAAATGAGTACTGAGTAAAATAGAATAAAGGGCATTGGGGGCATGCAATGCAAGACACTTGATTAGTAGGCAAGTTACTATAATAAAGCAGGAACGTGTTTGGATGGCCGGTCAAACGGTTGGATTTGGATTTGGATTTGAATTTGGATTTGGAGGAGATGATTATGGAGATAGATTAGGATCTATTTGGTGCAGCTCTTATCCATTTTTGCTAGATTCGATTCAGATGCCCCTTTTTTAGTCTTTGCTTTCTTTATTGCTATTTGAACAATTTTCCTAAACAAGAGCATAGCAAAATTGACCACTCCCTCAATTAAGGGGAAAAAAAAGAACATAGTATGTTGCCAAATGAGAAATGCAATTTGGAATAGGATAACTCTAGCTTCGTCACTGCCTACGCAATAACATTAACTTAGTATAAATGTTCCTAATTAAAGATTGGTTTGCAATTAATGATAATATAGAATACCGTTTTTCTTCTCTATGATATTCGACTGATGTTATCTCTTTTTAAAATGTTTTATCCATACTTTATGAACAATATTAAATGTAAAATTTAATTATATTTAATATGTCACTGTAAAAAAATATTATTAATTATAATGATATGGTATATTACATTAATATTTGATGTACAATTAATATATAACTTTTATCATATAAAAACCTTTCTTTTGTGTGAAAGGTTTCAAACAAGCAAAGCCTTCAAAATTCTGAATAATGAAAATCAAACTTATAAGAAAAAGTTGAAAATTGCATGTCTGAGCCCGGGTTCGAACCGGGGACCTCTAGTGTGTGAGACTAGCGTGATAACCAACTACACCACCCAGACAATAATTTGTGTTATTTAAAAATCCAAAATTTTTTCCTACATTTTAAATTGTTATGATACATTGTGAAATCAAACATCTATTACACGAAGAAAATGAGCAAAGTAGTGAAGTATTCATTGTAATATATTACAAAAAATTAAGAACGTGTCAATTGAAAAATATAATGTCTTCAATGTTATGTGTTATTTTTTAAAAAATTAAACCTATACTTTTATTTCAACAATTTACCTAATAAAATTAGTATGAATTACCAACATAAAACTTAGCTTTAATAAAAGAAGTGGTTTTTTTGGGTAAAATATTGATAATTTATTTAGTGTTTATAATTTATAAGCTATTGAGTTACTTTTTATATTTTTATTCTCACTATCTTATTAAATTTTCTCCCTTATCCTTCTTATATTATTATTATTGTTGTTGTTGTTTATTTAAATATACTTTTTATGTCATTTTTTATATATTATATAACTAATTTTATCAAATATTAATTTTGAATTTTAGCTCTTAATTGTTTACCTCTAATTATTTTTTAATTTCCAAAAAAATTCACTATATCATTTAAATTTTTAAATTTTACAAACTAGATATAAAATGAAAAATTGCATGTCTATTATCTTAAAATATTAAAACAAAAATATTTAATATTTTATTTATTTGATAATTGAGGAGAATCATAAAAAAAAATTAAAGTATTGTAATATTCAATGAATTTTTTACCATCAATAAAATTTTGATTTAATTACCACACACATCCTTAAAATACTTCACATGAATTTTGCCTTATAATTAGCTGATGAATACTAATGGTAGCAAGTAAAGCGAATCCTTAGATATCTTTCTCATGCCAATTACCGCACGCGGGAGGCTATGGGGAACACGTTGGCACACAAACTTAGTGTTTTACACGAAATAATATTTTCTCACTTCCATTTCATTAATATTCACAATACAAATTTACTAGTTGAAAATTTAAATTATAATTGTAGTTAAATAATAGAGTTGAACTCACTTCCTTAATTAGAAGTATGATATAATTCTTATATTATTATTATTATTTTGTTTAAGTGCATGCTTTGATACATTATTTGAACAAAAACTATGTATATAGTTTCTTTAAAAATATATACTCTTGAATAGAATTAACAAAGAATAAAGGAGATAAAGTGGGATCCACTCGACCCTAATAGGCTATGTAGAGTTGGGTATCATTTTCTTAATCATTGTTTCCCCAAATTCAACTCTGAAAACGGGTTCCATGCTAGTGTTTATGTCTACCAACGTGAATCACCCATAATTGAGATCTTGACTCTCATGCACCACCAGCAAGAATTGCAATTAATGAAGTGTTTATTTGGTTTAAAGATTAGTAAAATTAATTTTAAATCTTTAAGTGTGCTTGAGATACATTCTTAAATATATTCATTGTTCTACTTTTAAAACTCTCTTAATTTTTTAAAAAAATTAACTAATCACTAGTATAAAAAATATGCTTAAAATTGTGTGTTGCTAGCTTGTCTATCCTTGATGTTATGTAGAATACACAGAGATGTAACACTGCAGTTTACGAGTCTTCATTCAAAGTTCTGAATCATTTTGTCTTATCTGGTACCTAAAGTTTAAAATTTGTAAGAAAGTAAAACATGTTATGAAATTTTCTCTAACTAGTGGTCAGCAAAAATGGCATAAGATGAAGAAAAGTCAGAGACGTCAAATTATATGCATAAACTTATATTCATTCGTGATTAATAGTTCGAGCAAATATCACTGATGAAGAAAACCATTATGGAAAATTTCCTTATTCATAGTTCTTAACACGCTACAGATCGCTGGATACAGCACGTATACTAGTGCTTACAACAGATTATTAAACTATAGAGAGGTAGATAGATAGATAGATAGATGTTGTTGATTGGATAATAATACCCTTAAAAACATAGTGTAGGATATTACTTAGCAAGAAGGGTAGGCAACCGCACAAGAACTAGCCACCTTTCTAGCACCAGGAGAGTTAATGTATTGCCTCAAACTTGGGTTTTTGAGATAATTGCATAAGCAAGACTTCTGTTGCCTCAGCTTCTGACAACAGGTGGTTGAAGGTGGAGAAGAGTTAGTGATTGCTGGAAGACATGGGCTCAAGTCCAATGGGTTGCAAGTCGCAGCCTCAGCCATGGGCCCTACCTCGGCCCAAAGAAGTGCTAACACCATTGCACACACAACAACACTTGAGACACACACGTTCTTCTTCATCATCTTGATTTCTTGCCTTTTGTGATTTCACACAACACAAAGTGTTTGATGTTATAATTAACTCACACTTGGTAGTGATGAATGGAATTGCTTCTATGTGGCAGTTTATATAAGTGGAGAAGAGTAGTGGGTTTGGTTTGGTCACAATGAATAATAATACCATCTTTGGGTGGGAATTAAAGGGCCTTTGTCCCCACATTGAATTGGGCGTTGGAATTGCTATTATTTTGCATTAACACCACCGCAATCGTGGCAATAACTTGTGTAATGGAGGTCTTTTTGAATTACTATTTTATTCTTGTCATGTTCATTATAACTCATTTAATTTTATTCTCAAGTCTCATTATTACGTTATCTATTTTAATTCATATTTTTCATTTTCTTTCTCTTTTAATTATAAAAAATGGAAAATATTAGTACGAATAACATTTCTCTCTTTTATATGTTTATTGAGGTCTTGTTATCCACTGTTGTAGAAGTGCTAAGAAATATGAATATTTCTTTAGTAAATTATACCAGGGAGGTGATGAGGAAAACCATTGAATATTTTTTATAAGATAATCGATATAACATTTTTTTTATTTCTTTTTTAATGATCCCAATGTGACACGTTCTTAATATTTTTTAATTAAATACATATTGTTATTGAGTTTAACTTCTTTCAAATAAGTAATTAATTTTGGAGAGAAAAGTAAAAAGCAAATTAACTCTACTTTTATAATCAATTTATTATTTTTACATGCTTAAAATTAACTCTTGAACTCGAAGTTAATAAAAAAAGAATTTAGTTTCTCATTGCTAACCTTTTTCTTTCATTTAATATAGTTACTATTTTTGATTCGTTAAACCCAAAAGGGCTATATTGTGGGTGAATTGAAATCATAACTCATTAATTACACGGTATAAGAAACATTGCGTGTTAGGTATTTCGCACATTTAGTAATTTCCTCCGACAGGTTTACAGGTTAGGTATTGCATGTTGTATGTTTTGCTCGGTAGGGAAATATTGATTTCATTTCAATTTTTATTTGTGAGATGAAAATGTGATACTTGATTTTAGGACTTCGTATTTTCGTTTATTACGTACATCCCTCTGCATGGTGTGAGATTATGTTGATAAATAAACATGTAGAGCAAAAGAAAAAAAATATTGAGTAAATGCCTAATTTAAGTCTTGAGAAAGAAGTTACTTGTATTGTTTTGTTTCCAAAAGTCTTTTAAAGGGACAAGCTTTCTAAAACTTAGAACTTTATAGACTAATTTATATAAATGAAAACTTTTTCTACAACCAAAATATTCAAAAATCAAACTATACATTTACTCCCCTATTTTTATTAGTGCCTTTTTCTTAATGTACTAAAATATTGTAGTGCAGTTCAATCTCTGGTGATCGATAGGATTTGTTTAAAATAAAGATCCACCATTAATGTAATTCCTGTAAAAGGCTTACGAAAAGCCTAATTCATACGACAATTTACAGATTCTACCGCGCTCCTCAATCAAATCTCTCCAGTCCCCGACCCAAGGGCCTAATAGATCATATCCAATAAAAATACGACAAAACTGCAATGCAATATTTATTTATATTTTCATCTTCTATTCCAGAAAAATCGCCAAAAAAATGTCACTAATATTTGGGAACAACAGTAGCCAATCTGACCTATTGAGACAAGTCTTCGTTGTTGTATATATGGGACACAGTTACCTTCATCAGATGTATCAGAATGGGCAAAATTTACCTTGCAAAAAGGCATCTTATTGGTTTTGACCTTCCTCTTGAGCTTTTGCCTTGCCACGAAGCATATCACTAAAATTTCCCAGCATGATGCGCCTGAATCTAGTGTCCTCTGCGGGCAATGGTGTGGCAGCCTTGGGGGACACATTTGCTTCTGATGGTGGCTCTGTTGTTTCTTTCTTTCCGAGCAACCCACCATCACCAAAGAAGCTGCTGACTGACGATGGAAGGCCAAGGTGAGCACCCATCACCTTACTAATAGTCTCAAAAGTTCCCCCTGATCTTTCCTTCATAATAATTTCAAGAGCTTCTTTGTGTGCTGGATCAAGTGCATCCAAGTCTTTCAAGAGGTTCTGTATAGCAGGCAGGAATAAGTCCCGAATGCTATTTGCAGGAAGATCTACAAGAAGAGAAACCAAGAATTAGAAATACTAAAGGGAAGAAAGAAATGTAAAAAAGCAGCAGAAAAAAAAATTGCATGGGAAATTTAAACTTGTAAACTATGACTTTTACACATATCGTTGCAATTTTAAAGTCTAGCCTCTAAAGTATTGGATAGAGCATAAAATTGAAGTTACTAAAGATTTATCCTTATCATAAAATTGACCAAAATATGTTCGATAATTTCAATGAACAATGATGGAAAAGGAACGATAAGGGATCACAAATAATAAACATTTCTTTTTGAAGGATATCTTGAGATTCGTCACTTGTAATTTGCTTTCCTATCTAAAATAATATTTCTTTTCTATATATAAAATAAAAGGATACATTGTAATACATCAATAAAATTACACAATCAAAACTTGTGCTTTTAAAGTTTTATCATCACATTGATTGTAATACATCACATCATATCAAATAAATATCAATTTCAGATATTCAGTCTCTAATCTCTCCTTTTCTTCCCTCTATAATTAAAACACTATAATTTCAATAATAAAAATAACTCAAAAGGGTTTGTGGGGCACAAGATTAATATAATTTTGATAGGAGAAACCTGTAGCATCCAGTGCACGGATTGCCTCACAAAATGCATTGGCTCTCTCTCGTCGACGCATCAAATCACTAGCTAAATTTGGCATAGCTGTAAGTTGGGAAATCTTGGACAAAAGATGTACATCACGTTAAAGAAACAAACAGCAAAAATTCGGAGACCTTGAAAGCCAACAAAAACACAAGTAACTTAGCAACTGAGACAAAAAAGGTCAGGACATTAAGAACTTTTCTAAACATTTTTTTTTTCAGAAGTATGATTAAGGATATAATCTCTAAGTCTTTCAGTTGTATTTGGTACAGCAACCACCAATGCACGAATAACAGCAATAGTAGCTTCATGGGAACCATCTTCAAGAAAGGCATCCATTTGAACACGTATCTTGTCAACAATCTGGAAGATATTTTATTTGTTCAGCACTTTGAAATGTGGAGCTGCATTAACATCACAATTAACATCACAAATAATGGAGAAATATTAGTAATAGATACCATCTCATTTTTGAAGTGTTGAGCCACAGCACCAAATGCATCTATGCTGGCATACTTTACATTCAGGTTCTGGTCAGATCCAAGAGTAACTAGAGCAGGCAAAACATGTGTTGAAGCAATCTTTGCATCAATATATGGTACCTAATAAAGAAGACAGCAGTTAGTTGTGATAATTGTAGGAGATGTGACCAGAAAGTATGCAAACATAAAACTTACAATAACTCTCAGCAATTTGGCAGCATTTATTTTCATGTTGACGTTAGAGCTGACAACCATTTCCCATAGTATATTAAATATCATACCATGGTTTTCTTCATTTATGCTGCATTATAAAGAATGCTTGTCATGAATATTGGAGAAAAATACAATAATTTTTAAGAATGTTTATGGTGATAATCATACCAAATGAAGCGGATGGCATTAATAATCTCAGGAGTGTGCTTGGTTGATGAATTCTGCATGGAATGATCTTCTAGTAGCAGTTTCCTCAAATATTCAGTTAATTGTTCATGTTTTCCAGGAGCACTCAAAACCCCAGCTAATAGAAGCGGAAGGACACACATTGCAGAGAGCTTATCACCAACAGCAGACCTTGGTTTCAAACCTTCAAGTGCACAGTCAAGTATGAAGTGATTGTGTGAAAAATTCCCAGACATAATGAAGAATCATTACCTTTAATTCTTGAGTGGACAGCAGTGGGAAAAAATTTCAAATCGACATCATCCCCAACTGCTGTTAAAAATACTGGAAGCATTATGCATGTCACGTACGAATCCCCAAACCTTTCAGAAACAGATAAAAGAAACTACATTTACAAGAGTCATATCAGCAAAAAGCTCAGAAACAACTATGATCAAACTTTGATCAAAAATCATATAAAATAATTAAAAAAAAAAGTTCAAAAGATAGGCAAGGTGACCTTTGAAATTCGACTTCGTAAATTATCTTCTTTCTGAGGTAACAAGCAAGCCAACTGTAACAAATTAGGAAAGCACTCAACATGCATCCATTCAAATGCATCCCATTCAACTTGTCCCCTAATAAAAATGGAAACCATTAATTAAAGATCAGTAGCAGCTTTGACAGTGCAGTCATATCCTTCAGCTTATGTAAATGAGCGATGCATCTCTGGAACACATAGATTACAACATGAATCAACAAGACTCAGATATAAGGATGTGGCATCAAGGCTCGAGGTCATTTAAATTGTTCCTGCTAAGCTTACCTAGCATACGATTCAAGCAATGCCGTAGACAACACAGCTTGGGTGGTTTCTGTGATGGACAAAAAGGGGCATGTCTCAATTACTTTCTGGTACACAAAACATAGCAATTCCACCAGCATTCTCAACAGAACATCTATATTCCAGCGCTCTCTTTCACCCAAGACACGGAGATTTGACTCCACGGACCCTTCAACCCCAGAAAGAGGTGGACAACGCTGCAGATTGGGGCAAGAAATTCCACTCAAAAAAATAATATTTGTCAAGAACGAATTTTCAGTCACAAAGGAGAAGCAACAGTACAAAGACAAACAAATAAATACCAGGGCAGAGCTTAAAATATGAGAAAGCAAAACTCTCAAAACATGATCTAATTTGTTTCCCCACTTCATAACTGCAGGAACCAATTCCTTGAGAGTAGTTTCCACCACCACTCCTGATGGATCACATACCAATTGGAACATCAAATCCTCCACCTATCAAAAAAGAAAAACAAAGTCTTGGAGCAACTCTTAATCTTCATTATTATTTTAAAAACAACTCTGTCGTGTTATGGTAAGGGTAAAAGGCTCCATTCCCTAGACCATGTCTTGTCAACCTGTTCTAGAGCTTACATTGTAGCCAAGTCTCAAGTCAGAAACCTTCTCCATGATTGCCTCGAAGCAAATATAGTGAGGCTGACCTTGAAATATTTATCTATGTTTGGGAAAAGTGGAAGCAGCATAGCCAGATTACGAGCAGCAGCCTCTCTAACAACACTGGCAGAATCTTCTATTAGTTGCTGCACAATAGATAAAATAAGAGAATCGCGAATCTCAGGCCGTACAAATTCTGCAAGCTCTCCACATGATTGAGCAACAAGCAGTCTACGCTCCTCGTACATGTGACTGATCTAAAAACCATAACATTGAACAAACTGAAAATCTAGTTCCAAAATCAGAATGGCAAAGAGTAAGCTGAAAATTGAGGCAAGAAAATACTTGTTCCCAACACTGCGGTAGCAATTCTGTTTCTGTTCTCATCTGTCCAATATTCTTTGCAAGGCTGACACATGCCTGAAATGACGACAGGGAAATCTTAAGTTACACCACAAAACCATTCATCAGAAAAAGCCAACAAAATTTCACAACATACATCCATTATTATTTGTCTCTGTTGTTCATCAGGACGCTTGATTAAATTAAACAAGGTGTGGGTCAAAGAATCTCGAGTGCTACTATCTGGGTGGCGCTCAATTGCACACATTATTAGAGGAAGGAGCTCCTGCAACCAAATAAAATGATGCAGCCAATGTAGGACAGCGACGAAATGAAATAAATTTATTGAAAAGCAAACCTCACGATGGTTGATCAACACATAAGGAACAATTTTAGGCAAAGCGTCTGCAAGTATCTGAATGGTTCCTAAGCCCTGTCAAAATATAAACATATATGAGAATAAATGAATGTTGGTAAATTATGTAGACTTAGAGAAATATCTTATGTTAAAATTTAGTTGTTCTGATTCTTCCAATTTCTTATGGATGAAAAGGAAAGAAATATTTTATCCTTATAATTTTCAAAAGCACTATGTAACTGACAAAGGAAACCAGCAACAGTACTTCTAGTTCACCATTTTGAACACAAAAACAAGCCCTGACCAAAACCAGTCCCAACTTTTCAGTCTCACCAAACTCGAAAAAGTTAAGTAATATGAAAAAATAATAATATTTGAGGATTTCCTCAAGCCAAGAGTACAATGAACTTGCCATCCTCCCAGATCCTGCTTCATCATTCACAGTCACACTGTCTGATTTTACAAGTAAGCTGTTATCCTCTGCTTGTTGCCCAACATTTTGTTCAGAGACATCTTTTATATTTTCAAAAGCACTATTTGAATTTGCAGGGTTAAATAACTCAGGCAATGTATCCCCATGTTTATCAGTATACTTATTAAGAGTTTGAACAACTGGTGATTCAGCATCTTCATTGCGTACAACCCCCAGAGCCACATCAGCAGGGTTAGATATTGCTCCTCGATCTTCATGAATTTCAATCACTTTATCGTCTGTCTGCAAATTTTCATTTTCAGAAACAACAATTTTTCCAGGTACAGTAGTTTCTATATTTTTTCCCTTCAACCATTCATTTTCCATCTGCAATTTTTTAATTTCTTCCTTATACCTCTCCACAGATTCAGATTGAACATTATTAACATCGCTGGCAACCATATTATTTCCTGAGTGAGACCCTTCAATATGCATTTTCAAGGAAGTGATCTCAGATCTGCAATCATTGAGCTCCTTTCTTTGGTGCTCCAGGGATTGCATTAAAACTTGCACCTGAAAGTTAAATTAGTATATCATAATTGTGAAAATATGGACATTGTTTGACAGCATCTTTTAAATGTAAGAAGGAATTACCATGTTCTCTTTTTCTTTAAGATCTTTCTGCATTGCATCCAATGACTTAGTTAATGCTACTATTTGAGCATCTGCCGAATCTTTGTTCCTCAACAAGATCTCTTTTTCTTGATTCAGCCTCTTGTTTGCATTCAGCAATGATTCATTTTCTTTAATTAGAGAAAATTTTTCCTGCATTAGAATTCTTGTTTGATTCAGCAGAAACAATAATTTGAAATGAACAATACAGGAATAATTTGGTAAAAATAGTTACTTAAATCTTCAGAAGAACAAGCATATATACCGTATGAACGACTGAACACATAGTACAAGACATAAAACCCACAAAATGATAAGCCTAAGAAGTCAAGTGGTGCAAAGACGTCCAAAAATAAACATATAGTCGCACAATTTCTCAGTACCTTTTATTTTTTCATACAATCTCAGCACTAATTTAAGTAGCATACAATGAGTAACTTGAATGTAACAATCAAAATAAAAACCCACCTCAGCAGCCTCTGAAGTTGATGAAAGATACTGATAATAATAATGACGCAAGGCATCTGGGACAGATGCAGGTGTATTGTCCCAATTGTCCAAGTTCTGGTCTGTAACCTACAGGAACAATTATAGCAGATTAAAATAGAAGTGTTGTTTTTGATTTGATAATGTGACTGAGGCCAGTTCTTTGTGCCCCATCCCACCACAAGCATAAGGTAGTGTCTCATGGCTGCCTCCCCAACACTGAGGCTCATCAAACTATCCAAGGTGTTAGCCCCAAAGCCCATCATCCCACTCCCAAAATATAAAGTAAAAGATTATAACTTCCTCCGTACATTCCATATATGACCTCTTTATATTTGAGGGTTTCATGGTCCATATATGAAGCTACTAGAGCCACTGCCAGTGTAACTACTTCATTTCCGAATTGTAAACCAAAATAGGTAAAACGATAAAAAATTCAAACAAGGAATTAACAGCAAAATCCATCCCAAACAACGATGTAGCAGTCAGTTTCTAAGAAAGTAAAAGAGCCTACCCCCACCCTAATCAAGAGAGAAAAGCCAACACAGAAGCACCAACCTCTTCATAAAATGTCATAGCAGTAAGACGGTAACCAGCTATAAGCAAATATTCCTTTACAGCACAGTTAAGATCTCGACGTTCTGTTTCTTTTAATGGACCCAAATCAATGAAGGAAGTATTATTCTTTTGTTGTTGAAGTTGTTGCCTGTCTTCCACTGAAACATCTGCACTTAACTGTGTACCTGCATCCAAAATAGAAGCATGCAAGAATTACAATATTGTGTCCTATGGACATAGAGAAGTTACAACTGGAACAAATCTTAAGTATGCCAAGTTGCATTAATTTTTAATATAAAAGGAGAATTTCCATAAGATCAGAGAGAAAGAAGTACAGGAGCGAAGCATACAAGATATCCTCCAATAAAGCCAAGTTGCATTATTAGCCAAAAGGTAGGCAGTTGTAAACAGACTAACAAACTATAAATGGGTTTGATTGTACAAAACATTTTCATTTTGGGAATGTACTAAGCAAAATTAAATTAGAACTGATACTTAGCAACGTAGCAATATCATTTGTGTTGAGACTCCACATCGACTACATACAGATATGGCCAAAGTAGAGTTTATAAAGGTCAAGGCAATATTTACTTCATGAGCTAGGTTTTGAAATTGAGTTAGATCAAGCCCAATTTCAAGATAGTATCATAGCCTATCATAGATTAGATATTGGGTCACATTCGACTACAAAAGAAATCAACATGGCCCCACAAATTTTTCCTGCAGCTTTCTCAGTGTAGTTTACTTGGTATTGTGGTTTTTTTCAGTGCAATATTTATAAAGAAAAACCAATCCTACAATCTCCATATTCTAGATGTCTAATCTTGAGCGTGAGAGATGTGAGTTTAACTCACATCAACTACAAATATAGTCAAAAGGAGAACTTACTGAGGCTAACAATCTCTACCTTACAAGCAAGCTTTTGAAGTTAAATAAGACCAAGTCCAAATTCAAGAACTTGCAACACCTATACATATAGGGGTGCTGCTGCAATGCAAGCCTTATGATCTTTCATTCTTCCAAAACATGCACCAGTTCTTATTTGCTACTCTCTCCATGCCATGATCGCATTACTAATGGCAGATGGCGGAAAGCAAAAAATCCACCATATTGCCTTTGGCATAATCGTACATAAATATGTAAAAATTGTATGACATCGATGGCCAAATCGACAACACAAACAATATGAATGACAGTGAGGTCAAAAAATAAAACAAGAAAAATACCATTTAATTCATGAACATTTTCCGCTTTCTTCTGCAACTCACTCTTCAGTTTTAAGATGTCCTCTTGAGCCAAACGCAGTTCATAATCACTAATGGCCAACTTTTCTTCTGCTGCTTCTTTCTCTTCCAGCAAAGTCTGAGGATCTGCGACTGCATTGCAAGATTGTAACCAAAGAATATCAAAGTACTCTTACCTCGTAAACAGAGAAGGAATTGAAAAGGGCGAAAGAAAGAGAAGAGGAAAAAGCAAATTACCTCGAAGAGAGTTGAGGCGAGAGATAGAATCGGGAGGGAAGAGTGAGGGATCGGAGAAGTATTGTTTGAGTCGAATGGCTTGGTCGTCGTGGCCATCCTCGAGAAGCTCGTGAAGAAGCTCAAATGCAGTAAGAAGGTAATTCTCTTCCAACAGAAAGTTGACAACGCAGTTGCACAGCGACGATCTCTCCACATTCATTTCTCTCTTTCTATTAGATCGAATCCAAATTCATAGATCAAAACCCTAATTCCCTTTCTCAGTGACTGAGTCTCTGATCTCAGACTCTGACCATGGAAGAAGAGAGTCAAATTATGATTCCCATTTCCAAATCTATGCTATGCTGGCTAGTTAGTTAGGTGACATCTCACATTTTATTTATTTATTTATTTATCGAAATTCCTCAACTGCATGCTCTCCGTCGTTACATCTTGGAAGAAGAAACAAGTAGGCTTCTTTTGGATTTTTGACCCCTTACATTTGCAATTACGTTTACTTTCCCTTAACTTTTTACTATAAATTACGTATAATCGTAAGAATTTAAATATATTAAAATAGCAATTTATTTTACCATGAAACATCAATTAATGAATATGTATATTATATTTTAATTTTAGTTTCTACAAAATTATACCCAATTTTTTTTTATCTACACCAAACATATAGAAGACTTTTCCCAATAACATAGTCGTGTTGCTTGTGAAAGGCCACCTCACCTTTAAATATTACATGTAAGAGACCCCGTTTGCATTTCAAGATGTGGCTGATTTATTGTGGCAAAGCGATTGAATGACTTTAAAATGCTATTGTCGTTTCGGTGCTTGATTCTCTTATTCAATTTCTACATTATTTTTTTATTAGTGAAAAGTAATGGATAATTCAAGTTTTTTTATCTTCAACCTAAGAAAAATATTGTCAAATGAATATTTTATGGGCAAATTAATACTTTGAAATTTTTATTTTCATTTTTGTTAAAAAAATGCAAGGGAACATAAATATATTAGAATTGAATTAATTGCTCTACTTTGGATGGTAGCAGAAAGTTGTTTTACTAGAAAAATTTTAGTTGGCACAATTTTCAACTTGTTACAAGAAAGGACAGTTATTATAAAAACTGACAAATGAGTGAAAATGAAGAGTAGGTGGTCCCAAGAAATATTTGAAAAGCAAAATTTTGAGACCTGAAAATGTAACGAAAAAATCTATAAAGAAAAAGAAAGTGACATGAAGCGATGTGTCCAATTTCAATACCAGCCAAACATTGGGACTCCCTCCTCCTTATTACACACCTTCTTCTTTGGCCATTTTAGCTTAGAATTCTCAACCACAACTTTCACTCCACTTTTTCAATTATTCAGCTAACCAACCACCAAGCACAGTCTCAGGTACGCATTTGCTTCCTTTGTGATGTTTCTCCATATCACTGTTTAAATGTCACATAGTGGTTAATTCAGTTAAGAAACAAAGACAACCATAATTTTATGTTGGTGTTTAGTTGAAACTGCTAATACAAGGTGGTGCTGTCTTAGGATAAATTAAAAATGAATAGTTTCATTAACTGAATTAAGGTTTTAGTTATGGCAAACATTTGTTAACACAAGATCAAAACCAGATGGATGGTGTAGGGTTTGGTAGTAGAAGAGTTGGATCAGTTAGAGCTGCTGTTAACTTCTTTGATGATAAGATTGCTGATACTGATAGTCCTTCATTGAAGATTGATTTCTCAATGGTAACATAAGCATTAAATTAAGCAACCCTTTTCATTTATTTGCAATTTGTGCACTTTCGTGGCTTTTTTTTTCATTAATTTTTTCTGTCTTTTGTTTTTTCCTCACAATTTCATCAGAAGCCCTCTTCAAGAACAAGAGATCTCCACAGAGCAAGAAGGGATATTGGGAGGTATAAAGAGAGCAAATGGACAGCAGAATCTGCAAAAACTAATGCAGAATCTGAGCTTTCTAATGCAAATAAGACAGTGAATCATCTTTCTTCAATGATTGAGGAATCTAGTTACAAGGCAAAGACACAAATGAGAGATGTAGAGAGACTAGAGAAGTGGGGGAAGGGCCAACAAGGGGCAATGGTTGTTGCAAAGAGGAATGAGAATTATGAGTATGCACAAGTGATGAGAGAATTGGAGTATGTCAAAAAGGAATTGTTCAAGCTTAAGCTTGATATGGCTTCTGTGATGAAAGAGAAAAACCAAGCCGAGAAGGAAATTGAAGCATCAAACTCAAAGATGCTCTCATGTTTAACAACTGCAGAAGAACTTAGAAGGGAGATTCAGGAAGCCAATGAAGAACAAGTGCTTGCTGAACTGGCCAAGATTGAGGCTTTGAAAGAATTGGAAGATATTGAAGCCAAGAGAGAAAAGGAAGCCCATGAATTTTCTTTGAAATTGGAAAGCACAAGGAAAAAGTTGAAGGAGGCCATTGAAGATATTGATGAGTCAAAGGAGCTTGAAATGAAATTAGCTGTGACAATGGCAGATGTTGATCTCTTGCATAATGAGTTGAACTCAGTTAAGGAAATGGAGAAAAGGGTTCAAGGAGATGAGAGTATGAAGCAATTTGAAGGAAGTTTCAGGAAAGGGAACGCTTCAGAAGACTCGACAATGTTAAAGACCATAACAAAAGAATTGGAAGCAGCAAGGAAAGAATTAGCTTTGATTAAAGAAGAAGGTTTTCAGTTCATGGCCTCTATGGATGTCATAAGAAATGAGCTGAAGCATGTCACTGCTGAGACAGATCTATTGAAAAAGAAGGAAGGAAAAGTGGATTCAACAGTTCAAAATCTAAACTCCAAGATTTTAAGAGCTAAATCTAAATTAGGTGCTGTTTCTGCTGCTGAGGAAAAGGTTAGGTCAATAGTTGTTAGCCTATCTCATACTCTTGATAAGCTAAAGACAGAAACAGATGAAGCACAAAAGGAAAATGAACACATAAGCCAAGAGATTATAACCACCAAGGAAGAGATTAAAAAAACTGAGTTTGAGATAGACATGACTGAGGAAAGATTGGAAGGTGTCATGCAAGAGCTGGAAGTAGCCAAAGCATCAGAAGCTTTAGCATTGGAGAAGCTGAAAACTCTAACTGAGACTACCATGAGAGAAAGAGCCATAATAGCACAGCATAGTTCCTTGATTACTATCTCAAAATTTGAGTATGAGTATCTGACTAATCATGCAGCTGCAGCAGAAGAAATTGCTGATAAGAAAGTTGCAGCCGCCGAGGCATGGATTGAAGCTCTCAAGGCCAGTGAGAAGGAAATACTGATGGAAACAAAAATAGCTCAGAGAGAACTGAAAGAAACAAGGGTGGAGCAAGAGCTGAAGGTTTACACCAAAGAGAAGTTGGTTCAAAGAAGAGTCAGTAATGATGAGTTGGAGAATTGGCCAAGAAAACGTGAGAAGAGTTCATCCAAGAACTTCCAGAGATCCATGTCTAGAAAGAGCATCAAAATCAATGGCACTACAACTCCTTCAAGGCGAGTAAAGTATCAGAAGCATGCTTCACCTGCTGCTAGGCATGTTAGTCCTTTCCCTATTAAGACGAAAAAGAAGGTAATCCCAAATTTGGCAAAGCTTTTTAGAGGCAAGAGGAACACAAGGTGAAAGCAAAATAAAAAATAATAATAATGACGGGTCTTCCTATTTATTCATCACTACCAAAACATAGCATAAGGGAAGAGTGCATGTGAGGCAACATTTATATTAGTGACTACCATGTAATTCCCATCACAGAACTCATGTTTTCCACAGTATGGCTCAATCATCATTGTTCCATCCATAACAAGGATGAAGGATTTTATTACTACAACACTTATTTTTGGAATTGTATAAAATACTTGATGCATGTATGGTGCCATTTAGAATCCAAGCCTCTTTGTGCCCAAGAGAATCAGAAAGCATTCGTTGATGTAACTTCTAAGTCACTGATAAATTCTTATCAAAAACTAATTCTAACACAATCAAGTCCCATATCGGTGATGGCGAGATGGAGAGCACGATTTTGGGGGTTAAAAGGAATTCAGAACACGAACCAAATTCAGAACACAATCAACTAATTTTCGTATACAATAAATAAATAAATATATAGTTATATGTAGTTCGAAAAAAAAAATCAAATTATAAATAATTATTTTTTATTTAGATCTAAGAACCAGGTCCGTTCACTTGTGAAAATGCTATCTATATCTGCGAATATAGAATCTCAGTGGGCCCCAAGAAGAAACTCCTTAAAAGTTTATGTTACAGAGGAAAGGGTCATTATTATCTTTAAGATTATCGAATTATAAAGTTTAACAGTAATAAAGCTCTCTAAACATGATGATTACAACATTTTGATATGATAAAAAGCGTATCTAAACACCAAAAAATGCAATAATTTAGGAGGCTCACTATCTCCGTTATTTTTGTCATTTTATCGCATTATGATTAACGATTAGACACATTGATATCTACATAATGTGTGACGGTGAACTATCTGGGCCATGGCTACGCAGCTGCACTTGATGTTTTCTGATTTCTCGTGTGGACACAAATTGAAATTAATATTAATTATTATTCTCTATAAGAGCTTCACTTCTCACTTGTTTTCTAGCTCCGGTTTGATATTCCCAATCTCTGTCTCTCTCTCTCTATTCAATCCTTTCAAGTTTGAAAGGTTTTTCGTTGCTTCACGCTATGGCCTGGTGGGATTTAAGACCCTTCTTTGGTTTTCAATCTTTTAGGACTCGCTTTCAGGTCAGCGCTTTATTCTACTCTTTCAACTTTGTTCTTCTTCCCAGTCACTCACACACTTATTATTATTATTATTATTAGTTTGCTTCATCTTAACATGGCTATGCGTTTCTGCTGTTTGTTTTCTGGACGCTGCTTTCAAACTCCAAAAATAATGGTACTCAAATTGTAAATTAGGTGTATGTAGACATTTTGATGGGGATGGATGGGTCTTTGTGATAAGATTCTAATTTACATATGTCATAATTTGCTGGATTATTTCCCTTAATTCTACAGTCTCTTAGAATCTTAAATCATTCCCTTTGGGTAATCTCTTTTGATTTAGGCATTATTTCCTTTAATTAGGATTTCTACTAAAGCAGGCTGCGTAATCTGTTTTTGATTGATTGGTTGGCTCAACTTTGAAGCTTCCATTGTAGATTAAATTCAATTGTTTTTCTCGCTTTGTGGTGATTTTCCTGAATTCTGAACCTTAGTGTTAGTGGTGTTTGCATGTCATTAATGCTACATGCTTCTGATGGGCACATACTCTTGCATATATGCAGCCACAGGTGTTGGCATGCCTGCGGAGTAATAGATTTAAATTTTCAGTAATATTTAAGATGGTTGTGTTACATACACATACAGGATTTGCCTGGTTTCTTATTTGGATATTGTGCAGCTTTGTTTAACTTCAATAGATATAAAAAAGGGAAAGTTTCAAGAGAAACAAAGCAAATCAGGGTATTTTCATGATATTTGTCCCTGAAATTGCTTTCTTTGGAGTTACCTAGGATTTATCAAGAAGGAGTCTGGGGATCTTTGCTGAGACTGGTGCTCACATTTCATCCATTAATTTTCCATTGATAGCCACAAAGAATGAAGAGGTATACAGTTTAGTAAGATTTTTCTTGAATAACTAAAGGAGATTCTTCAGGCTTGGCAATTACAATATTAGCTGTGAGAAGATACACATGAGTACATTACCTGTTTCTAGTATTTTCTTACACAAGCAGTAGAGGCAGAGCAATTGAGATACGATTTAATGATCATTTAAAAATAGGAATACCCGTTTCCATATATGTCTGCATACTGGCGTTTAACAGTCTCTTCTTTCAGCGGTTTAAAACTACTGTAAATTACCAGCTTAGAGACTATAGTTGAATCAGGCTGTTCTCAATGGTTTTTGAGTTCCTTGATATGGAGATAGGAGTTGAGCAACTTCTGAAATGAATATTGATTTTTATTAGCAAAGGAATTCCCCATCTAACTAACTCCATTATGCTATCTTTGCTGTGGAACTAGCTCACTTTCCATCTATTCTTTAAATATTTTAATTCATATTATTTTGGTGAAACATATCTATTAGATTGTTAATTGCACTGCCCTTGTATTATTTTATCAGTATATTAAGATATGCAGCATAATACCAACAATGCAAATTTTCCTAGGGACGACTCTTCTATTAAATATGACTGTTTGCTGTGTTATGTACATATGCTGGTGTTTGTGAAAGAAGGATTGATAATCTCTGGCTACTCCTAAATTCCTAATCTCAGTTTTGGTTGTTGTGTGCTCTCTAGGAATTCAGGATGAGGGAAGTGCAGCTTGGTTCACATACTGTAAGTTCTCATGGATATGCAGTTGTGAGAACGCACAAGCATGATTGGCTCATTCTCTTGCTCCTTGTTTTGATTGTTATCATCCTGTACATTATCCATCCTTTCTATCGATTTGTGGGGAAGGATATGATGGCTGATCTCAAATATCCCCTGAAGAGTAATACAGTTCCTGTTTGGGCTGTTCCTGTAAGTTTACAGCTTCAGTTCTTCAAATATAACATATGACATGCTTTTTCCCCTTGAATAACTACATTAACAAGATTATATTCATTTTGTCATGGTTAGATATATGCATTTTTATTGCCTATGGTGATCTTTCTTGTTGTCTATGTCCGAAGGAGAGATGTCTATGATCTTCATCATGCTGTACTAGGTATTAATTTTTAAATGCCACTCATTTAATTGCTAACAAGCATATTCTATTTGTTAAAATGAAACTGTTAACGGATGACAGGAAATTGTTTTCTGGCACAGGTCTATTGTTCTCCATTTTATTAACAGCAGTAATTACCGAGGCAATAAAAAATGCAGTAGGCCGACCTCGACCAGACTTCTTCTGGCGATGTTTTCCAGATGGAAAAGATGTATGTTTTCCTTTAACTTCTGTCTATCAATCATGTGATTCTTAATAGCAGGCATAATTGATGATGATGGATTTTTGTTAGGCTTATGATAAATGGGGAAATGTCATTTGTCATGGTGACAAAAAGGTCGTAAAGGAAGGACACAAGAGTTTCCCGAGCGGCCATACTTCATGTATGTAGAATTTATTTCATGTGCTGCTTGTACAGGGGTCTACAAAAAAGACTGATTTTGCCATGCTCATACCTTTGCTGTACTTTAGTTTCAAAAGAAATGAACATGGAAGTAGTTTTAACCCGTTCAAAGAATTTGTACCCAAATTTTATTTTATTGGTTTTTTGCTTTGAATTATTTCAATTTATGTGCAGGGTCATTTGCTGGTCTCGGATTCTTATCATTGTACTTATCTGGAAAAATAAAAGCATTTGATCGCAGAGGTCATGTTGCAAAACTTTGCATTGTTTTCTTACCACTACTTTTGGCATCACTTGTTGGCATTTCTCGAGTTAATGACTACTGGCACCACTGGCAGGATGTGTTTGCTGGAGGTCTTTTAGGTTGGTGGTACATCCTTAGTATCTTAATCACTTGCTACTATTACTGCCACTAGACTCACTATACCATATTTCTTCTTTCAGGGCTTATAGTGGCTACATTTTGCTATTTGCAGTTTTTTCCTCCTCCTTATCATTCAGAAGGTTTGCTTCTAAACAGATTCTATTGGTTCACTTTGATAATTTCCTGTGGAAAATTACCCAAATTCATAAATTTGTATCTATTATGAAGTGATTGAAAATTACCCAAATTACCCAACCTTCTGACGATCTAGAATATGTTGTTTTTCTCTGCAGGTTGGGGTCCTTATGCATATTTTAGAATGTTGGAAGAATCAAGAGGTATGACAGAAGCTCCTAATGTTCAAAATTCTGGTCAAGCACAGTTAACAGAGGTTCAGGCTGAGAGCAAGCAGGGACAAAGTTGCCATGGGTGTATGGGGTTATCTTTATCACACGATCACACTGAAACATTGGATGACGTTGAATCTGGGAGGAGATAAATTATGTACATCTGATGATCTTGCTCTTTGTATATCAGATCCTAGGATTTAAAACTAGCTAACACGTTTTGCTGAATAGATGTTTTCTACGCAATTAGTCACTAGTGTCTCTGAAAACTTTGAAGCGTACATGTTTCCAAGAGTCAGATTTGGTACAATTAACGTCAGTTATTTCTTAATTTGTGAATACGTGGACATGAGAAAATACGAAATCCCTTGACTGAAGATCCTCCGTAGTTTTCCCAGATGACCGATTTATTCAAACAATTTTTATATGAAGAATAAAACAACTATTTTGGATAATTTTGGATTTCGATAGAAACAACAGTGAAACGGGATATACAAAAATCCCCATGATTTATTTGTAGTTCAAGTTTCTTCTAGTCCATATGACTTCGTGTTACAGCTTTTAATGATGACAAACTATGCCTAATTGTTCTTATTTTATTGTAAACTGTAATTAAAATGAAATAATTGTTTTTCTTCAAAACAACACATATTTTCAAAGAAAAAAATATGTTGCAGAAATTTATTTGATTGAGAGTGATGTTATGTATTTTTATATACAAAGCTTGCAAGTAGTTTTTCTCAATTTTTAATGTTGTTCCTTGATGCTCTTGGCCTAGATTCAAGGCTTGTTATTGAAAAAAAAAAAACGATTGATCTTATTCTCTTGAAGTCTTCACGTGTAGCAAGGAAGTAATATAACCCAAACATTTGCAGCACTCTGTTACTGATAAATATCATATTGGCATTCCAAACTAAAGATTCCAAGTAAGTAAGAAGAAAATGCAGAACTTCATGGATTACATTAAATAAACCATTTAACACTTTAAATTCGGTGCGCCGTGGGACAATCAAATGTGTCAATTTTCTCGATACAACAACAAAAGCAGAAAAAAAAAAAAAAACCATGAAAACAAAGCCAAAATGAAAATTGCAACATCATATCTGAATAACAATAGTTTTGTTGGAATCTGAAAAGTTTTTCTTGGATTTTCTAGACTTACCGGTTCGGAAATTAAAATCGTATCCGATACCTTGGCCGAAGCCGAAGCCAAGACCCAAGCCACAACCCATTCCAAGACCAAAAACGAGGTGCAGGTGGTTAAAGGGCCACCCACCGTACCCGAAGCCACCAACCAAACCAAAACCTATTCCCGCACCGCATCCGATGCCAGCACCGAAGCCAGGACCCAACACTGATGTTTGAGGTTTGTTGGGCTTGTTTCCTAGGAACTTGTTAATCGAGAATTGTCGTTTCTCACTGTTACTGTTGTTGTTGGCGTTCCAAGTCCAGAATGAATCAGCATCGCCTTTGGTTTCCACAAGTTCCATCTTTGTTGCTTTGCTCACTTACTCTGCCTCCTCATCTTCATCTATGGATAAGATTCAAATTCTAACTTCTATGTTTACTTTCCATAACCTGTGATTATATTTTAAGGATAATTCTTTTATATATTTTTTAAATATTTCCCTTATTTAAATAGTCTACCTACATATATCATTTTATAAAATAATACTTACATAAACTCAATTATAATTATATTTATTTAAATGATACTAAAAATATTTATAGTAAATTAATACAACTCTATTTTTTCAAATTATTTCATCTTGTTAAAAGTGATCTATCTTAATTTGTAATTTTAAATTTGAATTTCTATTTAATAAAAAGCGCTGTACCATCCCATATAAATGAAATATTAATTTGTTGTTTTTTTTTCAATTATCAATTATTTGGTTTGATGTTTATTTTTAATAAAATTTTGAATGAAATTGAAAAAGAAGAGAGGATATATACCAAAAAAAGAAAAAGGCATGAGCAAAGATAAATGAAAATAAGTAGAAATTAATATAATTTTACATGGGATACAGTTCATAAGAAGCAACCAAGGCCTTAGAAATCTCAAAAATGAGTCTGGCCTCAAATGCATCACCGGAATAAGCCTTTGACACTTCACGAGCCTTTGGAATCCGTTTCACACCAAACATGTTATCAGTATTCATGGCACCTAAGTTACTAGCCAACCTCAACATAAAGTTCATGTAAGCATTCTTTAGCTTTCTCAACATCTTCAATGGTGATCTCATTATCCATTTAAGCCTTGGAATTGCTCTGATCCTCCAATATCTTCGTCGGCTTCTTCTCAACCGTATGATCTTCATCTTCTTTCCTCCGGTGGTGGTGCCACCGTTGAGACACTGGTAGCGCCGCCTTCTTAAGTACCTCTTCATGCCACCATAGTTTGGCTTAGGCAATAGTGACTCCATTTCCATTTTCTGAATAATTTCAACTTGGAAGTACTGGGAGTGAATAGATGGTGCTTAAACTTGCTTTGCACGTTGACAATATATAAGATGAGTGAAAACATAATTATACATATTATTATTGAATTAATTAAGATTATTAACAATATCATAAACCATATAATAACAATATTGATAGGGACATACTGTTTTCTTTTACTATTAGATCATGGGCTGCTTTTGAGAAATAAAGAAAGTCAACAATTGATGCGTTGACCAGAGATGAGGCATGAAACAACACTTTTCATCCTCTTCTGGTTACTTGAGTTTCTGTTTTAGTAAAATATATTGGGTAATTAATTAAGTTTAGTTTTAACAGAGATAGGGAACAAGTTCTTAATTAGATTTGGCTTGGGGAGGATAAAAGAAAATATCCAAATTTTATTCATTTATTTATGAAAATGTAACAAGAGTTTGAACAATTTACGATTTTAATTTCATTTACACTCAAATGTAAAACTAACCTTATTAGTTACAATATGTCTTATCACATAAAAGAGTTTAATTTGTCATATTTAGCATTAGAATACCTTTATATTTCCTATAAAAAATTACTCTTTTCTTGAAATTTAATGTTAATCTTTCGATGAGATTTTTGAAGCTAATATTAACCCCGATCGTATTTATAGTAAATTTTTTGACAAAATATTCAATATAAGTAACGCTCCAATAAAGATTTGTCAATAAATTTGAATTTAGATCCTTTTAGCCGATTGTTTTAACTTATTAATTAATAGAAAGTTCTAATTAATAAACAAGTGATTAATAAGATTTTTTTTAATAAGTAATAGCTTTTGTTATAGGTAGAAGTTAGCACATTACTAACATAATAGTTTTTATAAAATGGTAAAGTGATGTATACACTGCTTAATATTATATGCATTTTTTCATGCTTATTAAAAAGTCTCAAAAATGAAATTTCTATGTATCGGCCTGCATACAATTGATTTAAAAATTTAGAGAATGACTAATATTCTCATTCATATATATTTATCAGCTGCCTTGAAGAAAGTAGATAACTGTAAGTGATTACGCCACTCTTTTAGGGAGATAAAGAGTTAAAAAATATTTTGAAGAGTGAAGTGTATATATATTTTATGTGTGAGGGTGGGTATGATTCATGATAGCTGCACAAAGGAAATGGAGGTATATATGTCAGTGCTTACGTTTATTTGAAAGAGAAATTATGATGTGTTTGAAAATATGAATTAGATTGCATGTATTCTACTAATAACAAAAATATTTTTAAAATACTTTAGAATTTTAGTTAAAAAATTTTTATATTAAGTGAAAAATATTTGTTAACCTTTCCCAAGGGGTCAACTATGAATCTGTGCTTCACCATGATGCTTAGAGGTTGTGTTTACTTTAATTAAATGCTTGGTTGGTTTGCTAGCTATGTAGGAAGTCTACATGCAATTGATACTAGTACTGTGGGAACCAAACAGGTTAATCCAATGAACATTGTTTTTATACAATTTTAAGAGCATATCTTACACAATTTTAAGGATTAATTGAAGTATTTATATATTCATATCCTATGTATTATTAACTTAATGTGCAACATATATAGCACTTTTTCACATGCCCGAATATTTGCTAAAAAAATGTGCCCGAATATGAGGAACAGGGTTGTGTCTAACCAAGAGAATATCGAAAGATGATCATTGCGGACCCATATACCAACCTTTTTAAATCCTTTGCTTTTGAAAAGTTAATTTTTAAAAATATAATTTACTCAAGAAGAAAATTTTCAGTCATTAACACATACTCATCAAGATAATACACATTTATATACATAAATGATTTTTCTATCATGTATGTTCATTTTTTTAATGTACTAAGTAATTTTATACTATTGATGTAACATTTTTTTAACTTTTTTGTTTTTATTTTGTAGCCTTATCTGTGTATTGATGAATATAATAGACAAATCGATACACAAACACATGGAAGTTATCTTAAAGTAGAAGAGAAGTCATTGTTTTTGTAGGTTGGTTTAATTAAGTGATACTAAATGTATCCTTTTACTCATGCTAATTCGCTGTCAATGCATGATATTTAGGAGGAACAAAAAGACACCATGATAGCCATGTTAATTAGTTCACTAACACGAACAATGCATCTGGAGTCAAAAGAGTTTGCTGACTCTTTTTCTCAAAATCAAATTATATATATATTGGCCTTTAAACACTCCAACTTGCCATGCCTAACATTGAATACACAAGCTATATTCACTTCACTTCCTTACTTACACATAGAGAGCCTTCAATTTAATTTCACCAATAAAGATAACCTTCTTCCCTTCGTCCTCCAACTCAAAGATCTTCGAACAACACATGGATATGGAGTTGGAGTCACTCTTGCCAAAGCCAAGTTGTAGAAGCATAAAGGGGTACTTCACAAGGAGGCACTATCAGCATCTTTATTATGGTGGAAAGAAGAAGATCATAAGGTTGAGAAGAAGCCCATGTAGGTATTGGAGGATGAGAACAATCCCAAGGCTTAGATGGGTGATTAGATCACCATTGAATATGTGGACAAAGCTTAAGAATGCTTATGTGAACTTAATGTTGAAGTCCATGAACAATGACAACATCTTTGGTGAGAAACGGATTCCACAGGCTCATAAAGTGTTTAAGGATTATTTTGGTGATGCATTTGAGGCCAGACTCATATATGAGATTTCCAAGGCCTTGGTTGCTTCTCACGAACTACATCCCATGTAATCGTAATTGTCTTCTATGTTCTCTTTCATCTTTTTATTACGTGCAATATTTGCAAAATTCAGTGTGCATGATTGATTCGCAGAATATGTTGAGGAAACACTTAGGATTGTTTGCCTTTACTTTGTCTTCTAATTTCTATTATGATTTCTTTATGCATACTTAAATGGAATGTGTTCATCAGTCATACAGTACTGTGGGGAGAACTCATTTAATTGATCAGTAGTTATATTTTTTTTTCCTTTTTTATTATATTATCTATCACATCATTTATTTGTTGTTTCTTTTCCTGTTGTCTCTTTCGTGTTTTTTTTTATCTATTCCACACCTCATTTTAAGATGTTAACAAAATATTTTTCGTAATTGATTTTAAAAGACACCCAAATCATGTAAAAATGTATGCTTTTTTATTTTAAAAAAATATGATAATTAATTTTTAGCAATAAAATAGATGAGACCTAGTTTATTAGTTTCCTTATATCATCATAATCTAAATGTAATTAATAAATATATTGATGCATCAATGTTTCGTTTGATTCTATTGAAACAACATGGAGGAAAATGAACATTAATGAAATTGTAGAATTTCATGCTATTTCATGAATTTGTTGTGAAATATGATAATATCACAGGGTGAATTTCAAAAGCCATAAATACTCTTGCGTAGTAGAAATAATTTTTATATACAAAGATGATTTTTTTTATTAATTAATATAAAGGTAACATAATTTTACTTTTTAATTTTTTTAAAATTTAGTTTTTTTTAAAATAATGACATGATTAACTAATAAGAGAGTATATCACCTCTCAATTTTTATGAACACTAATATTAGATATTGAAAGTTCTGAATTCATAAAATTTAAGAATAAAACTAAAAAAATCAAAATTAAAATCAAATTTCATAAAAATATGAAGATTAATATTGGATTTATGAAATTTTTCTAGAAATTAAGTTTAAAATATTTTAAATTAAATTTATGATTAATTCAATTCTACTCTAATTAAATAATGTTTGATTGGATATGAATTTACTTTTAGTTCAATATTACTAATACTAATCTAAAAACTTGGAAACAAAGTAAGTATGCTCTCGCACGCTGATTCTGACTTCTAAGTCCAATTTCAGAAATTACAATGAATCGCATTCCATTCAATTTTCTCGTCGCTCTCTGGTATTTTGGTCGCAAACTACACACTCCACAGTAATTCTAACTCAAATTATGCCCAAATTTTCAAAAATTACTTTATTGATAAAATTAAAAAACTGGAAGAACAAAAATTATAACTGGATAATGTATAATTTCTGAAGCGTATGCACAACTTTTAACTTTCTTCCTTTTTATTATTTAGTGAAAATGATAAATAATTTAAAACACAAAAATTATTATCAACAATTTAATTTAAAATTCTCATATTAAAAAAAATACTAAACCATCAGCAAACTGCATCAGAACAGGGATTAATTAAAAAAAGACGGCTTTCAAAATTTTCAACACAAATAATTTTCTTAAAAAAAGATTTGGGGGGATTAATCAAAGTTATCAAATACATATCTAATAATTTTGCAGCCAAACTTCTAGATGCTGCTTTTCTTTTTGATTCTTTAATTTTTCAAGTTTTATTCCATTCACACGTGTTGCCTGCATAGTTCTGTATGCAACTTATTCAATTTTACGTGTAACCATTACTAAAAACAAATTCATGCTTTCAAAATTACATAAAAAAATCGACTTTGCTTTCATTCTACTCAGTTCCAGATTTGTTTCTCTGAATACCAAATATTTAAATCCTTCTATCAAGTTTTGTGTTCCTTATTATATTCATCGATTAATGGGAAGCTTCAAAATATTGTTTAATGTGCATTGTTTGACCATATTTCCCTGTGCAGGTCTTACCATCTTACATCAAATTAATTGAATCAATTCACCCACTTTTCTTTCACCGCTGACAATTCATAATAAAAGCTTTTAAGAAAACAAAGTTTATATTATAATATGAATATATAAGGAGGAGCAATAATTCATGGACAAAACAAATAAAAATATTAAAAGGAAGAAAAAACAATGCTCATTGCTGACTCACGTGGTCACAATCACAACCCACCATCTCAAGTCAAACCGTAGTTTCTTGACTCTCTCTTTCAATGCCAAATCCATTTATATCCTCCAAATTGCAACACCAAATGCAAAATTCACTTCCATAAACAGAGAAGAAACTCCTTTTTTACATCAAAACATGGAAACGGAGTCACTGTTACCTAAGCCAACTTACGGTGGCATAAAGAGGTACTTGAGACGGCGGCGCTACCAGCGGCTCGACGGCGGCAACGGTGGAAAGAAAACAAAGATCATAAGGTTAAGAAGAAGCCCACGTAGGTCATGGAGGATCAGAGTGGTTCCAAGGTTGTCATGGGTTGTGAGGTCACCGTTGAAGATGTTTACGAAGCTTAAGAATGCTTACATGAACTTCATGTTGAGATCAATGAACAGCGACAACATGTTTGGCGACAAACACATTCCTAAGGCTCGTCAAGTGTCTAAGGATTATTCCGGTGATGCGTTTGAGGCCAGACTCATTTTTGAGATTTCCAAGGCCTTGGTTGCTTCTCATGAACTATATCCCATGTAATTGTTTCTTCTTTTTTTCGTTTCGATTTCTCGATTTTACTTTCCTGAAATTTAATTCCCATGTGATTCTGCAGAAAATGTTCAAGAATCACAAAGACCTTTCATCTTTTAACTTACCCTTTTTTTATTCCTTGTTAATTGAATGCACTTATTGGAATCTGTTCATATATAAGCTATGTATATGATCTCCATCACTTGTTTCAACTATCTAACCTCTGGTTATTCTTTTCTTGATGTTAATTTTGATGTATATAGTAATTAACATAAATAATTTTGAATTGATATAACATCAAAAGCAGTTTTACTCAGTTGTGTGGGGGAATTAACATAGGCTGAGCCATATCCAGCGATGCTCAGTGGATGGTCCCGTGTAAGTTAATTCATTTCAATCATTTGACTAATTAATAAATAATATTTCTATTAAAAATAACAATAATATTATTAATATTATAATTTTAATAATAACTTGTATCATAAAAACAATTTAAAATGATAATTTTGATTATTATATTTTGGTTATACTTTTCGTAAGCTTGATTCGAGCGTGCTTGCGTTTCAAACATAATTTCAAAATTGTCAGACGCAAATAATTGAATTTGACCAGCACATGAAAAAGATAAACCAATGCATTGAAAAAATAAGCTTTTGCATTATAGAACTCGAGTCTCAACTTCTGCATTATCTTTATTCTATTTTTATTTTTATTTTATTTTAGTTCAGCCATAATAGGCAAAAAGGTTGGACTTTTTATTATTAGCTTTTTAATTTTTTTTATTTTATAAATGGACCTGAGTGTTGAACCAAAAAATTTAACCTGAGTAAATGTCGAACTCGATATTGCATTTTTTTTTATTTTGTTGTTTCTTAAATTTTAATTAATAAAGAAAAATAAATACAAGAAACGAAGCATATATTCGGAAAATTTTGATACTTTAAAAGAAAAATGAGTTTAATTCAAAGCTTGACTTTCCTTCTTTTTTTTTTTTTTTTGTTACTTGACTTTAATTAATACGTTGTCACATTTTGAAATTTGTTTATCTGCGATAATTATGAAATTTATTTTTAGGAAAATGGTAAAAGTATATTATTAAAACTTTAATTTAGATGCGTAGGATAAGTCCAATAGTATATTAGTGTGTACATAAAAAAATTATTAGTTTGAATACCCCCTTTTACCATAAAAAAATATCATATATTAATTATTCTATGTAAAATAAATCGTTAATGTAAACAATACCAGTTTACAATGATAATTTAATGCATCTTAATAGATTACTATGTTGGTTTAAAAAATTAATATGTATATAACTTATAAATGAGTTTTAAAAAGTTTATGATTTTTTTTGTTTTTTATAAAATTCTAATTGATTTTAATATATTTTTTAATTAAATTTATATCATAAAACTTTTATATAATAAAAATTTATCAAATAAGTATATAACTAATCTGCTTACTTGAATGCACTCAATGTCTATATTAATAGTTTAATTTTTGTTAGACAATATTTATATTAATAGAGGTAAATTTAAACAACCCCACAAATTTTTCATTTGCACATGCATATTTTATTTTGGTTGTGTTTTCGATTCATATAATTATATGCTATGATGAAGTTATAAAAGATAGATAAAAAGATAAAAATAATTTTAAGTTAAATGAAAGTATTAATTATATTTTTACATTATATGTCATTTTCCTTAACAATAAATAAAAAATATAAAAATACTTATTATGAGAAACTATTCCCTTGATATTTTAATTTCATTTGATTTTCTAATCAATATACCACACACGATTAATTACTATCTTATGCATTTATTGTAAAGTAAATATTATCTTTATTTTTTTAGATAGCTTTTAATTTTGGGGAGAAACAAAAACTAGTGTGGTCGTCATTAATCATTTTTTATTCTTAATTTAATAAACTGATATACCTCAAAAGTTATTTTTCTTAAAATAAATTGATCAAAATTCACAATAATTTAATTTTCATAGTTAGGGAAAAACTCATTAATAATTTCATTTATTAAACCCATCTCTTCATGTTAAAAGCATTTCTATTTATTGGGTTGAAAATAAATTCTTTTATAAAAAAAACTAAAATAATAATCATCAATCCCTTAGCCTTCTAGTTGAAGAGACCACAAGTTCAGTTGTAGTCAAATTAGTGTAGTGATAGTTGGACAAATATTTATAATAGTATATGACATATTCAAAGCAACATAAAATCATATAACAATGCATTATAGAATCAGTGACAGGTTTAAATTTGAAAATATTAGATTTTATCATTAATGCTTTGATATATAATGAATGACAAATCACGATAAGTATAAGTGTATTTACCATATATTTATTGCCTACGTCCTTTCTTAAATCCCCAGAATTGTCATTTTCTCAAAAAATTTCATCACTAAATGTAGTTAATATTATTACTTTCTCAAATGTAATTAATAAAAAAAAACTGCAAAATTTGTTTAGAAAAATAGGTTCAGCCTTATTTAAAGAATCGTCTCTTAACAAAATAAGCAGTGAAGCAATTTCATTCTGGCAATGGATTTCAATAGTAATTCTGTTTCATCAAATTTGCCACCAAATTCCATGCCAATGCCTCCTTATCCTATGGATCAGTATCGTCAAGAAGAGACAGAGGTGAGTTGATTCCTCTTTAAACTCCAACTACAAATTCAAATCTCAGTTGTAACAAAATCTTAGACTTTAAATTGAACCCATGCTTGCAAAATCCTTCAGTTCTCTGTTTTTCCTATTGACTTACTCCACATAACGTTGAAGCTTTTTGCTTTTTTCCATGTAAGAACAGGTGGAGAAACTTCGATTATTCTGGCAGGAACAGTTATTTAGTATTCAATCCACTCAAGGTTTCTTGTCTTCAACAAATAACCCTGCTATATATATATATTTTTTATTTCAAAATATAAAAACATATATACCCTTTTAACCTTATTTTTCAACGAATTCTTTACATTATTTATTTATTTATGAAGTAATTAAATTACTTGTATTTAAAAATAAACTAATAATAATATATTAAAAAGACTATACAATTATCATTTCTTTCAATTAACCACTTAATTTAATGGTAAATATGTTTCCCTATGATGTAATTGGCAGCATTGAGGAGCCAGCAACCCTTGCCACTGGCTCGAATCAGAAGGATCATCAAAACAGACTCGGGGGTGCAGGTTTATACATATTTGCTTCTGCCTCATACCCCTTTTTTAAAATCTCTCTCTGTGTGTGATTTTTATGTTTTACATTTTATGTGAATTAATTATGCATATTTTTCTTATAATTCTAAATATTCTTTTACTCTAATTATTTGACATTCGTGTCATTAATTTGGTAAGAGTTACTTGTGTAATACAATCATTTAATTAATTGATAGTGCTTCTTATAAACATCATGTGTTAGTTGGTATTGTTTTTAGAAAAACAATGTTGTAATTGAAACGTGTGAATGAGAAAAGATGTAAAAGCAATTGTTCTTAACTCTTAGGATGAAATGTCTTGTAAGCAGATGATCAGTGCTGAAACTCCAATATTGATGGCAAAAGCATGTGAGATTTTCATTCAGGAGCTCACCTTTCGCGCATGGATGCTTGCTGAAGAGAGCAATAAGCGTACGGTGAAACCTTGTGACATTGCCAAGGCCATTTTGCAAACTGAAGTCTTTCATTTCCTTAGTGATGTTGTTCCAAGTGACCTCCTCCGATTCTGTGCTTTTGATACCAAGGTCTCTTCATTTACAGTTACATCTTCCATTTATATACATTCAATCATTTCCTTAATCTACCATTGATCCAATATTTGATTATTCAACTAATTAAAATAAAAACAAAACTTAAGTGAAGTATCCTTGATATCATTTTCTAATCAGAATTTACCTAAGTATTAAATAACAGCACACCAGTAACACAGGTCGGGCAAATGTTACTAAAGTGAAACATTCTGATTAAAAAATAGCACCAACAATACTTAGGTACTGTACTTAAGTCTTGTCCTTAAAATAACCCTTGTCCTCAATGCTTTTGTTAGCCACTCACACTACATGTTTAGGAAATATTGATTATTTGGAATATTATGAAAGACTTAGTTACTATTTAGTGCTGCTACTAAGTATAAGAGATAATGAGGCCTTAGAATTTCCTCTATAAGCATGAGATAAGGTTTCCACACAACTTCACATCAAATCGATGAGCTATTTGTGTGTGCTTATGAATCTTTGTATTTTGTGATAAAAATTGATAGAATATCTTAAGATAAATAAGCACAATGGTTGTTTTATTCAGATATGGAAAATGAGTAATTGACAGTTATGGTATATACTTATTATAGCATGAAGAGAATGCTGGAAACATTGCAGAAGGAAGCCAGGCATCCCTGCCTCACCCTGCTGGCTTAATGGGAAATCCTATGATGAATATGGGCAGTGTAAGTAAACATGTGTGGTGTGACTCTGTCTTATGTTAAATTCAAATCAGTCCGAGAAAACTGTTGTTCTTACTCATGAATGTGTTGATTAATTTAGTTGAATTAAGGTAATATCCTTTTATTGACTTCATAGGACCAGGTGGCAAGAAATCACCTGATTCCTCAATCTTACATGATGCAGCCACCCTTTATGCCTTCTGATCAATTGCCTTACAATTGTCACACCAAGGTAAGAGGGACTTTGTTATTTGTTCATACTATATCATGAATTTAGTGTTTCTTATACACCAATGCCCTTCATCTTTCAATGTAAAGTTCTTCAGTTTTAAAATTTTGCAGTCAAAGTAGGCATGCATTTACCAATTACCAGGGGTGATTGAAGTCATAATGTGGTTGAAACTACCTGTTCTTGCTGCATTGAAGCAACATGTTACCTTAATTACCATAAAAATATTTTCTGTTTGGCTGTTTGGGAAAGTTTGGCCCAATAAATGAATTGGGCATCTTAATGTTTAAAGTTTTTATGTATTATGGGATGAACAAAGACCTTTTGAAATGGTTATACAAAAGAATAAGGATTGTTAATAAATGGTAACATTAGCATAATTCACATCACTGTAATGCATTCTAGTAATTATCAGGCATAAAATTAGATCACAAGAAATTTTAGCAGGCTTATGTTTGAGGTTTGGAGTTGGCATGGATTATATTACACTATTCTTTGTTATCTATTGAAAATTACACTTTCTATTCCTTATTCTCAGATTGAGATTTACCATACAATATTTTCGACTACCAAATTGCATCTTTGCCGTTCGACACCGTGAAAAAAATAGTTGATAAATATAAAATGGCATAAGAGGTGGAATTGTAATAATATAGTTAATAAAGATTAAAATGAAAAAGTAATAAATTTAATATAGCCCTGGTTTACTTCCATTTAATTTTAAACGTGAAATCAAAAATTAAATTTAAGTGAACAAAACAATGTGAAGTTTTTATTTTTCAGTTAACAGTTTTTTTTTTTTAAATTAATTTAGTGGTTTGAAAAAGGTTTGAATCAATTCTTTGGTTACTTAAAAAAGATTTGGATCAATTCTTATATCTTTTGAATGAATTTTATTTTATTTCATCAAATTGATGCGAAAGAAAATACTGAAATTGGACAAGTAGATTTTTGTGACGTCTTCAAGACAGTGACTGAGAAAACACAAATAAAAAGCTGAAATATTTCGAAATCAATATCAATAATAGCTAAAAAAACTAATAACAAAAAAATTTTAGGTTACTTAAAAACCAAAATAAAATATTTAGTGGAAATGACCATTATTAAGTAGTTAATACTCTTATTTCATGGATAAAATAAATGAACAATTTTGTTAGTAAATATTCATGAATTGATTAATAATTTTTAAATTATTATTATTTTTAATAAGTGATTTCTATTCTTAACCACGATGCTTTTATTAATAATTTTTTATCTTTTAAATAAAATACCTAAAACTCTCTTAAAATAAATTTTATTTAGTATTTCTTAATAGTCATTGTCGGCAGCTCAATAATTAAAAAATCAGACTTAATTACTTTCAAAAGCTAATTTAAAGGAAAGGAACAGAATTATGCAAGCCATCTTAAGTTGTTCTATTCACACTCAAGATTGCACATTAAATTTGCATGATTAAGTGTTGATGCCTAATTCACTTTAGTTTAAGAAAAAAAATTCAAATTTTATGAAAAAAATATATTGACAATATTCTTAACTTAGACAGAATGTAAAAAAGTAAAAATGGAAAGAAAAAAATATATAGAAAAGGAAACAGCAAAAGAATCACTTTATTGGTAAAGTGGACAGATTCGGGAACTACTTTTGAAGAGTGTCTGCATTGCATACGCAAGATTCCCTTATTGGTCCCTTGTAAAGTAGAAAAGAGAGAGAGAAAGAAAAAAAATGTAAAACGCTATAGAAATTGTGGTTAAAAATAAAATTATTCCAATAATAATGGGTTGACATGTGTAAATAATCTCTCAAAGACACACTTAAGAACTCAGCTAGATCAACAACAATAAATATTAAAAAAAACTGTATACTTAATATTAATAACAATATCTTTTCTAATTTGTTTAACATTTTATATATAATTTTGTATTCCATGGAAAGGTTAAAAAGAAAAGAATCTTTGATAATGAGGTCACGTGTTGATGCTTTATACCTTACTTTGGTTTTGGGTTACCTTACTTTAAGGAACTTTAAATTTAAGTAAAGAGCAATGTTTTTGAGGAATGGTAATAGATGGAGGTATATATAAAAGAGTAAGGTAGAAGCATTCTCAGAGTGAGTGTGAAGTTTGAGAGAAAGTGGTGAGGAAACAGAGAGAAGGGAATGGGAGATTGGAGCAATCAGAAATTGTGGGAATGGGCTAATTGGGAAGCCAAGAAAAATACAATCCATTTTCTTCCCAATTCCGCCCATTCCTATCATTTCTTATTGTTCTTCCCTTTCCCTTTGCTTTCTTCAATGTCCCTTATTTTCCATCTCTGCACTCCATGGTAACTTTATTATTTTTTTATGCTGTTTGATTGGATATTGCATATTGGATCCTAGTTCAACTCATAAAATTGTAATATGATTGTAGTAATCATATAGTTGCTTATTTTCTTTTGAAAGATTTTGTTTTTATCCATAATGATACATAGAACTGACTGACATATTCTGCAGCCTGAGGATGTGGGATCAAATGCTACCCCATGGTATTTGCTGTTTATTTTGAATTTTTTAGTTTAATTTATCCATTTTTTAATTCGGGTCATTCAAAGAGACCTGCTTTTGAAGAGAGACTATTTGCAAAGACTTGGATGTTCTTGCTTTCTCTGTCTTGAAGCTTTGCAAATTTCCCAAACATAGAACCAGACAAGTTCCTCTACGTTGTAGAAAGTGGTGTTATGTTGTCAGGCTAAGGTTGCTACTTGAAGAAAAGTGTCATTATCTCCATTTTTTACTCAGCTTCATTGAAGAAAATTGTTATTTATTTATTTACTTGAGGACAATATTACCATTCAATGTAAATCAATTATAATTCATTTTTGTTGTTACTTTACTTACTATTCGTTACAAACTAAATAAAAAAAATTAATCCAAATATCTAATCGTAATTTAATAATTGTACTGATTAAAAGATTAGCACTTGCAGCCCAAATTCTGGTGTATAAGCTGAGAGAAAATAATAAAAGAAATCAAATAAAGTTCAGATTTGTTGCACGAGATTTTAGAACAAGAAAACATGGTCATTAGTTCACGCTTTCATGTTAAATGATTTTTTTTTAATTATTAACATGCTAAAGGAAATTAAAAGAGAGAAAAAAATAAATTTGAAAATACAGGCATGAATAATAAGATTAAACGTTTAAATTAAATTCTTTGAAAAAGGGAATGTGAGATTAAGGAAAATAATTAATTATGTTATATTTTTTATAAATATAAATATTATTCTAAAAATATTTATGATATTAAATAATATAGTTAATAATTTGTATATTTAATGATACTAATAAAAGAAAAGTATAAAAAAATTTAATAATTAATATATTTTAAATTTATTATTTATTTTTTATAATAAAAATTAAAAAAATATTTTATTTTATTTCTTATAAAAATGACAAGAAAGAGTATATTTAAAGCAAAACAACGAATCTAAGAAATGCATATTTTTCTTTATAGCTTATTGAGTGAAAGGGCACATAAAATAACCCACATGTTCTAGCCTTAAGGGTGCGTTGGTCAAGAACCAATATGAGGCCCAGTTTTGATGCAATGGGGTTCAACTACTATTTCTTTTGGGCCTTTAGGTTTAGCTAATTAAATATTTTAAAATTATAAGAAATTTGTGAAAAAAAATAAAAATAGATTACATCATTTAAATTTTTATTTTAAAATATTTTATTTGAATAGACTAATTAAGCGTTTTTTATTTCAAATATTTTTGTTTGTATAGAGTAGTTAAATTATTTACATTCTTAAAAAAAATAAAATGATCATTATATTTGAGAAAATTAATTAAAATATGAAATTTAAATTATTAAATTAATTATAACTAAATAAAAATCTGAATGAAACATATAATAAATAAAAATAAATAAAATTCAAATCCACACTCTTTTATTAGGATTTATTTATTTTTATTTTAGTCTTTTAAAAATTCAAATTCCCACTAAAATTTTTAAATTTTATAAAAATAAATATCCAAACAATAAATTTTAACCCATAAATTTATAAATTCATTGTAACTCTAGTAATGTTGGTTGACAAAAAAAAAGCTATAGTTCTCACAAATTGAGTTATTTTTCTCTGTGGATAGAAATAATAAATAAAATTAAACAAAATTGAATAAGAATATTTTATTTAATGTTAAGTCTTTTATGAAATGTATTTTCTAATATGTTTTGTTTTCAAAAAAGCATTAAACATAAGATAACATATTTTATCTTGTAGTGTCCACTTATAGCTTTTCTGCTTATTTTCTACAATGTTCTATTTGCACTTCTATTTAGAATTCAAAAGAAGCTGTGAGAAAAATAAAAATGGGACCAAAGGAATGGTCTCAAGTACTTATTCTTGGCCGTCAAAAAAAAAGTTGACTTATTCTTATGGAAAGTGGAGAATAAGAGTGGCTTATAACTGGGTGTGTATTGTATTGTTATCTTTCAGCAACAAGTATATGGAAGCCAATACCTAGATTTACCCATTTTAGATAATACCTTTTCTGCATTCCATATTTGGGAAGAAAGCCACACTACTCTAGAATACTCTTCATCATTCTCCTATTTAATACAATGGAAGAAAAATAAAACATTTTCTTGAACAAGCAATAGGAAATCCACTGATATATCCTATACACATAAACGAAATGAAAGGATAAATATAATGCTATGGTATCAAATAAAGAGCAGTGCCTTTTATTTTCTTACGGCAATAAAGAATATTACTTTAACAAATTGACATAGAAACAAATGACATTGGAAGTTTGGAATAAAAAGTGAGGCAATGGGGTGGTGAAGGGTGGAAGAACACTCCTCATTCAGCTGTCACATGATTTTTGTTAACTTTTGTGTTCTTCATCAAATTCAATTGAAAATACTGTATTCTTCTTCTTGTTAACTTCTATACTAATCATACACTTATTATTATAAATGATATTTTTAATGTATAATTAAAAATATATACTCTTTTCTTGTTTCCTTCAGAAACAAACCATTAACAAATTGCATGAAGCAACTGATATTATATATGCATGGGAATAGCAATTCTCCATGTTATGGTGAAATTGATCAGATTTACTTCATGGGTATAATTCAGTTGCTATAACATTACTCATCAGCAATTGAGTGACATGTCATAATTGAACTAATGGCCATTTTTTTATTCTTGCAAGCATTATAAATTAATAACTTTTGCAGAGAATTTTTCCAATGCATAAACTAAAGTACAAGTGGGCTATGATCTTTTTTTTATGCCTATACCACTAATGGCAAGGAGAGTGAATAAAATCGATAGATAGATTCTCTGCTATATCATGACATCTATATCCAATCTTCCAATGAATTTGCAATGCCTCTAGAAAGGCAAATTGGGTAGTACTGTTGAACAGAATATAATAGCAAATACACTCACCAAGTTTTTCTTTCTTTCTTTCTTTTTCCAAATATTTTCGTTTTCCTTTTATTTTAGGAATTGTTTGCCCCTTCTGGCTTAAATTTAACAAGAAACTTGACCAAGAAATTAAATGCAGAATTATTGCAGTGATATGTCATACTAAATAGTAACCCAACATTGAAATTCTTTGTATTAGATTGCTTAACTGTATATTACATGTAAGTATTGTATGTATATATATAATCTAAAAGTTAATAGATAACTTTGAGAAATAAAAAGGCTCATATCTTATGAAAATTATTTAAATCAATTTTTTCACGGACTTGAGATATCATAACACTTTCTTCTTGCTCGCTGAGTACATTCGAAAAGGATAACATTATTTTATTCAGCATTTGTCTTTTTCTTTACGTATCCAACTAATATACCTGTATACATGACAGATCTACATCTTTGTATTCAAATCTATTTTCTTTTCTTATATTTCATTAATTTTATTAAATTTTAAAAATAAAATAAAGAGTAGAAATTCATTGTTTTTCTCTCTCCCACTGAAGAGAATCCATACTCATGTACGTATCTAATTGGCATGACATTAACATACTCGTAGGAACAAGATAATTGTATAATGAAAAGTGGGAAGTGTGAATGCAAGAAGGTAAGGGAAAGGGTCGGAAGGGAAGGCATTATGCATGAGTTTTTCTCTATAAATAGAGCCATTTGAGGCAACTTTCCATATCAATAGTTCTAAGGTCGCTTCCTCCTTTATTAGACAAATAAGGAAGGAGATGACCATCCTTATATACTCTTCTCTTTCTTTCTTCAAAATTCAAGAGTAATATGATTTAAGCCTTTATTTTTATAAATTTAGTCTTCTCATTCTTTTTTTTTATAATTTAATTTGATTTTTCTCATTTATTTTATATTAATATCTTGTAAAAAAATTAATGATGCTGACAGAAGATAGAGAGCACAGATGATGAAATGTAAAAAAATAACATATCACTCCTTTGTGCTTTCTATGCTTCTGTCATCACTTTTTGATAAATAATTTATGAAAAATAATTTATTATTCATAAATTATTTTTAACTTATTTTAATAAATTTTTAGTATAATTTACTAAAATAAGTTTATTGTTAAATTTATGCACACGTTATTGTTTAAAAATAATTTACTGAATAAAATATAAATAAGTGTTTATTCAAATGTACTTATATTGTAAAAATAAATATATTTTAAAGAATTTTATGATCAGATTTATAATATAAATCATCATATAATAAAAATTTATTAATTAATATTTAATTAAGCTATATTCATAAAAGCACCCTCATCCATCCATGTTGTTTGTTTCTATCTCTAGTATAGTGTTGGTGTTAATTAAAGTGATTCATCTTCTTCTTCTTGTCATTACTTTTGCTTCACTTCATTTACTTTATGAATAATTGTAGCTTGTAAAATTGATGTCTAATATGAGAAAAGGGACCGTACATTTCAAGAAGATCGTGCCTATAATTACCAATGGTAAGATTTAAATAACTTTTTGTTTTGCCATTAAATATTGTAGTTAAAATTTGATAGTGGACTTCGATTGAGTGATTTTTCTAATTTTGTTGGTATCTCTTTTTTCTTACAATGTTCATCGTTGTTGATTTCGATGGTGAAGTTCTTACTGGTTTTGTACGCATTGATCTGAAGACACTCTTTAGTCCTCTCTCTAGAAGAGCATATATTAAGATGGCTACAAACACAGTACATGTTCCTAATAGTAATGAGACCCGCTTGACAGTTTGTGACAATGATTCTGCTACCAAATTATAGGAATGTTATTGTTCATAGATTATTTGTTTCTGCATCATGAATATTTATATTGAATCATATTGCATTTTTAGCCAAACATGTACACCACTCCCTTAAGTTATATGTGTCCCTGCTATGACTATCAACAAAATCATCCTTAACTTTTAATGATATTGAGCTATAAGTTGTCATGCCTTCTTAATTCCTCTAAGTTTTTTCCCTTAAATATCTGAACGATAATGCAATTTGTAATCATATTAAAGTAGGATCAAGTTTCAAATTTCAATTAAAATGAAAATTTCAAGTCTGACACCAGATATATATATGAGATGGTCCTTTATATAACGGATAAACTCTTGATAAATTTTCAACTTAAAAAAAATTATTATGATAAATTGACCAAATTTATATAATTAATAAACAAATAAACATATCGCATTTTTTATTTTTAATATAATATATATGTTATATTAATTAAAATAAATATTAAACTAAAAATACTACACCACTTTTTTAAAACTAATGTTAGTTGTAGGTATATCAAAATGTAAAGTTGTAGTGATGAAAACTGCACGATATCCATCCATCCATCCATAACTTGGACTAACGTGAAAAATCTATCGACCCAGTAATAAAAAAGAACTACGTAAAAATCTTGACAACAACGAAATGTTAAAAATAAAATCTTGTTTGATATTATTCGAAAAAAATTTTGGATGATAACTTTATAATCCCTGAAATCTTTATTAAAAAAATTAATAAAGGGAATAAATAAATTTTTATTATAAGTTAAATATTTTTTATTTTTTTATTTTTGAAAAACTCATTTATCTTCTCTAAACTTAAAGAGATAAATTATTTCTAAATTATTAAAAAAATATTCATCTTTTTTTTTTTTATTAATCTTTTGGTAGAAGTTTTTAGTTTTTTAAAATTTAGTTGAATTTCTAAAAAATAAAAATAAAAAGCAAGAGTTTGGTTGGTATTAGAGCATATATGGAGTAGAAGCAGATGTAATACTAATTGTTGACCCACTTTTCATGCACACTGAATAAACAAGGTCGTACATCGTTCAACGTCAAGACTCACGTGGAACCGCCAAAAGAAAATTCTCCATATGTCATTTTTTCCCCTTTTATTGCTATCTCACTCCCGAAAGAAATGCCAGCATCATATATTTTTAAAGAACATTTTATATCATTAAGTAATTGTTATGTAAATTCTACTTAATTAAAAGTGAAATTTACATAATTTAGCAACTGTTCCTAACTTTACCCAATCATACATAATGCATTAAAAAAACACTCTTATTATTATTTCACTAACATATATTGTAAGTTACCCTTAATATTATCAGGTACGTAACCTTTTCTTCCCTTTTTCAAGCATCATACTAACCCGTTTGGAGCTTAAAAAGCAGCTTCATCTGACTTGGATGCTCTCTCAATTGCCAAGGATGCCTGCGAATAATTGTAGGTTTAATAAATCCTGTAAATTTGCTAGTAACATAAGAACTGCAGACAATTTCCATAAAATTCATTGCTATCTTCCCACAAAATATCCCTGGAGAAGACAAAATAAAGGATGTTTCAACTGTGATTAGACCTAAAGATGATTATTTTAGATTATGGATATCCAATTATTGGAAGGACGAGTTGGAGATGGAATGTAATGAAATGAAGTGTCATTGAATAAAATGTAGTAAAACTACAATACTATTGTTAATATTTTTATAATGCAATGGAGTAAAATTTTCATTTTTTTTTTATTTGGGATGTGAGTAGAATGACAAGAAGATTAACAATAAGTATATTTCCTCTCACTGCATTTCATACCTCAAAATTAGGAGAAGAAAATTAGAGGTATTAACAGAAGTGAAAGGAAATACATTTCAACAAGTTTCATTAGTTTTTGTATGTTAATTCATATTATTATTTACTGATTTTGAAGAAGCCATAGCATACAACAAGAAGCAAAGGCACAGAAGTAAGAACCTGTTTTTCCCAATTTGTAAATGTTGTTAACAAAGCAAGTATTATTGTTTGTAGTGTAGAGCCAGTCAATATTCCAATCCAGAGGCCTTTATCATTGAAACGCAGACCAAAACCAAACAAGAAAGCCACTGGAATTCCCACAGCATAATATGCTACAAGATTGGTAATTGCCCCTATCTTCTGCCATCCACTGCCTCTCACAATTCCTGATTCATTGAACTCAATTGAGAGCTATGAACTTTATGATTATTGGCTATATGTTTATCAACTAATGATTGCCATTCCCTTTTCAAATTTGTATGTTCATTACACTGTCATGATATAGCATGCAATGCACATATAGCATTCAATGATGAAGACTTACCACACAAAACTCCTAGAAAAGAATCCACACTGACTGAGACACAAAGCAAGGGAACTATCTTTGCAACAGAATGTATAACTTCCACCTCATTGCTAAATGCATATCCCAACACATGACGGATGCAAAAGAGCACAGAGGCAAACACAATTGCATCAGCGAAGGCTAGAACAATTACAGCACGAACAGCCTCTTGAGCTGCCTGCGGTTTTCCTGCTCCTAATTCGTTTGAAACCCGAGTACTACAAAATATACAAGGATGTTGTTTCAACATGTGCTTGATTTTCCCCATTGGTTGTATACAACAAGCACAAAACAAGTTACATAACATGGGGTCACATCACATAGTGAGAGATGAATATATATAAATGATGATCAAGATTGATTTTCTTAAATCTATTCTCGACCATCCGTTATGATTGTATGATCAAAATTAACTCTTCTCAAGAGCATGCTCTCACTTTATACACTTCCTTCATAACATGTCAATGTATGTGCATATGGTAATTGAGCATACCTTACTGCAGCACCAATCCCATATGGAGCGAAATAGTGCAAATTACAAATGTTAAGGCTGCTCAAAGAAAACATGAGTCAGATGAATCCCTGAGTTTTCACTTCAGGCAAAGAGCTTTTCAATCTTTACATAATAAGATCATACCAGATTGACAGAACTGAAGTTTCAATTTGAGGATTTGGTAAAAGTCCTGCAACTATCACTAGCAGCTCAAATGACCACCACTCCAAACTGTGTTCATTAAGATAGAAACATGTTAGACAAAAAAAGTAAAGACAAGAACAAGCATACTCCCTCTAATCCTTTTTATAAGAAACAAATAATTAATTCATACAAACCAATAAAAATAGTTATATGCCATAAATTTATAGTTTATTGTAAAAATACCCATAGTAATAAATACTTAAATTGGTTAACTCTTACATTAAAAGAATTAATATATTCAATTATATAAGCAATGAGCGAGTGTCTTCATAATACAAATCTCACATTAAATAAAGGTACAGAAAGAATTTAATAATTAATACATTTGAAAATGGATTTTTGTTTCTTATATTCTAGATAAAAAAAAATAGTCATAATTGTTTCTTATAGATAGGATTGAGGGAGTAATTGACATAAAGGTGCAAAACTAGAAACTTACCAAACCATAAGTGCAGAAGGGATGGCTAAGAAGAAGAACTCTTTGCTGTTTCTTAAAGCATTGCTCCCAAAGACTATCTTAGTTTTGTGACATGCTTCAGAATACTTTATGTAAAGTAAATACAATATGACAGTGAGCCAATATGAAATTCCAATGGATAAGGCTGCTCCATCTTGTCCAAGTCCCAATCCAAACACCAATACCCAACAAATAGGTATGTGCAAAACTAGGACAGTAACTGAGGTTATAAGCATAGGAAAGATCAAACTCTGAGTCTGTAAATATCGAACCAAAGCTTGAAGTACAGCATAGCCAAAGAGTGCAGGAATGAGCCAGATGCAATATTTGCCAGCTACTAGTGAAATTGCATGGTCTTGTCCCAGGAGAATAAGCAACTTGTCCATGAAAATCCATACAATAGATATTGGAACACAGCTGAAAATGAGAGATATTGTTGCACACAATGCATAATTTCCAATCTTATGAAATTGCTCTGCTCCGAATGATTGGCCACATTGAGTTTCCAAAGCACCAGCCATTCCCATCTGCATTTCATTTCATGTTCTGTCAATGATCCAATGACACCAGAGAAAGCAAAATAGTACTATTTGTCTTTGATATCATGCACTTCTGTATGGCCTTTAAGATGAGCAACCCATTAATCATCAAAAGATTCCTAGAAATAATAACTAAGTTGAATGTTAACTGTATTGCCAGAGCAAATTACTCCTACTAATTTATTTATTTTTTATAAATAAACACTACATTAATTAATGGCACATTTTTAAAATATTGTTTATATTTTCTAAATTCAGGTGTCAATTTCGGACAAATTCAGTCAATTTAGCTGTTTGCAGCTGGTCAATAAAATTCAAAGCTAGATTTAATTGGGTAATTAAGCTGTCGTTAAAATTTTGTCAGTTCGGCCCAATCCACTGTGGGCCTGATACACTAGTCTAGAATATACCAATTTTATTTTCAATTTTGTTAACATAAACATTTAAAGTTTGTCTTAAAGTTATTTTTTAACTATATTAAAAATATAAAAGTATAATAAACATTTTGTAATAAAATTTTATTATTATTAATTACTTAAACTCAATCTAAAGTGTAATGTTAATATTTTTCTTTTATTTTTTAATTAAGAATATCACTTAACTAATAGCCATAGACTAATCTCCTTCAAAGCATAAAAATTACTAAACGAATGATACCTCCCTTAATAAATCAGTTTTTATAAATAAAATTAAAAATTAAATCCTCATCAACATAGTTAAGGAGGCGGATATCTTTTAATTATGTGAAACTTTATTGGTCTACCCATGACTCACCTTCCTTTCTATAAAAATAAATTATTTTATAATCATATCAAGTAAGAAAGTTAATTTAGATGAAAGAAAAATAAATATTAATAATTATATCTTATTCTTCTCATTTTAATATAAAATTAATTTTATTTGATTAAATACATCTCTAATATAACATAAGAATAAAAAAATATTTGTGTTTAGTAGAGGAGAGAATATTTTTTAAAAATATAAAAGATTCATGAGAACATTACCCTACAAATAATTATAAAACTTGTCTTGACAGGGCAAAAGAAACTAATTTTAATGATAATTACATGTAACTATATTATTATAAATAATAATAATAATAAATAAATAAATTTCACAAAAATTTCCAAAAACTCTATTACTAAGAATATAATATAAAAAAGAATATAATTGGGAAGTATTATTACTTAAATATAGAAATAACAGAGGGAAGAAGTCCCACCATATGAACAAAGCTCAAGGATTGAGTTATTCTCACGCCCAACCCGCCGCGGCTCAGTTGAAGAAAAAGGAAACAATAAATTGGGGTAGTTGGATGCGAAGGACAGCGCATGCAAAATATGGCCCCGTCTTCGTCTCCATTCAAAACCTGACCCTACTTTCTCTCTGCTCTGCTTCTGCTTCTGCTTCTGCTTCCACGTCCACGTTTAATGTCCATTCTAAAAATTACTATTCTATATTACTTCCAAAAAAAGTAGCCTCATTTATGTACTCTTATTTTTTATAAATTATTTTTTATGTGTAAAATATTGCCAAGTGTTAAAAGTATATTAAATATAATAATTAAAAAATAAAAACTATATCTTAATCTTTATAAACACACTTAATTTCCCTAAAATACAACTATGTTATATTTTAATATGATAGGCCATACTTTCTTATTTTAGACCTACTCTTAGGGTACTGATATAAACCTCCTGTTATTGTTGTCATTCATTGGCATTATATCTGTCATATGGTAGAAGCTTTCATAAAAAATAATAATTTTATAATAAACGTCACACCACACTGACACAATTACAAAGAGTGCACTGATAGAATGAGAGACTAAAATATACATAAGCTTAAAATGAAAAACAATTAGTCAATTATCGATAAATAGTGGATGTAGATGCTCTGGCTTGCACTCGGTGGTCGGTGAAGTTTGGATCATGGTTTCCACTCACTGCCTATAATTGCATTTACAACTTTTTTATATAAAAAAATTAATATTTGAAGGGCCAAAATTCAATGATTCATGCAGTCTGAAAAGGAAAATGACACATCCAAGATATATTTTGATGGGTCTTACGTGGGTAGTGGAAAGAGAAATATGAAGAAAAGAGAAAAAAAAAATGATGGGTGTTTTGGAAGAATAGAAGGAAGAAAAGAGAGAGAGAATGGAGAAGTATAATCCTTGGTTTGAAAATTTCTAGGGTAAAATAAAAAAGAAAGGCTAGAAACTTCATCAAATTTTTAATTTTCTTGTTGAAATTTATTGTTAATAAAAAAAGGGTTTCTCTATCATAGCTATATGCAAGATTTTGAGCCAATATTTCTCTGATTCTCTATTCTTCAACAAAGCAAACATGCTCCCCCATCACAGGGCTTTCTTGCCTGTTGCCTTTACTCTTAAGTAATTTTTCATTTCTTTTTCTTTCATGCCAAACAAAAGGATAAGGTCTTTGGTTGAAAAAGTGTTCCATTTCATATCCCAAATAAATACCACATTTAGGATAAACAAAAACTATCACGTTTCCATCCCCAAAATAACGTGACACCCAGAAAAAATTTCAGATCACGATAAGCTAAACAGCAAACTTTTATCATAGCCAACATGATGTGTTTAATTAATCATCCAAGTTAACTTTGTAAAAACTAAAGAATGAGAGTTTAAACTTAGTTCATCTGCATAAAAAAAAATGCATACTTTATGAGTAGAAATTAGAAGGAAAAGGAGAGAACTTTACGAGTATGCTAAAGCCAGTGACATCTGCAAAGGAAGTGGCTAAGGCAACACCTGCAAGAGAGAGTTGGCCAAGGTGCCCAGCCATCATCAAAGACACAACTTGCAACAAGAACTGAGACACTGTCACAACCACCATTGGTGCTGCCATGAAACTCAGAATCTTCAGCTGTTGGAGAAAGTTACTTGTTTTTGAGGTCACACTCACCCCATTGTTTACGCTGCTCAGTTTTGGCACCAGCGTTTCATCCATTGCTCTCTTTCTTTCGGAGATTCAAGCCAAAGGGTTTCACAAGGTGAAGAAAATGAAGGATTTTAGCTAGAGAAATTGTACACGAGCAAAATATGCATGTGCGTTTTGGGTTGCCATTAAATAAGATTTATATTATTCTCACCATAAAAACATTTTTCTTTAAATGAAGTAATGAAGATTGGATCAGTTGAAGACAAACCCAATCATGCAGAGTGGCTTAATAGCACTGCTATCTTTGTTTAATTAAGACAAAAGAGTACCTAACACGTTGAAATTAATTTTATCATCGATTAATAAGTTTTTAGATATAAAACAACAATTAATATGAAATAAATAAATAAATTTTTAAATTTTAAAAATTTATACATTTTAAATTTTAAAATAATTAAATTAAAAATATGTAAATTAATTTTAACTTATAACAAAAAATCAATTTATTTTACTACTTCATAAAATTAAATCGAACTGACCTTAATTCCAATTTCCATATCAATAGTCTTGCTTTGTATAACCCTCCTTTCAAGGTTTTCTTATTCTGTAATTTTAAGGTTTTCCTATTAAAAAATTAAGCTTAAATAATCTTAAACTCTAAAGAGATCAAGTACTAATAATATTTGAACTAATACGGGATAAAACTTAAATTTAGTGTTATAAGTATTTTTATTTATTTTTTTTTTTGTTATTTTTAACTGAGACTGGGATATTATATTAACAATATATGTGAATTATTATTGTATAAATTATTGAAATAAAATTTTAATTAAAGAACGTCATAAAAATATCTATATATTATAGATGAATTTTATCTTAAAAAGATGCATTAATTGTACAATGTTCAGTAGTTATTACCTGGAAATGGAGTGAATGCTTTCTTTCTCCAGGGAACAAGCATCTTTTATCATCTTCTTAGAATATTCTTTTAGATGCGAGGGTAGGTAAAATAAATATTTTGTAAATACACTTTTATTATTAAAATTAAATTTTTAATACTTGATATCTCAAGCAAAGGTCCATGATAGAAATTAATTTTGTTGCAAATCAACCAAATGAACTAGTAAAGGGACTAAGTCAACCTCGAAGTTTTTGCATAGTCTAGTTATTTTGGGTATTCCACACCTGAAAATAATTTATAACTCAATGTTTGAGTAAAAGCTATCTTTTAACTTGTATACAACATAAAAAGCTTATCAGTTACATAATAATTATGAGTGGAAGAACGTGTTTGAATTCACATATAAATAGTTACAGATTAACTCATATACACTGTAAAAGATACTTATCAATTATATAATAATCATGATCGAGTGGAAGAGCCTGTTTGAATTCATGTTTGAATAGTTACAAATTTTTCAACTGTTTCCAAGGTAGATGGATCCACCCCTATGTGACTGCAGCTTGTAAATAGTTTTCTGCAATCTGACTAGAGTTACACTTATACATCGTCATAGGCACATTTCAGTTCGAAAATCACATATATATACATATAAAACTCTCCAAAACACACTTCCTAACACCGAAATAGAATAGCAAAGCCAAAAACTGAGAGAAAAATTGTCAGTGCTTTCCTTTTTCTTCCACTCATTTTTCTATTATTCTGCCTCCATATTTCAAAATTTTCGTACTAATCCATTATGAGCTTTGATCGACTTCTCAACTATTCTCTCCCTTGCTTTCGATGCCTGCAGTAACCACAAAATACAATACAATAATTTCTCTCTAATAGTAGGAGACAAAAAGGGCTTCAAAAATGGCTAGACAGAACAAGCAATTATTAGCAATGGAAAAGTAACAAAATAGAGTATAAAGCAACCTCTTTCTGCCAATCTGTTAACAGTGTCACAACAGCTAGGATAATAACTTGTAGAACAGACCCTGTAAGAGTTCCCATCCAGAGTCCCTTGGCATTGAGTTGTAGGACAAAACCCAATAAGAATGCCACAGGAGCTCCCACAAGATAATAGGCTCCAAGGTTCACATAAGCCCCTATTTGCTGAAATCCTCCACCTCTTGCAATCCCTGCACATACAAAACCAATTTTATTTGCTCAAGGAAAATTTTAAAATTCTATAAAATATGAAAAATGTTTGTGTTAAGAGTGGAAGTCAAGTACGAGTAGATTTATGAATGATAAATACAAAAAATTAAGTATAATAGATAAAGTTTTAAATTTTTTGTAAAAACAAGTTATTTGAAAAAATTTCTATTTAACATAAAAATTATCTAGTTAAAATTTTATAATATTTTAAAATTTTTATTTTTATTATTTAAGTGCATAAATTTTAGTAATTTTGAAATATCCTATCCAAACAGGCTAATAGATAATTTCAGCTAATAGCAACTCACCAGAAAGAGCTCCTATTAGACTATCTGCACTGACAGACACACAGAGAAGAGGAACCATGTCTGCTACATAATCTACAACTTCCTTGTCACTGCTATAAGCATATCCTAATATATGCCGACAACAAAAAAAGAAACTGCTGACAATAACTGCCTCAGCAATTCCCAGAATCACAACAACGCGAACAGCACCTTTAGCTGCCTTTGGATTTCCTGCACCTAATTCATTTGAAACCCGTGTGCTGCAAAACAATATTCATAGGATCCTGCTCTGTCAGCAGATGATTGTGGAGTACCATTTCACAGCATTATGAAATTGAAGAAAGGGATTTTGACCAAACCTTACAGAAGCTCCAACAGCATAGGGAATGAAGTAGTGCAATGTAGTTGTGCTCAGGCTGAAAATTTTTCAAACAGGATCATGAGTTATTTTTCAATAGTTGTTAACAAAATTTGGACAAAACTTAGATTTTGTTGTGTTGTTTTCTAATCAAAATTAGAAGAATTTCACCTCGGTAACTAACATAACAAAAATCAATATTAAAGGTTGGTGCTGAGTTCTGAAGTAAAACTCTAATTTTGATTAAAAAAAACAACACAGAACATACTTAAAGTATTGTATCTATGTTTTTCCAAAAAATTATTGCACTCACCAGACAGAAAGAACTGAGGTTTCGAGTTGTGGATTAGGTAGAAGCCCGGCAAATAATGTAAGTAGCTCAAATGACCACCATTCAAAACTACGAACATTAAAATAATTAAGAAAGTCTATTAGAGGAGAAAAAAAAGAATAAACTGAAAGAACCATTATTGTGTATGTGCTATGGGAGATGATGCAATGCAATAATATATTACCAAAACATGAGTCCAGAAGGAATAGCAAATTGGAAGAACTCTGAAATGCTTAGTAAAGCATTAGTAGAAAACACAATCTTGGTTTTCTCACATGCTGAAGAACACTTCACATAAATTCCAAGCCAAATGACATTCAACCAATATGAAATAGCAATAGCAAATGCTGCTCCAACATGACCTAGTCCCAATTTAAATACCAGAACCCAACAAATAGGAACATGCAAACACAGAACCGCAATTGAGCTGAAAACCATGGGAAAGATCATACACTGAGTCTGGAAGTAGCGAATCAGACACTGAAGAACAGCATAGCCATACAGTGCAGGGATCAAGCACATGCAGTATTGTCGAGCTGCATCAGAAATTTCAGGGTCTTGACCAAACAGCAAGAGAATTTTATCCATGAACATCCACATGAGAGATATGGGAAGACAAACCAAAATCAGAGTGACAATTGCACAGCATGTGTAGTTTCCAATCTTTTTAAATTCTTCTGCACCATAGTTTTGCCCACATAAAGTTTCCAATGCACCAGCCATTCCTATCTGCAAACCAATTTCAAATCTAGTCAGACATAAATAACTCAGGTGGAGGTTAATTTAGAACACTAGTTTAAAGTAATTTAAGGTTGCAATAGAAACTTGAATGAAGAGAAACTTTGGAAATTTAACTATGTGTGCAGATCCTGTCTCAAAAAGTTTGAAATTAGACCAAGAGGAAATTAGACACGTGATCACCTGCTAACTAAGAAGGTTCAAAATATGTCTTTAACATGCTTCCCAAGGCTTTTATGAAGTGTCAATAAATGGCTTTCCAAATGAAACATGATTTATACTATTCATCATCTTATCATAAAATTAACTAAAACACAGCAAATCAATTATGGATCAAAATAAATGATCTTATATTATACTTTTCGCATGTCACTTGGATTCCAATATGTTGTGGTATGTACTAACTGAATAACTGAATCAAGTGCCCTAAGCCCTCTCCTAGAGAATAAGAAAAGGATTTCCTAATTGAATGACCAAAACTAAAAAGATTAGAGACAAAGAAGCTTAATTTGAATAAACATGAAGCCTGACAAAAACTATTTGGCAGAAAAGATAGGTAGTACTACTTGTTTAAACTTGAAAAATATGGAAAGTGAACTAAGCAAATACAGGTTGGTGCAATGAACAAAAACATTGTTTAAGATGGAAGAAGAGTTTACAAGGACACTGAAGCCTGTAACTTCAGCAAAAGAGGTGGCAATGGCAACCCCAGAGAAGGAGACTAGTACACCAAGATGTCCCACCAACATCAGTGACACAACTTGCACAAGAAACTGAGACACAGTCACAGCCACCATTGGAGCTGCCATGGAGCCTACCCTCTTGAGCTCTGACCAAAATGCATCCTCTAATGGTGTCACCCCATTATTAACTTCACTCTTTGTTAGCAGAGGTGCTGCTTCCTCCTTATCCATCTCTATAGCTTTCTGTACAAAGCAATTTCCATTAAACAGATGTGAAAAGTGACGATCAACCCAAGAATTATATAGAAGAAGATCACAAGAAAATGTTCTTCCTATTGGGCAGTAAAGTTTCCCACCGCAAACAGACAAGTTGCAAGAAAAACACATACAAATTTATTGAAGTTCGTATGTTTCATCTTATACATGTTCTTGTCACCTACCTAGAATTAAATTTTTTGAAATCTCGTATGTTAAAATAGATTTTATAAAGGTTAAAATAATTTTATTTTTAAATTAATTTTTAAAATTGTGTTTAAGCTTTAATTCTAATTTAAAATGGTATTGGAATTTAAAGTAAACATGAATTGAAGTTCGTACGTTTCAGTATATATTTATTCTTTATTCTTGTCACCTAACTACAATTAAATTTTTTGAAATCTCGTACCGATTATATATTTAGTTAAAACAGTTAAAATATTATATTGAAAAATATAAAAATTTATGAAAAATATTATATTGAATTACTCTTAATAATTTTACAATTTTCACGTTCTAAATATCTTTGAAAACTAACTTGTATGCTAACATGCACTATACATGAGTGAGAAGTGAAGATAATTCAAATAAAATGGTAGAAAAATTAATAATAAAATGAACATGGTAACTAGACAAAGAAAATCAGAGTGCAATCCAATACCAAATTTTATTGTTATGAAGATGATATTGCATATTCAAATGGCGACAGGAAAGGAAGAGCCACCGCGTGCAAAACAAAGATTAGAAGATCGTTGGTTTGTGTTTATCCTCTGGTTTTAAGTATTTAATAAATGTAAAAAAGATGACTTGTTTTATTCTATTGCTTATTATAAAGTTTTGGAAGAATATTAACAACAAAATAAAACAACTTAGTTTATTTTAATTAATTAAAACCAGATCAACAACAATAAACAAACATAACCTTATATACTGTCTACACTCTTTCATTATTATAGATGACAATAAGTAAAGTATCTGATAAGTACCCATAAAATTTACCTAAAATAAGTAGGATATTTACTCGCTATATGAGTACAGATATGGGTATAAATAAAAATCCATAAAATTTAATGAAGATGGATGCGGGTAGACATCGAAGTACTTACCTTGCCCCATACTCGCGCATATATGTGTGTGTGCATATATATATATATATATATATATATATATATATATATATTTTGAATTTTATTCTACAACTATGTATTAAATTTTTGTATTAATATATTAATTATGTGAAGTTATATAAAATTAATATAAAAATATATTTAATAATAAAGTAAACTAAAAAATTTATTTTAGTTTATATTTTTAATAGAACAATTTATTTACTATTTTATATCATTTAATTAGGCTAATATAATTTAATTATTACATAGTTGACATAAGATTGACTTTTTTTTTAAATATTATTTATATATGACACACATAAAATATTTTTCACACAAATATTTTTGTTAATAAAATCATATTGATATTTAAATAATAAAGTGAATGATAAATAATAAATATATTGTAGATATTTTATAAATTTTACAATCACCTACTATTAACTTAAACTTATTATTTATTGATAATATTTAAATTTTATTTTTATATTTTAATTTAAAATAATATTTTTCTATGCAACATATGTATTATAAGCATAACTATAATCTATTGAATCTAAATAATATTATTCTTACTATTTATTTACGTTCAAAGAAATTTTTGAAAAGATATAAAATATAAAAAATTTATTATTAATTTTTATTTGTTAATTTTTTCTTCAAATAAAAAAGTATAATTTTTTATATACACATATATTTCTTTATTATAAAATTTTATCATAACCATTTATCTTTTATTCAAATTCTTTCTTTTAAAATTTATATACATTATAAATATTTAATTCATTAATATAATTTTTCAAAAAATCTGTATTTTTGACAAAATACTTTCGTAAGGTATATGAGTTAAAAATACTAGTATATATATATATATATATATATATATATATTAATTATATTATATTATTTTAATTAAATCTATTATTTTTCTTACAATTTCAATTTTAAAAGTTAAAATATTTTATACATCCATTTTTCGTTGTTAGTACTTAAACTTCTCTACTCTAACTCTACTCTCATTCTCAATATCTGTCTCATTAAAATCTAACAACTATGAAACGTTACTTGTCACACAAGAGGTTATGAAGTGATCCCACACAAAGGACCACCCATTGTACAGATCTATTTCGTTGTCGCTCTGATGTTGCTGATCAATTGAATTTCACACAAGAAGATAGAGTCATCGCCAACAAATAACTTTTGTGTTTAGTTTCGCTTATTGTTTCTACAGATTTTAGTTTAAAAAATTATTGTATTAAGATACATTTAACACTTTTGATTTTTGAATATTTATTTTTTATCTATGTTTGTACCTTGTTTGGCAACTATATATTAAAATTTTATATTATTATGCTATTTATGTGAAATTATATAAACATATTTCTTTTATAAATATTTTTTTTCTCAAATAAGCACAAATAATGGATATAAAATAAGTATGCAAATATATAAAAAGACTAAATACAAAAATAAAACGTGGGTATAAAGATGAATACTCTAATACTTTACCTATATTCTACTTATTGTAATCCCTATTCGTTTTCTTATTTTCTCCGCTCTTACTTTCTTTTTCATTATATTAATATTATATGCAATTATGCATCACGATTCAAGAACAATCCAAATGGGAACAGCTCAATGAATTTGATCCACAATACAAACCAGTCATGTCATCATTGATGCAATAATTCTCTGTTCTCTTAAATCAACTGATCCATGTTACCGACAAGGACTTCTAATTCTATTGTGTTCATATATTTTTCTATTCAACATTATATAAAAATATTATACCAAACTTTCACCCATTCTATTTAAATTATTATCAGTGCTGTTTACTTCGGTTTTTCAGTTAATTTTAAGGATTTAAAAATAATATTTTTATTATTAAAAAATGCTTATTATATTTTTATGTTCTTAATATAATAAATATTTTCCAATAAAAAATCATTATTTTGAATTATTTAACATCAATCCTGAGTCAAAAATAAAAAACATTGAAGAGTGCCTGACTTCAAATGAAACAACCTGAAATAAATTTTCATAATAGCTTGGCAATGTTAATCTACGGCCTAATAATCCCAACAATGAAGAATTAGCAACCCAATATGTTTATTTCTTATTACACTCATAATGAACTAACACAAATTTAAATGCTTTCATCAGAACAAAAATTAAGATATTGTTATTAAAATTATTACTTGATTTCTTATTATATATATTTTTTATCTCTTATTAATTTTGTATTCTTTAATTTTAAATCAAAGATATATTTAATAAAAATAATTAATGTTATCTTAAAATTTTAAAAGTAATATATAAATAGATACATGAATTTTCTTAAAAGTATAATAGATAAAAAGAACGGATGGAGTATGTTATAAATAATTAATCATGGTAATAAGTCCACAACAAAAGCTAAAATTTCAATTTGAACCTAGCATACATTGTTATTAAGGCAACTGTTAAGAAATAAAAATAATTAAAAAGTGAAATTAATGTATTTTCAATAATTTTTAACACGTTTAGCATATATTTTTAATAAAAAATTATTTATTAATTTTTTAACCATTTAGAGTATATAGCAAGACTAATGGATACATTTGTACAGGATATATAATAATGACAAATCAAAAGTGTAATTTTGTATTTAAAAAAATATAGTAGTATACTACTCTCGTAATTTGTGTTATAATTTTAATAAAAAAACATTAATTTATTACTTAATTTTATATAAAGGAAATAATGAATGAACAGTGTTATTTGGTAAAAAAAAGTATGAATTTTTTAAAAAATAACCAATCATGTCAACAAGTTAAATTTAATTTGCAGAGAGAGAATTGTTTTGATGAATTAAAATGTCACATTTCCATTCGTAATATTCTGTTTTTCGTACTTAAAAAACATTTTCCATAATAAATTAATGACTATATATTCGTACGGCTCAAGACTGGAAAGTTCTCTGAAGTTCGTTATAGTAATTTAAATTATTAATTTTTTTTTGCGAATATTTAAATTTTATTTGAAGAATTGATAATTTTGATGGGTTATTTATTATATATTTATGTCCTTGTAATATATTAAAAATGATATAATAATAATATAAAAAAAAACATGCAATAACCGGCCAATATTCTGTAGGCCATTCATATCGTCACTTTTGCACGGTTTGCCCATAGATACTCATACAAGACCACGGAGCCCATAGAACACAGCTACTCAGAGACAGAGAGAGAGATAATAAATACAAAACACAATAATTAAAAAAATAGGTAATTTATTTTAACTATCCTTTGAATATTGTTGACATCAATAATTTTATTTTTTTCATTGAATGATAATGATATTTGTGATTGGTGTATGAGTTATTTATCATTTTTCTCATAATCCCTGATAGAATTCAATTGGAAGAGACCTGAAAAATGAAAAATTAAATAACTGTTAATTAATGAATAAATAATAAGTATTCATGGGATAATTTAAAAACAAAATCATAAAAAAGGTCGCTTTTATCTTTTTATTTTCTTGTTTTATTAGTAATCGTTGAAAAACTTATCTATAACAAAACCTTTAATAAAGATGTGACGGACTAACAACTAAGAAAAGAACTAACTAAACAATTAATTGTACTAAGAATCAACCTTGGAGACTTTGGACCTAGTAAAGACAGTTTTCAACATGTAAAACTATGCTTCAAAGTTCAAATATGGGATGGTCTTGTGGCTAATGAAAATGATGTAAAGTGTATTTTTCAGTCACACATTTGAAGAAGTGAACCAATGTCCTCTCTTTGGCTACCATAGCAACGTCTACTTACACTCATTTCCACTAGCTTAGGGTCAAATTGTTTACCCTTTTACTTTGTTTATATTAATGAATTTATAATTAAAAGAAAGGGAGTTGTGAAAAAGAAAATTAAGAAAAGAAATATTGTTTTATATGTTTTTGGAAGAGAAAAAGGAATAAGAGAAAAGGAGAGTAGTGAGGCTAGCAATATATATATAGTTTATTGAAAATATTATATTAAAAAGATTAATTTATGTTAAATTAAAAAAAATTATCATTATTATCATTAACTTATTTATGTTTACTCTCTTGTTTATTTATCTAAATAAGTAAAGAGATTTCTTTCACTTTTTTTTTTCTATTTTTACTCATTCAAAAAATAAATATTTTCACAGGATTTGTATTCTATTTCTCACTCACCTAATTTTTTTTCATATTTCATCTCTCATTCAAATAAATAGTTATTAGCTTTTATTGTTTTGTTCTTGTTTTTTTTTCTTTTATTCAACCCCAAAAAATGTTTTTTTTTTTCTTGTTTCTCTTGGGTATATTATTGACAGCTAAGAATTTATATATGATCAAGATCAAGTTGGCGACAAACATTGAAATTAAAAAAAATAAAAATCAGATGAGTCCACATAAAACTGATATAAGAATCAAAAATAGTTCAAAAAGGCTAGCCAACCCAAATCCGTAAAACAAATCCCTGAGTTTGATTCAGCTTAAATAAATAATATATGTTTTGACAAAAAAAAAAAATATCGACTAAAGAAAATAATTTGCTGTAAAAGAACACATAGGATAATTGGAGGCTTTGGGCATTGAAATGCAAGGGATGTCAGCATCCAGTGAGACTCTGATTGCTGAAAAAGAAAATCGCTTCTTTGGGTCCTAGGAATTGAGGTTTAACACCTTTTTTTTTCCCCCTCTTTTTGTTTCTTAATTTCAAGTTTTAGGATTGATCAGTAGAATGCTTTTTTGTCTTTGTTTTATTCTTGGATTGTTCTGATGTTAGTGTTGGCACTTGGCAGAGGGTATCTTGGCTACCAAGTCTGTGGAGCTCTTTTGCCCTTTGCTTTCATCAAAAAATTATTTTTATGTGAATTGAATCATATTTTAGTTGACCCAAAGATATGAAAATCAAAACCAAGAAACCACCGACTTCTCTTAGTTTTGTACAAGTTCAATGTTTATTTTTATTAATTCTTAACTATTCTAATTTTATAGATTGAAGGGATCATACCTTCTTGACCCCTTTTGCAATTTTTGCCTAAATAATAATTTGGTGACTGATTCCCAACAGAAAATCAAAGATAGAGACGAATTAATCTATGATTAGACAGAGCTGAAAAACTAAATTTAAGCACTCGCCATGTGATTTGATCCATTTTCATCAGAAGGTTTAGCATCAAATATTCTCTCCCTTGCCATCATTGCCTGCAAAAAATTGCAAATATCCGGTATCTAATTAACTCCAAATTACATTTCTGAAATTGCATAAAGAAACATATTGGATGATTACAGATATTATTAAATATATGAATTATGAACCTGTTTTTTCCAATTTGTAAGAGCAGTAATGAGGGAAAGGAAAATGGTTTGGACAATGGAGCCTGTGACTATTCCGATCCAAAGACCCTTTGCTCTGAAATGTTCAAGAAAGCCAAGTAGGACACCCACAGGAACTCCTACCAAATAAAAAGCTCCAAGATTGACATAGGCTCCAAGATGTTGCCACCCACTTCCTCTAGCAACCCCTGATTCAATTTTTTTTTAAATATAAATATTTTAAATGGAAGAGTGATATTTACCAACAACATATAAGGGCAATTAACACACCACAGATGAAAAATACTTCTATATCACTTTTTTTTTTAATAGATTAAACATATTTCTAAGTAGCTTAAATTACAACAAATTTTGATTTTAATCTCTAAAAGGCAATCAGTGACACAAAAATTGATACATAATAACTTTTGAGTTAGTCATGTCATCACTTTCCAGGAACTAGAAAACTAAAACCTATAATTTTAAAAAAAGGATAAAAATAAAATAAAAAATATTTAATTGTGTATTTTAATTGGTAAAAGTGAAAAAGAATAAATAGTTAAACCTGAAAGAACTGCTTGCAAGCTGTCAGTAAAAATGGAGAGACATAGGAGAGGGGTCATAACAGACACGTAATGAACAACCATAGTGTCGTTGCTGTAGGCATAACCCAAGATATGTCTGCACCCGAATAGTGTTGCACTTACAATGAGACCCTCAGTAACTGCAAGGAACATTGCTGCAGAAACAGCCACTCGAACAGCTTGTGGATTCCCAGCTCCTAATTCATTGGAAACTCTAGTGCTGTCACATATTAACTTTTGTGTCACTTTTTAGTTCTTACTATTATTATATTAATTTATGTGCTAACATTTGTTCATGCATGAACGAAATTACTGTGTTAGGTGAAGTGAGAAAAAGACCTGGCTGCAGCCCCAAAGCCATAGGGTATGGTGAAGTGTAATGTAGAAATTGTCAAGCTGATCGTACAAATCAAAATTAGACTATAGGTTAGAATGGTTGGTTTCATTTTCTTCTAAAATACTATCTTTCATTTATCAAGATTAATAAAATATAGACAATAATCAAGTCTTATCATATATGTCATAAGAATGTAATAATTTAATATATTTAAAAATAAATATTTTTTATAATTTAAATAAAAGTGTCTATATAGGACTACAGGGAATAATGGCCAGCATTAATTGAAAATTTCAATAATTAAGTAGGTGCTCAAATGAAATAACCATTACCATATAGAGAGAACTGATGTCTCCAGCTTTGGATTTGGGAAAAGTCCAGCAAGCAAAACAAGCAACTCGCATGCCCACCATTTAAGACTGCCGGACAAAAATTGTAGATAGATTATATGGCAAAATAGTCATCCTGTTCAGCAGCCATGATGATCTAGCTGAAAAACTTCCAAACCTTTTTCTACTAATATAAAAAGTTATTTTAATTTATAGAATGTGCTGTGAAAAAAAAAGTGTATGGATAATTGATCCACTTCTGTAATGTGATATATGTTGTTTATCTAACCATCTAATGCTTTAAACATCTATTTTTAATAGCATGCTTAGGAATGCAAAGATTTTTTATTCTTTAGAAATCAGCCAATCCCATAATTATGGAACTCCAAAAAATGGTTCAAGTTTATGGGTTCCTTTCATACCCATATCAGGATATTAATTTACCATATGACCCCAAAATAAACGTAGATGGTTTCTAGTCCTCTACACTTTTAGAGAAATTATTGTATTATTCAGGACACAATGCATCCATAACCCTCGCTCACCTTCATATGAAATGTGGCAAATTTTCCAATTTATAGAAGTGCTAACAACATAAGAGTATAGTTTTGCCACGTATCATACATGCCATTATGGATAGTCTTGTTGGCAACCTTGAGAAAAGTCTTTAGCACTAAATGTGTTCATGCAGGCCATTTTCTAAACATCACAATCCTTCATGTGAACATAAAATTAAATAAGAAAAGAAAGCAAGAAATAATCACCAAATCATGACAGCTGATGGGACTGCAAAGCGATAGAACTCTCCTACACCAAGTAAAGCCTTCTTTGAAAATGGGATACGTGTTTTCTCACAAGCAGATGAATACCTCACAAAGGACAAAAGCAGTATCAAATTCAACCAAACGCAAAAGCTGAAGGCAATTGCAGCACCAACGAGTCCTAATTTCAATTTAAATACTAAGGTCCAACAAGTTACTACGTGGAAGCACAAAACTAAAGTGGAGCTTAGGATCATGGGAAAAATCAAACTCTGAGTCTGGAAAAATCTTGTTAAAGGTTTAAGAATTGCTGAACCAAATAAAGCAGGTATTAGCCAAATGGCATATTTGCGAGCTTCAAGGGATATTGTTGGGTCTTGACCTAAGAGAATTAACATTTTGTCCATGAAAATCCATAGAACTGTGATAGGGATAGAAACCAAAGTGAGGGATATTACGGCAGTGTAGGTATATAGTCCAAATTTTTCATATTGTTCTGCTCCAAATGCTTGGCCACATAAAGTTTCCAATCCACCAGCCATCCCTGACTGCAATATAATTCATATAAAATAATTGAATGAATCATGCACATTGCAAACAAGTCTCCATGTTTTGGTATTATAGTTACCTCTCACATTGTTAGTTTTGAGAATCCAACATTTCTTATTTGAATTTGCATGAGATTTGTTCATATTCTTTATGAGTAGATTTTTCCTTAAATTGTAGTGTTGTTATTTTCTTACTATAAATAACTAATCGAGTTGAGTATGTTATGTCAAAAAAATAGTTTAGAAAAATGACGAAAATGTAACAAGAAATGCACTTTGATTGGTAAATAATACAAATTGTTCAACCAATTGGCTCAGTTGATTGAATCAAATTATATTATCTTAGAGGTTTCTTTGATTCTTTGTGATATCATAACCGTAGATTATGTGCTTGAATGATATACCGTTTACCAGTCACAAGTCGATTTTAAGATTGTGTGAAAAAATAATTTAGATTTAGAGACTTTTGTAGAAGTAGTATTTTAATCCATGTTTGACAATAGCTTTTTTTAGGGGAATATTAGTTTTTCCATATTTTTCAAGATTTGATATTATATTTTTTTAATAATGAGAACAAATTTATATTGAATTGGCTTGTTTTAAGGTTCAAAATAAATTTAAAGAGTTTTTTTTAAATATTTTCTACAAAAATAATCTCTGTTTGAATATGTGATGCTTAAAGTTATTTATTGCAGAAACAAGTTTATTTTTGTTTTGAATATTGGAATTTAGAAGGAAAAAATTCTAATGGCTTAAAATTTGTTTAGAAAAGAAAAAAAAAGTTTGAACAAGTGAGTTTAGACTAACAAAATAAAGTTTAGATTTTCTATTGTTTTACTAAAAGAAGACAAAAAATAAGTTTAATAAAATAATATATTTAATAATTTTTATTAAAAATATTGATGTATAATTTTTAATATATTATGACATAACTTTAATAAAAAATTATTATTTTCTTAACTTATATATATAAAAAAAAAGCACTACTGATTAAGAAAACCCTTTTTATAATATAAGAAAAAGATCATGAAGGAATATAAATCCAAAACAATTGATGATAAAAGTTCTCCACAGGTACCAAAATAATATTTGTTTCAAGAATGTAAGAGAAAATTGACCCAAAAGACAGAAATTGACTTTTTTTTTTGGTCGATAATTGACCCCTACACTAAGTTGACTCAGTCACGATTTGAAACGGTCATTTGGCCCAACACAATGAACTGAATCAATATATTCCATTTTTTTTTCTTACAATTATATATTTTTAATTACATCAATAGATTCCATATATTATTAGTACATAAGTATTAATCATCGTATAAATTACTTACACCTTACCTTGCTTGTGTTTTTGGTGCACAAGATTCCAATTTTTTGAATATTTTGTTTTGTCATTTGTACAAGTTGGCACGCATTATAAAGGAAGAGATTATTTGTAACACAAATTTGTATAATTCTTTTATTATAAAATGAGAAATAAAAAATAGAAAAAGATAAAATAATTGTTGTGATGAAACATAAAAATAAAATAATATTAAAAATGTTATATGAACTGTATAGCTTTTTTTCCTTTTTGTACTCAACACAGACATTTTTATACAAAGTTTAACACTATTTGGTTTGAGAAAGAAGAAAAAAAAGAAAGAAAATATGAGTAAGAAAAAAATATAAAAAGTGTTATTTTCCCTCTTAACTTCATTTTTCTTTTCTTTTTAAATTTCTCATGATCAAACGAAGTGAAAATTTGTAAGTACTGATATATTTATTTCTTATTATTGATTAATGATTTTTACTTATTCGATTAATTACAAATAAGTTAAAAATAGTATCATCTTAACACTCTTCTTCGTATCATTAATTGTATAATCATAAACTGCTAATAACAAAAAATCAAATTAAATCAAAGGCCTACTTACCAAAACACTAAACCCAGAAACATTGGTGAGAGATGTTGCAATAGCAACACTTGAAAGCGCAAGCTGGTTAAGATGGCCAACCATTATCATGGACACCACTTGTAGAAGATATTGCAGCACAGTTGCCACCACCATTGGTGCCGCTATGGTTCCCACCTTCTTCAGCTCTCCCTTTATTGCTCTTCTTGTTTTCATCCATCCCCATTTTCCACTATCCAAACCTTCTTCCATGGCTGTGTTCTTTATCACCTTTTCCATGATCAATTTCAACTCCTTTATGTCACTCACTTTTCAGTGTCAACTTTTCTTCTATATAGCTTATCCCTCTTTGCCTCTACCTTTGTCCTCTTTTATATCATCTACATGTAAGACAACTTTGCATTATCATTTTCATTCACCCACGGCATCAATGTCTTAAATAATATAATAGAGACAAATTAATTAATGAACATACAGATTAATTAAAAAAAATAACTATTGCAATTAATCCTATGAGAATCATATCAGATTTGTTCGTATCGATTTAGTACTAATTTAGGAATTTTGATTTATGATCATATCAGTCATAGAGTATATATAATATCCCTAGTTAATGACATTCTTATTATACTCATATTCGAACATATATGTAGATATTTTGAACGATTGACACGTGCAATTTCTATTTTCGTTTAAGTTGGACAAAAAGGTTAAATGAGTTTATGAGCATTTTTGTAAACATTTATCTTTGTTAACATTTTATAACTTAAATCTTAAAGCAGTGTATTGAAGTTTAGAACAAGTTCATCACCGAAAAGCAAAGCAAAATATTTGAATCCTATAAATGTTTCCAAACAAACAATTGTAAAATTAATGTATCGAAGTTTCTTTTGAACATTACATGTATATTTTAAAAGAGAAATGGTGGACTGGATCAGTGTATTTGAAGATAATATACTTTATATGCCTCCCATGGGTACCCTCGTCCTCCTCATGGCATGGGGCAAAGATTAATTTGCAGCAATTGCAGAACAAGTCTTCTCGATTTGATATGGAATAATAATATTTTAATTTATTGGGAACAACACATGAATTATTTATCATAATTTTAATTTGTGTTTATTAAATCATGGGAACGTATAAATTATAGTAAAATATTTTTTCATTAACTAAACAAAAAGGTCATGTTCTATTAGAGACAATTTTCTAATTACATCTCCATACTTTATTTTGATCGATGTAGATCCAAATCCAATATAACAAACAATAAGTTACGTACTTACCTGGTTATGTTCTCTTTATTTTGAGGATTCTTTATGTAACTTTCTCAAGCTTTGCCTAGTATCTAATAGCTCTGCCGAAAACCTAATTTGTATATATGCTTATATGATTATTATATAGATCAATAGATTTAAGAAACGAAATCCTCACTAATTGGGGTTGATCTGTGGCTCACATCTATATCAATTCTCTCTTTGCATGTAAACCCAAACTCTCCCAGCTGGAACTAGTTCATGCAATCTCTCTAAGCACTTGATTATGGAGAATTGAATTGTTGGTCCCCTATAGTGATTTTCTTTCGCTAAAGTTTCCAAGAAGGGAGATAGAACCAGTGGAGATAAGGAACAAGGAAAAGGCACTGTAATTAATAGTGGGCGGTGAGAGGATTTAAAGTTCATTTGTTAAATTTAAGCTGCCTTAATGTTATTTGTATAATTAAATAAATAAATTTAACTTTCAAGTTAATTTTGATTTGATTGTTTAAATGGGTTAAATTTTAAGTTTTAAATAAGATTAAATAAACTGATAAATATTTAGTTTAAGTGTTATGTGTTGGCTTTTTTAAAATAGAGTCTTATTTAAAGTTTTATATATAAAAATGCTTCCATTAAAAAAATTAATCTTACCATATTATGAATATTTTGACTCAAACAAAAATCTTATTTGATGAATATTTTTGTGATCTTAAATAAAATTCAAATATCGTATATTTTTAGAAAATTCAAACTCAAACTCAAATTATGAATTTAACGTATTTAAAATAAATAAGCTAAATTTAAATAACCTAGTTTTTCCGCATCCCAAACTTAATTAAACTTTAAAATTTGGTTGATTCAACTAGTTTTATGCCCCTAACGATGGGTAGAGATGTATTCACTTTGTCTTTCCACCCATTTGATATTAAGTTTATTTATATTACAGTAATCATCCACTAAATAGTGCATATTTCTTAGTTTAATATAATTAGGGGTCCAATAATTTTATTATCATCTGATGCTGTAATTGAAACGAAGTGGATTGTTGTACATTATTTTCCTACTTAGTATCCAAAATATGTGAAGAGACGTATCTCTTTGTCTTTTCACCCATTTGTAATATGTAATAAGTGTTTTAACTTTCTTTAATATCACATTTATCTTCCACTAATACAGCTTTTGTAATTTAGTATAATTAGATCGCTTTATGATGTTATCATCCAATGCTGTAATTCAAATGAAGTGAGTTATTTTCGTTATTCTTTACTTAGTACCTTTATAATTGATTTTTACCAATATATTTATATTTTAAAAAAGTTAATTTTAATTCATTGAATGTTTAATAATGTGTTACCATATTGTTATATTATGTCACACAATTAATAACACGATTATCATTATTAAGTAGAACCGCAGAAACCAAGGAGTGTTTCATGGGAATATTACCTTTTTAATTCTTTTTTGTCGGTTTTTAATTATTTTTAAAATTTTCTTAATATGTTCTAAAATTAAGTTTAAAATATTACTTTAAAATATTGAAAATTATTTACAAATAAATTTGAAAATTTAATTTAAAACGAATTTAACATATTGAAAAACTTGAGCAATTACAAAAAAATGGTGGCATAAAATAAGTTTTTTGAATATATTTTTTAGTTTTTTATTGCCTAAGTATCTTTGTTTAGAAAAAATTAAAAATAAGACATTAAATAAAAAAAATTATAAAATTTCACAAGACTATAAAATTTTATATTTAAATTTAAGACAAATATTATTATTTATAGTTTAAGATCGTATATATTGAGAGAGAAAAATAAAAATAAAAATATAATGTTCTTTTTTTTTCCCCGTAAATACAGTACGTTTTTGAGTTAAAAATATAATTGCCTATCTTCAGAGGTGGATCTATCAGGCCCAAAGAAGAAAAAGCTCAAGGCCCATGATCCGTACCCAACCCGGTTTTAAACTTTCGGATCCCTTCCTTTTGTTCAACGACACTCTCCGCCTCTTCTCCCCTTCGACGGCGCCATTGACAAGTTCATGTAAGCTCTCTCTCACTGTCACTACTTGTTTCCAGCATCTGCAGTTTCATTCATTCATTCATCTACTCTACAATTGCATGTGTTTGTTATTCATGTGTTGTTATAGCGTGAATGACCTTCGTTCACAGCGTGACTGTGACCTGAACGGTTTTGAAGTTTTGTTTCCGGAATCACGTGTTTTGTTGCTACAGTTGGATTTCGTAACGAAATGATAAAGAGGAGATTCTATAAGCTTGATCACGGTGATCGTGATGCGTCGAATGCGTCGTCTTCATCTTCAGAATCCGAGGTTGAAGTTGAAGCTGAATCTACTGAAGAATCAGAGGATGATGAAATAGTTGAAGTGAAACAGGATGATGATGAAGTTGGCTCTACGTCTTCTGGTTGGTTCATTAACATATTGGTTACTGTATTATGTTTTTCTCTGGAATGTTTTCGGTTATGTTAGCACTTACTAGATACATAGGGTTGCATTAACTTATGTTAGTTTTTTCATAGAATCATGGAGAATTTACTATTACAGTAACTGGAGTGAGTGTTTATTATAACGGTGCTTGTTATTTGTTATTGTTGATCACTTTTTAACATTTCTCCCATTATTTTGGCACTATTCAGGGTATGAAAGTGAGGATAGTTCTGCGAATGATGTTAATGTGAACTCAGCAGGTACGGTTTGTTTGAATTGTTTGCTTGAGTGCTTGTCCTTTGGTGCAGATTTTGTATTTAATTGAAAATATTTCATTATTTCTAGTGCTTATTTCACTATCAATGTTAAAGAGCCTTACTCTTTCAATACACACACACAAGGAGCCTAGTCAAATACAATTTGTGCATCCCATGTGCTATTTTTGGTTTAAAGTCAACATAGTCTATTTCTGGGATAAGAGCATCTGTTGTACTGGCTATTTATGTGACACTATTTCTGTAACATGTACGGCTTTGTTCCTTGGAACTAACATTGATGTAACACCAGGTCTGCTATCTAGTGAAGATGATGCTGGAACTATAAATGAAAGACAAATTCTTATTAACAGGGAGTTACCTAGTCAATCTGATTTGGAAAAGTCTAATGTTTTGGCTGAAAAGAAATCCTTACCATCAGCTATGCCATCCTATGTCTTAAAATGCAAATCGGTATTTAAGTGCAGGATATGTCCTCGGATTATTTGTTTGTCTGAGGACACCTTGCGGGATCATCTGCAGTCAAAGGTAATGTGCTTTTTCTTCTGGTGGCGTATTATCCTTGAGCACCGACTTTTATTACTTATGCCAGTTCTTTAGTTTAGTGAGAAATCAACAAACTCCTACCTTAATTATTCTTCACAAACGAAAACACTTATTGCATTGTGTACAGCTCTCCAAAATATGGTCGATCAACTTGGAGAGGATAACTATCAAATTTTACTTGTCATTGTGTAAAGCTTCGTATTGATCTAATGATGACTGCTATTACTGTAGAGACATGCTCGATCCGAAAAACTACTTATTGAAGGTAGACTTAAGGCTATGCTTAACAGTGATGGGGAAATTGAGGACCAAGAGGTCTCAGAGATCCAAACCAATGATACTGAGGTTGGTTCTTCAACAGTTCAATTGCATCCTACTGAATTGAATTGAATAAATTAATTTATAATTACATGCTCAGTTGAATTGCATTCTACTCAGCCAAATAAAAGATTACATATTATTGAATTGACGAAAAGAAACTAATATATAATTAGAGATGCACGGATGACTAAATCATTTCTAAACTTTGTAGGATAATGCAAAGAAGAATTACAAAGGACCGAAGCAGCATGAAAAGAGATTGAGAAAGAAGGTAAAGAACTTTGTATATCAACTATCAGCAAGATTTTAAATTGAGCTCTGAAGTTTATTAAAATATTTTGAATGGCAGAAGAGTGACAAAGCTAACACAAGAAAAAAGCTATCAACAAAGGGGCCAACCAAGAGAAGGCGAAAGAAATGAGAACTCAATGTGTAGTTTTCACCGTTGCGTGGAGCAAATTTTCCCACTACTACCAATTGCCTTAGGGTGCGTAGTCAGTGTAGTCTGGTACATGCTCTCCAGATGGCACCTTTTGAACCCTGTAATCCTTCCCCTTCTGTTTGATAGTTTCCTCTTTCTCCATCCCATTTGAATTGTTCAATATTGCTCTCCTCTTCCTACAATGTCAGATCATTTGATTTAGTTTTTTCTTTCTCTCTTTCTATTGAGCATATTCACGTAGCCAACTTCACAGTTGCCATGTAAATTGTAAAAATTATTCAGATGATATATCGATGTTAAATTGGCATTGTTTAATTGGTGAAAAGATGTAAGGAAGGATCGATCATATCTTTAAATTGTTAAAGAAATCTGGCTTAATAATATCAGTTGTTTAATGAGATTTGATTGCTACGAAGCGAAAAGGTGCGTTTTTAAGAGAGAAAGTGTGATTATAATTATTGATTGAAGAGTTAACAATTTCTATTGTGATAAAATAACAAACTAAGAAATTAAAATATCAATAATTGGTGTTTGAATTAACAGTTATAACTGTATTTTTCCTCTGAAGTGTATCCGTTTGGCATCATTTTAAGGATTAGTTTCTCTAAATAAAAAGTCTACTTTGATGGAAAAATTGAGGAATTACAATTGTAAATAAAATTTATGGTAAAATAGATGTGTGTATAACAAATGATGATTTTTTTAAAAATTATAAAAATTATTGATCTTTACTCTCTTTTTTTTGTATTCAAAATGAATAATCAAGTCATCAGTTGATGATTAATAAAAAATTTATGGAAAGTGAATGTTTCATTTTTAGGGTATAAAAAGTGAGATAAAAAGGAAAAAGAAAAGAAAAGTATGATGACAAAGAAAGTGAAATAAAAGGGAAAAAAATAAATAAAAAGAGGATGTAAAAGAGAAGTTAATATTTACAAAGATAACTTCTAAAGTTATTAGTAAAACATCACATTAATAATTGAGATTGTATATATTATATATTTTAATTTTTTATTTCATAAGATTATACATTTTTATTTTAATCCTTTATTCTAACAAAAGGCAAATAAAAAGAACTGAAATGAACAAAGTTTGATTACATTTAAAGTTAAGAAAAAAAGAAGAAGTAAATATTGGCTGTGTTATCCTTGCAGTTCCACCAGGGTGAAAGGAAAACACTCCAGGGCGAAACTCATAAGTTTTGGCGCCATACACCATACCTATTTAACCCCTTCATTTCTGAGTTCCCATTCTGAATCCGAAAATGCTCCTCCTTTCATTCCAATTCCTTCTCCCAATCTGAACCCTCATGTCTCTCATCCATCAATGGATTCCCATTCCCAATCTCAACAACAAACCCTAGACTCCACCCAGTTGTACCTCACCGCTGTCCAAACCCTCCAATCCCAGCCCTCTCCCGCACCCTCGCCCTTCCCCCCACTCCCTCCCTCCCTTCCCCACTCCAAACTCATCCCCAAAACCCGCTTCCTCGTCGACGCATTCCGCCATGCCGGCGACTACTCCCTCTCCTACTTCCTCTCCCACTTCCACTCCGACCACTATACCGGCCTCTCCTCCACCTGGTCTCGCGGCATCATCTTCTGTTCTCCCGTCACCGCTCGCCTCCTCCTCCAAATCCTCAACGTCCCTTCTCCCTTCGTCTTCCCTCTCCCTCTCCGTCAACCTCTCATAATCGACGGCTCCGATGTCACCCTCGTTGACGCCAATCACTGCCCCGGCGCTGTCCAATTCCTCTTCAAAGTTCCCCGCGCCGATGGAACCTTCCACAGGTACGTTCACACCGGCGATTTCAGGTTTTGTAAGTCCATGATTTTGGAACCCGCTCTTGCTCATTTTATTGGTGCTGATGCTGTGTTTTTGGACACTACCTATTGTAATCCTAAGTTTGTTTTCCCTTCGCAAGATGAGAGTGTTGATTATGTTGCCGGTGTTGTGGAGAGGGTTGAGCGTGAGTGTGATGGTAGGGTTTTGTTTCTTGTTGCTACTTATGTTGTTGGGAAGGAGAGGATTTTGCTCGAGCTTGCAAAGAGGTTTAAGCGGAAGATACATGTGGATGCTAGGAAAATGGAGGTTTTGAGGGTTCTTGGGTATGGGGAGAGCAGCGAGTTTACGGTGGATGGATTGGAGAGTAATATTCATGTTGTTGGGTGGAATGTGTTGGGGGAGACTTGGCCTTACTTTAGGCCTAATTTTGTGAGAATGAAGGAGATTATGACTGAGAGAGGGTACTCCAAGGTTGTGGGTTTTGTTCCCACTGGATGGACCTATGAAGTGAAGCGCAACAGATTTGCGGTTAAGTCGAAGGATTCATTACAGATTCATCTTGTGCCTTATAGTGAGCATTCGAATTATGATGAGCTCAGGGAGTATGTGAAATTTTTGAAACCGAAGCATGTTGTTCCGACCGTGGGTTTGGATGTTGAGAAAAGTGACAGTAAACATGCTATCAAAATGAGGAAGTATTTTGCGGGGTTGGTTGATGAGACGGCCAACAAGCAGGAGTTCTTGAGGGGTTTTCATGGTGGCTCTGGTGAAGTGGATTTCAAGGTTGAGAATGATGTTAGTGATGGTCTGAAACAGGAGCAATGCACAGAGAAAGAAGTCAAACCACCAGAAGCGGAAGGTGATAAAAGTATTAATCCAGAAGTTGCTGAGAGTTTGTCCTCATTTACGAGAGAAACTTGCATGCAAGATCACACTTTGCTGAATGATGAAGAAAAAGAGAAAATCATTCAAGAAATTAGTTGTTGTTTGCCCACATGGGTCACCCGAAACCAGGTGTTAGATCTTATCAGCATCTCAGGGAGCAATATCGTTGAAGCTGTTTCTAATTTCTATGAACGTGAAACTGAATTTCACGAGCAAGTGAATACCTTTCAAACTTCTGATTCAACAACCAAGTGCTGCTTATTAAATGACCCTGACTCGCTCTCAAAATCATGCCTTAATACAAACAACACTTACAAAAATGTTGACGTTTTTCCAAGTCAAGATTCTAAATTAAATAACTTGAGGCATACAGTACCGAGTCCCATTTCTCCTGCTAAAAGGAAGAGAAGTAGTGACAGTAAGCCAAACAAAAAAGTCAAAGTCAAAGTCAAAGCAAAATCTGAATCAAGTGGTTCAAAGCAGTCCACGATAACAAGTTTCTTCAGTAAAGCAATTCCTGACATGCCTGGTGGTACTCAATCTGATAATTTTGGACCCAAACTTGACCAAAGCTCTAAAGTTGAAGACTTGTTGCCAACTGATGTTGGAACAATGTACAAGAATGAGATTGATCAATTTATGCAAATAATAAATGGGGATGAATCATTAAAAAAATATGCCATTGCTGTAATTGAGAAGACCGAAGGAGATATCAATAAGGCACTGGACATGTATTACTCTAATTCTGATAAACTTTGTGAAAATGAAATACCAGTTCAAGTGGAGTGCGAAATTGATAGACCCGTAGTGAAGAAATGTGTGTCAGAGGAAGTGAGAGTTATACCTGATATTTGTGAGCAGAAAGTCTTTAAAGATAATGTAGATACTACTCATTTATCTCTACCCTGTGAGAAATACAACCCTAAAGAACATGGTTTGTGTTAATTTCTCCCCAAAATATGTTGGTTAAGAAGTTGAACTACTTACTGTATTTACTTTTTATATTTACTCTATTTTCACAATCTGTCTTGTAAAGTGTGTATTCAACTGGCATAAATGAGCAGCATGTTGGAGTGATGGACAGCCTGCACCATATTTACATCTTGCACGAACCTTCAACTTGCTTGAGGGTGAGAAAGGAAAGATAAAAGCTACTTCATTGTTATGCAATATGTTCAGAAGGTTCCTTTGATACTATTTACTCTCTTTGTTTTATCCATTCCACTCCCTCCTTTATATGGAAATAATAAAACCATTTTTCCTGTAATTGGCTGATTTAGGAACATTATCTGCATGCAATTTTTTCTTTTGCAGTTTGTTGGCCTTGTCTCCCGCAGATGTGCTTCCTGCTGTGTATCTGTGCACAAACAAAATTGCAGCAGACCATGAAAATACGGCAAGTTTATTTCTGGTCTTGACAATTTAGGGTTTCTGACAATTTAAAATCACCCTGCACTGCAGTCTGCAAAATTTTTCTTGTCCAGTGGAGGTGAAGAGGATTTCTTTGTTCTAATTTAAAATTTGCCAGTAAAATCCTGCGGCCAATTTAACAATCACTTTTCTTAGAATAGATAAAAGAAAAAACTTATCTGCAAACATACATTGCTGTTTCTGGTTGTTAAGTGAGTATGGGAGTCTATCATATGGCAATTAGAGTTCTTAACTTTTTATGCATTAAGAAAGTTCCTTGTGTTATGCTACTATTAATGCAGGAACTAAATATTGGTGGAAGTTTAGTCACTGCAGCACTTGAAGAGGCATGTGGAACAAATCGATTGAAAATAAGGGAGATTTATAACAAATTTGGTGATCTTGGTGGGATCATTGTTCTCATAATTTTTGACTGTTTTACTAAAGCTATTCAATCTATGAGGATTTTGAATAACTATGGAATAACCTGTGATAATTAAAGGTGATGTTGCTCAAGAGTGTCGTCAAACACAGAGGTTGCTTGCACCACCTACACCACTTCTAATTAACGATGTTTTCTCTGCATTACAAAAGATAAGGTAATAACTTAACAACCATTCTGTTTCTCATTGTAGCTTATAACCTTACTAGGGATGTAATTTCCTGTTCAATAGTCAGCTCTTCAAAAATGTTTAATTTGGAGTTGTTACTAGACTTAGGTTCATGTTGTTATGGTGAACCCTATATGTGGAAACTTGTCATTTGCTTTGAATAATAATTTAAAAGATTATTCAAATGTCTCTATTTGAAATTTAGTTATTTTATTTTTTATTTTATTTTTCTCCCCATGCTCATATGTAATGTTCATCAGTATTCAGTGTACAAACAGGCAATGGAAGCACAATTCGGAAGAAAGGCATAATTGTTCATCTCATGCGTTCCTGTCGTGAGAAGGAGATAAAGTTTCTTGTTCGGACCTTGGTAAATATCTGATTTTTTCCCTTTTTTTGTGCATAGAAATTTGTTGGTGATGGTGGGGAGTTGACCCATTTCAAGGTCAATTCATGCCATAAGGCTTCATAAGGGTTCACATTTCTTGTTAGGTATTTATCTTGTATTTTAGATAAAATTTATCAAGTTACAATCGGGTATGTGGAAAGAAGACTCTAAGGAATTTGGATTTGTCTGATCTCAAAACAGATGAGCATTTCATGATTTTTAGCTACAATGCTGATGTCACATGTTTGTTTTTGTGATCACAATAATGAGATAGAAAGGGGATGTTCTCAGATTAAAAACAATTTAGGGAGACTACGAAGTCATACTTCTATTATACACTTCTTTCATTATATGTGGTTCATTTAGTTCATCAATAGCCATATCTGACTATATTGTGCGGTCTTTTCTCTCTACACATTGAGTTTCAAGATTTACTGTTCTTAATGTATGTATATAATAATGGGGGCTGGTAGTGTGCTGCTCAAATGCATTTAATAGATTTTTATCATTATATGTTAGTGTCCTTGTTTTCACTTTGGCTTCTTGTGTAGGTCAGGAACCTAAGGATTGGGGCAATGCTTAGAACTGTTTTGCCTGCATTGGCTCATGCTGTTCTTATGAATTCTTGCCCTAGTTTGTTTGAAGAATGGACTGCAGAAAATCTGAAGGAGAAGCTTCAGGTCCATTCTGTGACCATATGCTTTTTAGCTATGACCAAGTTTATGTACTGATGTGCTATTTTACCACCCTGTCTGCTTATAATGGTTGATATTATTTTCTGTCACGACAATTATTTTTCATATGCTCATGCCCTTTTCTATGTAGAGAAGAGCTTTAATTTAATAGGATAATAGGTTTTGTTACTCTATGAAAAAGGCAATAATTTATATATAAGAGTACTGATTACGTTATTAGTGAATATGTGTAGAAAGAAGCATGAATAACATACATGCACATCATCAATCTAGTAATTTCTTGAAATCCCTGTTTTATCTAGCAAAGGAATACTATCAGATTAGAGGGGCAAAAATTGCAGGAACAGAGGATTGTAAATCCTCCTCAGATAAAGGAAAAGAAAATACAAGGTGATCAAATAGGAAGAACATCAGTTGTATAATGCGATTCCAGAGGAGACTGCCATTGCCATGACCATTAGCTTGACAAGCTGCATTCTTAGACACCCAATTAATGTCCCCAATCAATTTGAGTCCTGTGGGAAATTCAATGGCAGAAACTTCTTAAATATTCAAGCATTATGCTCTGAACAAGTAGCAGCATGAATAATGCACCTTTATGAGACCATTTATATTCTATATTCCTGCCTACACCTGTAAAACTAATAAAGATTCCCTCAAATTCAGAGGATAGACCTTGATTTATAAGAACAAAAAGATCTATTTTTGTGTAACTAGCTCTTAAACAACGAAAAACAATTGTACAGTAGTTTCCAAATTTTATGGAACTTCAATGAGTCAGTGATTATATATTTGGTTTCAATTCTTAGCATTCTTTATTCCTTTTTCCTTTTGATTTATCTATCTTTTTTGTTGGCTCAAATGTGGAAGGTTTACCCTTCAATTTTTTAAAGTCTTCTGACTTATAACCATTTTCCAAAATAAGCTCTTGGATTTATTCTTTTGGCTGCAATGCTTAATTGGAATAACATTGATAGTTTGTTACATCCACGAGTTTTATGATGCTGGTTTTATGCACCAATAATGTTCTAAAAGAAATAGCCTTTTATATCTATCTATTGGTAATTATTTTTCCTCATCTTTGCAGGTCCTTTCTATGGCAGTTGTTGAAGCATACAACATACTTCCAAATTTGGTAAGCATTGAATATTTGAATTGTTAGTCTTGCCTGCATCTTTGTGATTGAAATCCTGCATTATGCATTTGTTAGGTTCTTGTCTACTATCTACATTGCTCTCTCACATAGTATAGTAGGAGATAGCAAGGCATGTGGTAAATGTTTCTTCATTTCTGAATGGCTGTTGCTGGAAGTGAGAAAGTATAAATGTTATAGGTGTACTTCAGCAGCATTGATTAATATGAGACACTCACTAGTTTGGGTAGATGACTATTATCAGTAATTTCTGTTGCAGTTTGTGTGAATATTGAATAACTTTTTTTTTTTATGTTAAATTGTTCTGACTTTCTCTTGTTATGTTTGTTCGTTTTGATGCTAACTTGTGAAGGATAATCTTCATAATTTTGACCCTATAACGCAGTCTCTTGACGCAAAAAATTTTCATTGTCATACTGTATGCAGGATCTCTTAGTCCCATCCCTCATGAACAAAGGCATTCATTTTTCAGTTTCAAGTTTATCAATGGTTCCAGGAATCCCTATTAAGCCTATGCTTGCAAAGTATATATTATTCCTTATATCATCCGTTTTTTAGTAGTTGATGATTAAATTTCAAGTTTGTAGAACATTTTTCTTTAACTTCAGGAGTCCTCACATTCTTTGTTAACAACCCCTGGTTTCTTTTCTTCTTTTGTATTTTCCTTTCTTCATAGGATCACCAATGGTATTCCCCAAGCATTGAAGCTATTTCAAAATAAAGCATTTACATGTGAATATAAGTATGCCCTATTCTTTAATCATCTATTTTCCTTTTATCTTCATGCTCTTCAAATCTCTCTTGACATCTCAATGCCTGCTACAGTGGACATGGAGTAGCAGGTAGTCATTTTAAAATCTTGGTTGGATATGTAATATTAATAGGTGATATGAAGTTTTGATCACAGCCGGTTAGTTTTTGTTAAAGTAATGCTAGTCTTAATTTAGTAATTTATCTACACTTCTAATTGCCTCAAATTTGAATGTAATAAAAGCTATATTGAGCATCTAGTTTGATGAATTGTGTACAGTTGTAGTGCATGTCTTCTCAGTCAGGTTTATATAAACTTCTTATGAAAACACATGCTATTAAGCTTCCTAGACTGATATTTTGCCTAAAAATTCCATGAGATGACTAAATTAGAAAAAAAAAACAATAATTGAAGAAAACATTTGTTTTGAAAGTAGAAACTATCTAAATTAAGGAAATATTTTAGTTTAAGAATTTGTGATATAGTTGTAGCTCAATCTGGCATATTTGATGATATAGTGAAAACTTATGTTAGTTAATAACTATGGTTATACTCATAGTGCAGTGATTACATGCATTGCAGTACAAAAATGAAGTTTTAAGAAATGTCAAAATTCAAATTGCTTCATTTCCGGACTGTAACATTTCAATTTCAGTTTTGTGTGAAACTCTTTCTAACTCTGAATTTCTTATTAGAACATTTTCTTGGATAGATTCAAAATTTTGATCTTGTTTTTATTCCATTAATAATATTTTTCAGTTTGGTGATTCTATTGAGTATTGAGATTCTCTTTGGCATTCCTTGTCTTTCTTGTACAAGGATGAATTGCATTTCTCTTTTACATCAATTGAATTGAGTTTAATGTAATTCCAGGTATGATGGTCAGCGGGCTCAAATTCACAAATTAGTTGATGGATCAATTCGTGTTTATTCAAGAAATGGGGATGAATCAACTTCAAGATTTCCTGATCTGATTGACATAATTAAGGAATCCTCCAAGCCTGTTGCATCAACTTTCATAATGGATGCAGAAGTACATAAACTTTTCATGCCACAAAATTCTTTATATTTGTATTTGTTAAATAAGCTCCTGTTATTCTCTCCTAATTTGTTGGTTCTTGTACCTTTCAGATTGTTGGTATTGACAGAAAAAATGGATATAGGATTATGTCTTTCCAGGAGCTATCTTCACGCCGGAGAGGTGGCAAAGATACGTTAATTACTACAAAGAGCATCAAGGTTGGACATTTGCATGCTTAAAATGAACTGAAAACTAATTATGCCTAAACCATAAAGCCATTAATTGAAAATTACCAAGCATAATTATATTCTAAAGTTGTTATGCTGGAGACTTTTTAGTTTGATTGAAGGTTTCTGGATAAAGTTGGCAATAATATGTCATTTTTTCTTTTAGATAAAAGAAGAAATATAATAAGGCAAAAAATAAAAAATACAAAGGGAAAGGGAGTATTAACCTAAGCAAACACAATAAAAACCAAGCCTTATCTCAGTTGGTGAGGTTGGCTAAACCTCCTAAGCAAATGAACAAAACAAAAGAAAACCAAGAAAATCAATGAGACAAAGCTTCCCAATGACTTGTCAGTCAATGAAATCCAAAGGTCATGTGCTTTACCCCAAAGAGATGCCAAACTCAGTTGTTATTTAAATTTAGGTTTTAATTAACTTAGATCAAAACCAATCTTTTAATGATCATAGGAATGTTTAATGAATTTCGCTGTTCTAATGGCTTATTTATTTGAAGGTTTTAGTATGTGAAAACATTTTTTGAATTATCAAGAACATAGAAATTTGAGACAGGTTGGAGAGCTCTGTTGAGCTAATATTTTTTTTTTACCCTATTTTTCTTCTCTAGGGAATTTCTTTGTGGTTTAGTTCCTTTGTATTTGTTGCTGTTGTAGTATTTCTTATCTTTCTTTATACTTCTCTATATCTCTTCTTCAACTCTGTTTGCAGTTGAACTCTGAATTTGTTCCCGATATCTTTTGTCAATGCAGGTGGATATTTGCATCTTTGTCTTTGACATCATGTTCGCAAATGGAGAACAGTAATGATTTCAAACCTGCTTTTACTCAAGTTTTTTTTTTTTTTTTTTTAATAATTGTGAATTTGGTTAAAATTCTCATGAAGTACATGTAAATGATTCTGTTAGCAAGTGATCTCTTGAATGCATAAGACAGGATAGTATATTGATAATAGAGGAGTATAGGTGGATAGTGTACAAGATGATGAAATTAATGCCATCTTGTGCATGAATGATAAAAACCATGTAGGGTAAAATTGTGACATTTTCTTTACTTATATATCACAATGGTGCTATTAATCAATGATGATCAAGCATATGGATCTCAAGTTAGAAGAAAAGTAGGTCTGCGTAGGCAGTGTTGATTTGTTTTAGAATATATAAGACACTCAGATTATCCTTAAGCAGTTGTTATTTTTTTCAATTACAGTCTGTACTGACCCATTCAAGTACTGCTTGCAGGTTATTGGGTTTTCCTCTCCGCCTTAGACGGAAGTGTATGCCTCTAGTCATCTTAGATTGTGAATCTTCTGCATTTTCTGGCTATAAAAAAATTTACTGTTACTTGAAATTACACTTTCATTTTAATCCCTTTGTATGTCTTGGAAATTGCACAGACCTGAAGGATTTGTTCTATGATGAGAAACCTGGGTATTTTGAATATGCAAAGGAAACAACAGTAAGTGCTTTAGTTTATGATTATCATTTTCTAGTGAAATCTATTTAATGTAGTTATATATATAAATACTTAAATGTAGATTGAAGCCGATGATGCTTGCATAACCTGTGAAGCCACATTAGCTAAGGTAAATGCTTTCTTGGAAGATGCATTTCACTCTTCATGTGAAGGAATTATGGTGAAATCATTGGATGTTGATGCTGGGTATTCTCCATCAAAGCGTTCTGATAAATGGTTAAAGGTTAGTACTTGTTCTACAAGACTTTTGTCACTTTGTTTGAGACACTCAAAAGCAGTTTTTAAATGTTTATAATGTTCCAACTCCAAGGACTCATTTTGAAGGTTAAGCGAGATTATGTGGAAGGATTAAATGATACTCTTGATTTAGTACCAATTGGTGCTTGGCATGGAAATGGAAGGAAAGCTGGATGGTAATTATTACCTCTCACATCTTTTCTGTCTATTCAAATCATTTAAGATGTTGCAATTGAACTTGCATTGACTTAGAAGTATTTTATCTCACATTTTTACTACATTAGTTTTGTCAAGGATCAACTCTCCTAACTAAATGCTTATGTTAGGTGGAGGCCAAAGAATGGTTTTGTATCCCTATCAATTCCATGTCATGCAAGGCACCAATTGTGAAAGAAAGAAATCTATTTGAAGAATTGTGTCTATATAAAAAGTTTCTTCCAACCAATTAAAATTGTTGTGTGTGGCTTGTATTTAGTTCTGGGCTTGATCAAATGTGTGATTGACCCAACAAACCAGCATTGTGACCTAACAAGGAATTTGCATTGGAGATTGGGTGGTAGATGTAGAAGTGAAGGGGCTGGGTGAATAGGAACTTGTAATTTAGTAGTTAGGGTAAAGAACCTTAACAGTAAACATATATTTGGTGCATTGGAGATAGGGTTTGAGTGTTGAGCAGTTACTTTCTGTGACCTGACTGTCATTGATCATAAGAAATTATTCTTTATTTCATTGTGCATGCTCTGAATTTATAAATTTTAATTGTAACCTGGTCTGAATGATAATTTGAAATGAAGATAGTGCATAAAAGTCAAAAGATGGACAGTAATTTGTTTTTGTGTTGAAAATTAAGGCAAATGATGGTCAAGTTCTGAAAGAGGCAGTTATAATTCTATATTAGGAAGTTATTAAGCAGTTATAGGTCAAAATGCAACAATTATAGTGGTGTATAAGTTTGTATTACAGACTTGTAAAAGACAATTAAGATGTTAGATTGTTATTTCTTGTGTTTTGAAGGAGGAAACTCCTTGTTAGGGGAAAAACTTGTGTTTGGACTCAAATCTAGCCTAAAAACCAGATGATTTCTGTCATTTATTTAGAATTCAGTGTTTATTTCTTGAATTCAATAGTGAAACATCTGTGCTATGTGTCATCTCAAACAAACGGTAGTTGTATCTAACTAAACGAAAATATAGAGGGATAACACTGATAACTATGATGCGTTAGCATGTATAATTCCCCAAAAATCTAAGCAACACTTTAGCTTGCAAAAGTTACTGATAGAGATTATAGGCAATGCTCTATTATTGTGATCAAAATTTGCAAGTCAAGTGACATCATGAAGTTTTATTATCTTGCATCAGTGGTTGATGCACTTTATATGATCACTAAAGAAGTTAACGTACGACAAGACAAATGGAAAAGGAAGTGGCTGAAAAGGGAATATGCATTTTTCTGTGGTGTCAGTCAATGGTCTTTTTTGGATAAGTGAGTTACTGCACTGTTTGTTTATCTGGATCTTTTACTGTTACAGGTATAGTCCATTTCTTATGGCATGTTTCAATCCTGAAACTGAGGAGTATCAAAGTGTATGTCGTGTGATGTCTGGATTCTCAGATTCATTTTACATAGAGGTATGAATAGTTTCGACTTTTCGTTAAAATATTCTTGGCTATGCCTGTTAACTCTTTCCTCTTTAGTTGAAGGATGTCATTGTAATAATTTTTTCCCCTAGTCCTGTCTTGGAAACGTGAACACAGAATCAATGCCAAATCTATGTCAGTTTTGCTTACATAGATTATAATAGATAATTAACCATTTTATGATGACTTCACAAATTAGTAGTCATTGGTCATTCATATTTAGGAAATTAGAGCACTCAAGGACACCAAACAACATTTTGGACCATGAAGAATGCCAAAGCAATTTTTTTGGGGTGGAGTAGACAATGTGTTGCTACTTGAAGAGAATATTTAAAATCAAATAAGTACTTTGTATAGCAGAGTAATCATCTTTTGGTGCCCTTCGTGGTGCAATACACTTTGTGGGAGCAATGTTGAGGGAAGTAGCTCGTTTTATGTCAGCTTGATTAAAGTTTTGCAGTTCAGAGTGAGTTAAAAATTGTATGATTATGTTAAAAACTTGTTAAAATAATTTGATCTATAAAGGCCTTCTATAGATTTACCAGCTATTTGCTATGGCCTACTTGCTGCATTTAGCATACGTGGGCTAGAAGGGAGGGGGTGGGGGACACAAGACTAAACTGCTCTTCAGTCTTATAACTAATCAGGTTATCATAACATTGTGAAAATGTTACATTAAATGATGTTGTACAAAGTGCTTATTTCTGCTTTCTTTTCCTTTTTGAAGTTCTTAACTTGGTGGCAACATTCTTTTATCATCACTGACGGGAAATTGATATTGTGCTGCAGATGAAAGAATTCTTCTCTGGGGACAAAGTCTTGTCCAAAAAGCCACCATATTATCATACAGGAGAGGCACCAGACATGTGGTTTGGTCCACAACTCGTTTGGGAAATAAGGGGAGCAGACTTTACAGTATCTCCAGTTCATCATGCTGCCATTGGTTTAGTTCATCCGTCTCGTGGTATCTCAATCAGATTTCCAAGATTTATTCGCTGTGTCTCAGACAGAAACCCAGAAGAATGTAGCACGGCTGCTGATATAGTTGAAATGTTTCATTCCCAGACTAGGAAGATGGATGTCCCTGCAGCTGAAGATTGAATATTGATTTGTTTTACGGTAATGATTTCTAGGTATCGGCTTACTGAAGATTTTGATGGTTTATATGTACAGTGTAGAAGTTATTAACGAAAAATCTATTGGCTTGTAGGCCTCATACAAATGTAGCTTTATGACATGGCACTTATTCTTCCCATATATAGCTTTAATATTAATACGTTGATTAATCTACTTGCCAAGCCTTATCACAAATGGCGACCACTTTAGTCTTTACTGTTGTTTGTCCTGCTGGTCCACATGGAAAAGGAGGTGCAAATGTTATTTTTGAGTGCAGATGGATCATTGCAATTCCTGAGTGCAGTAATTCCTAGGAATGCTACCATTCCTACGAAGAATGAACAATGTTACAGTTGAAGATAACCGATCAAAAGTCCTGATTGAGGCTTTTGAGGATGAAAGGTATCTTCCGGTTCCTTTCTGCTCCTCGCTGCCATATCATAGATGCCGGTGGTATCATGAACAGCTGCTGAGAACAAGGATCTTGTGATAAAGAATGGTTTGGGCATCAAGTTCCGAGTCATGATAATATTAAAATACTAATACTATGCTATTATTGGGGCTTGTTTCTTTTTGTATTTGTTAGTGTTTTCAAATGACAGGACTATGCGGATCATGGGTCTCTTTTGTGAGAAATCATTTTGTTCGAGGTAAGTTGATGATGTATTAGGGTTAGTTACCTTTTATGAACTTCTTTTGCATGTATAAAATTCAAACCTGAGTTTGTTTGATCTTTCAATATCAATATTTTTATGATTTTTTTGCATTTATTAAGTTGATTACAGTTCTATTTGTTTCCGCATTTTCTATCTCCGTTGATAGAAGGCAAACATTTTTTTTCTTTTAAAAAAATCACGTTAGTGTCTCGTAAATCACACCAAGAGTTTAAGAGGTACAAAATATTATACTAAATAGATTCTATATTTACTTCTATTATGAGAAACTAACCCTTGAGGAATGGGTAAAATAATGCCAAAACACTCAAATTAAATACTTAAATTTAGTTTCATAAAAATAGGAATTAGTAACAAAAAATCTGTTTAAGATCTAATCCAAACTTAATTTTAAAGGTATAACAACAAAGCATCCTCAGTTTCATAATGTCAAATCCTATACAATCTCAATTAATCAAAGATCATTGCATCCAAGGTTTATTAAAATTTTTCTTTCAAGCGGCGATTGTTCCATGACAAAAATGTTTCGTTCCTATTTACGTTACAGTTCAAGCTAGTATAACATCAAATCACAATTGCAAAATGTTACTGAAACAAATTATGTAAAAAAAATGACACGGTATGTTACCTGTAAAAAAATTAGATAATTTACACCACTTATAGGTTTAAATTTTATTATTACATTATAGAAAAATATTATATTATAAAAATAAAAATAAAATGACTCAAACTAGAAGGTGCAATTGATAAGTGAGTTTTAATGAATTATAAGAAAAGTTAAAAACTGTAGTTGTAAAAGAAAAAGTGGAAAAGAGGGAAGAAAGTACAGATGGACACGCTTTGCAATCATGTGAGATTGGATTCGATGAGGAATAAGAGAAGACCCAGACCCGATAACCCGTACCCGAAGATTACGTGACAAAACAAACAATGGAGGCTATGTTGTGTGTAATGTGTAGTAGTAGTAAGAGGTGAGCACGAACAAACCAAATCATTATTTAATAGAAAGAGATTACACTCTCTCACACACAATTCCAAACCAACCTTACCACTCTCTCTCTCCCTCTCCCTCTCCCTCTCCGATGGCCGGAATTCGCCTGCAGCCAGAGGACTCCGACGTCTCCCAACAATCGCGAGCGGTCGCTCTCTCCGCCTCCGATCTGGTCTCCGACGATGACCGCTCCATCGCGGCCGACTCCTGGTCCATCAAGAGCGAATACGGCAGCACTCTCGACGACGACCAGCGCCATGCCGACGCCGCCGAAGCTCTCTCCAACGCCAACCTCCGAGCCCCCTCCGATTACAGGTTCTGTTTCTCTCTCCCTCTCTCTTTCTATCTCAGACACGCGCACGCGCCTTGCTATCCGTCTATTAACCTTGCTGTGCACTTCGAACGAGTAAAGCTAACGAATACGAGAGTGTGTCGAGTGAATTGAAATTTGTGTTTTGTGAATTGCTGCTTTGTGAAGCATACTGGAGTTGATTTCTGATTCGTTGATTGCATTTTCACTCGCTCGGTTTTTCTTATGCTAAGTGATTGCAGGTTCGCAAATGTGCATAGAGTGAAAGTGAAAGTCGTTGTTTAGGTCCAAGCCAAATGCCTAGGTTTGGGTTTTAATGTTAGGAGAAAGGGGAGGAAGTGAGGTGAAGTAGAATGTTAAGATCTGGAATGTTAGGTGGGTGACATTTCCAAATTTTATGGCAGTGCAGGTTGTTTATATTTGATGTTGGCTGGGTGATCTATGGATCTGATCTGAATCCTAGCTATGTGGATTTTGGAATTTTCTTTGATGATTTACAGTCGGGAACGGGTGTTTGTATGATTGGGAAATGAGTTAAATGAACGAATGACGCCGTTCTGGTCCTGCTGTATTTACCAATGCTGACTGTTAATTCTTTGTTCATTCTTGTGTGTACAGTTCTGACAAGGACGAACCTGATTCTGAAGCAGTTACATCAATGCTGGGATTTCAGAGTTATTGGGATGCTACATATACAGATGAGCTTACAAATTTTCGTGAACACGGTCATGCTGGTGAAGTTTGGTAAGTAAAATTTTGTTTGCATAATGTGCTTCATTGATCTACTTGACTTTGATGTGGAGATTAACTGTGATTCTATGTGGTAAAGAATTATACTTCTTTCAATCTATTTTTGGATCATCAATTGTTTACATGTATTCTGTTTTATTCTACGGAAAAGGTGTAATCAACTACTAATTGTGCTTGGGAAAACATATGAAAATTCAAAACTTCTATAATCTTCAGTCACCAGGCGCAATTACTGACCAAAAACCATACCTGATGATGGGTAATAATTAAGTTTCTCAGGCATTTCTAAGCAAAAAGTATTAATTTCTTTTTATGATTTGATCATTTTACATTGGCAAATGTTTGGATGAAACTTCTTACTTCTAAACATTTGGGCTTCGTGCTTGATGAATTCATTTAACATCAGCATTTCTTCATTGCTTATTTTGTTTTCCAAGCATGCTATAATCTGTTCTTACCTTGCTAGCAGAATTACACTTACCTTCGATTAGAGTACAATGCATTCTAATTTTCTGTCTCAATAGATAAAGCAAACTCATTTATTCAGCATAATGTTAAAAAAGGGATTATATAAAACTTCAAAATCTAAATTTGGCTGTCTTACTTTGCTTAGTATGTGTTTGGGTGAGTGTTTGCAAACATTATATTGAATGTACATGATCTTGCAAATAATTGTTTTTGGTTAAAAGTGAGTTTGAAATGAAGTGATTTATGATTGGAAAATGGAAACTTTTATCTCCACCGTGCACAACAGGTACATTTTTTTTTCTTTAGTGGAAGAAAATCATGTTTGGTTAAAAACAACCAATTTTTTCTCTAAAAAGTCACGTTTGGGAGCCACAAATATGAAATGAACTGGAGTCTCCCATGCCAATCCAATCACAGCATTAGACCAGAAACATTTTTGACAGTTTTGATCATTGTAACATCATCTAAACATACCTTTAATATCCATTAAATCAATACTAACAGATTGGGGAAAGAAAGTATGAACTTATGGCTCACATTAAGATTTGTGAGTTTTACTCATCATTTTGATTCGTGTTAGGAGCCAATCTCTGTGTCACATTTTTATGGGAAAAGCCCTGTGATAAGAATAATTTTCCCTTGTTAGAACTGACAGATGAACATTTTATTGTAGAAACTTTTGTAAGATAAGAAAATGATTTTGAAATCTTATCTTATATCAATTTATAATTTTATACCTTGAGTTTCTCTGCTTCCCCTGAATATGAGTAAGAAATTTGTTTGTCGGGATCAATACTTCATATTTTCCCTTCTAGCCTTTAATTCAGAGGTTCTATTCTTGTGCTTCTTTTTAGTGAAGGACAGTAGCTTCTTTTTGCCTTTTATTGATTATGGTATTTATTTGCACTTATCTACTTGTAGACAATGATGAATGCTGTAGACACTATAGACAATAGTTGGGAGTGACACATTCTTTGGGTTTTTATAGCAAAGGGTTTAATTTTCTTTTCTTTTTGCTTTTATTTTCCATATGTTTAGGTTTGGAGTTGATGTGATGGAAGTAGTTGCATCTTGGACCAAAGCCTTGTGCATTGACATTTCTCAAGGTCGCATACCAAATCATGTTGATGATGTTAAAACTGAAGGTGGTGAACTAGGTGACAAACTTTTGTCTAGTTGGAGTGTACTAGACATTGGGACTGGCAATGGTTTGCTTCTCCAAGAATTAGCTAAACAAGGGTATGGTCTTACCTTTTGTCCTTATTTTTCTACTAATAAATGGTATGTCAATATAAATAGGAATTTATATTTCTAAATAACTAGAATCAATTGTCTTTCTTCCCTTTTCTAAATTTCTTCTACCCTCTTAACTACACAAAAATGTATTGGTGTCCCTTTCTATTTGTTGGAAAACTGAAAGGCTAGGCTTACTTAGCTTGTACCAAATAATGTGTTGACATAAGTACACATGAATGATATTTCAGTGTGGCAAACGTAATAAATGATAAAAATCAAGTATTTCATAAAATATATGGAAACTTCAATTAAATACTTGAATCAAATCAAACAATATAAATATAAGCTCATGGTCATGCATGCCAGTGAAGTTGAAGATGAGAATTTTCTATATAAAAGTCATTAAATAAAATCTTATACATAGTTCATGTATGTATGTATAAAATCTTATTTCTCGCAAAAGAAGGAATATTGGCAGTGAAAAAGAGATATTTCCATTTATTTATGGTGTATTACTGCAAATACATTAAGCAAACTCTTGGAATCTTTTCAGGTTTTCTGCTTTAACTGGTACTGATTACAGTGAAAGAGCCATTAGCCTTGCCCAAAGCCTTGCTAATCGTGATGGATTTTCCAACATCAAGTTTTTGGTATGTTGAAGTTATCTTGTTTTTGTGTGTGAATGAGCATGTGCATGTCCAATGCATAATTTTGTTTAACTCTTTCCTTCTTGTGTATCCCCCCCGAAGGTGATAGGTTATTCTAGTGCGTGACACTATTTAGTTAGCATGCTAAACATACTTTTGCACTGTTGATACGTAATAATCATCAGAGAATTTTTGTAAATCTGTCGCTACACAATTTTTTCTTAGGTAGTAAATCTGATGCAACACAACCAGGAACCTAACAGTTGATTGCTTAGTGTTTTTTTTTATTATTATTAATAATTTGTTGTATTTGACAAATTGCATTGAGTTTTGACCTTTAAGTTGTTTCTAGACATCGCTATTTTGTGCACATGAATTTCTATCTTTGCATTCTTGTCATGTCCAATGCATAATACATTGGCTTTAATTGTTTTAAGGTTGATGATGTCCTTGAGACAAAGTTGGAACAAGAGTTTCAACTTGTCATGGATAAAGGGACGCTAGATGCTATTGGATTGCATCCTGATGGTCCTGTGAAGAGGTAAGAGAATATATTGTCTTATCCGTGGCTCTATCTTAGTTTTATTGGAATGATGCTATTTTTCTTTATAAACATATGTTTCACATTTCTTTTGCACTTAAGTGATTTGTTCTCCATAAAAACGTCTGCTTGCATTGTACTGAGGAATTGTGTTGTTGCATTTTTATCTTCAGAATGATGTATTGGGATTCTGTTTCGAGGCTGGTTGCTCCTGGTGGAATACTAGTAAGCACTTTAAAATTTATTCAAAGCTGATTTAGAATATAGGCCCATGTTTTAATTTACTACCAAGTTCTAGGGACCCTGTTAGTCGTGGCATGAACTGCCTATTACAAAGTGGGAGTCCTCCTATTCATGACTGAAGAATTCATTATTATTATTATTATTATTATTATTACTATTACTATTTGATATAATTTCTTCTGTTAATTATTACTTGTGCTCATGGTATAGTTGCAGCAGCTCTTCTACTTTATAATGATTCCCCTTTTGGACTTTTTCCTTGCTTGTTGTTGTAAGGTGATCACGTCATGTAACAGCACAAAGGATGAATTGGTACAAGAAGTGGAAAGTTTCAACCAAAGAAAAATTGCTACTGCCCAGGAACTCGATGAAGCTAAGGATGAAGAATCGATGCAGCCCCTATTTCGTTATGTAAGTCATGTCCGCACGTATCCGTCATTCATGTTTGGTGGATCCGTTGGCTCGCGTGTTGCCACCGTGGCATTCCTTAGGAAATGAAAACACCTTTTATTTTCTCTCTCTTGATTTTAGGTCATTGGTCAACTGGGTTTGATGTTGTGCGTGCGTGCGTATAGGTAGATGCATGTTCCTACTTATATTCGTGTCGAACCGTAAATATTTTATAAGATTTATGTGGAGTGAAGTTTCCTCCTTTCTTTTGGATGAATAGTGTAATCATTTGTAGTTTAGGGAGAAATACAGCTAGCAGTTCAGCGTGCCGAAGAGCTTTATTTTTTGTGACTCTTATTACAATAGAGTTTATGAACAAGATGGAATTTTATCCTTTTACCATGTTAGACCATACTTTCGCTTTCCTAGCAGGACTTATCTAACAAGGATTCCTATTTCTTCCCACTCCCATACACGCATTGCACATGTTATTTTATATATTTAAAATTTTATTTAATTAGCTTTTAAATTTAATGCTTAAAGAATTTTTAAAAATATTTTAACTAAAAATTGATTCAAATATAAATTAAATGAATAAGAATACTCATAATCTTAGTTCTCATTTTTTGTATGTGGTCCTTTATTTTTGGTTTTTTAGTCTGTGTCTTTCATAAAACATTTTTATCTTGAATTTTTTTTAATGTGATTAAATTTAGTTTTGATTATTTTTTTTAATTTTTTTATAAAATTTAAACTCCTAGTAAATAGTTCATATCATTACTTAATAGAGATGTGGTTTGTATTTAAATCTGACATAAGTGACCATTCTAAAGTGGCATGTGAATGATATGTCTTATATCAAATTTAAATTCCTTAACACTTCATATGATTTTATTATACTTAATGTTGATTAAATAAAGTTTAGTATTGGTTGAAATAGTAAAAATGTTCTGTTTGATTAAATGACAAATTAAAAATTGATTAGTTTAATATAATTTTTTTATGACGTGTGCTAAAATGAGAGGAGATTTACAATTGCATTAGGAAGATAATAAATATAGAAATATAACATTTGATGAAAATGAATTAAGAGCACGACAAAAAAAAGTAAATATTAAATGTAAATCATAAGGACTCGATAAGTTTGAGAATTGCAATGTACGGATACCGACAAAAATATGATAAACAGATTGAAGGATAAAATAATTTATTATAAAAGGGTTTTTTTTTTATATTATTAAAGGAAATATCTTTATCATTGAGCACGTCTTTTAGTATATTTTTAGGACGTATGTATATATAAAAAATAATTTTAATATTTGTTAGTCTACAATTTTTTAAATAAAAGTATTAATATATGATATTAATATTGATAATATTGATGTGCCGAATAGGGATGACAATGGGTAAAGTACCCGATGGGCACCCGCAAAATTTATCCACAATGGGTAGGGTATTTACCCGCTATACGGGTACGGGTATGGGTGTGGGTAAAAACCCGCAAATTTTAATGGGGATGGGTGCGGGTATGGGTATCTAAGTACCCACCCCGCCCCATACCCGCATATATATATATATGCTTAAACTTTATTCTATAATTATGAATTGAATTTTTGTATTATTATATTACTTATGTGAAGTTATATAAGATTAATATAAAAATATATTTAATAATAAAGTAAACCAAAAAATTTATTTTGGTTTATATTTTTAATAAAAAAATTTATTTACTATTTTATATCATTTAATTAGGCTAACACAATTTAATTATTACATAGTTAATATGAGATTGACTTTTTTTAAAATATTATTTATATATGACACACATAAAATATTTTTTACACAAATATTTTTATTAATAAAATCATATTGATGATTAAATCATAAAGTGAATGATAAATAATAAATATATTATAAATTTTACAATCACCTACTATTACCGTAAACTTATTATTTATTAATAATATTTAAATTTTATTTTTATATTTTAATTTAAAATAATATTTTTTTATGCAACATATGTATTACAAGCACAACTATAATCTATTGAATCTAAATAATATTATTCTTACTATTTATTCACATTCAAAGAAGTTTTTAAAAAGATATAAATATAAAAAAATTATTGTTAATTTTTATTTGTTAATTTTTTTAAGATAAAAAAGTATAATTTTTTTTAATATACACGTATATTTCTTTATTATAAAATTTTATTGTAACTATTTATCTTTTATTCAATTTTTTTTAAAATTTATATATATTATAAATATTTAATTCACTAAAATAATTTTTTAAAAATTTATATTTTTGATAAAATACTTTCGTATAGTATATGAGTTAAAAAATACTAGTATTAATATATATATATATATATATATATATATATATATTATATTTATTATTTTAATTAAATCTATTATTTTTCTTACACTTTCAAATTCAAAAGTTAAAAAAAATATTTTATGTATCAACTTTCTATCGTTAGTATTGAACTTCTCTACTCTAACTCTATTCACATTCTCAATGTCTGTCTCACTAAAACTTAATAACTATAAAATGTTATTCATTAGAGTTAGTTTTTAATGCCGGTCATAAGAGGTTACTAAGTGATCCCACACGAAAGGACAACCATTGTACAGATCTATTTCGTTGTCGTTCTGACATTACCAATCAATCAAATCTCACACAAGATAGGATTATTACTGACAAATAACTTGTGTGTTTAGTTTTGCTTATTGTTTCTAAGAATTTTAGTCTAGAAAATTATTATATTAAGATACATTTAACATTTATGATCTTTGAATATTTGTTTTTTATCTATATTTGTACCTTGTTCAACAACTACATATTGAATTTTTGTATTATTATGCTACTTATGTGAAATTATATAAACATATTTTTCTTTATAAACATTTTTTTCTCAAACAAGCGCGGGTAATGGGTACAAGACGGGTATGCGGGTACCCAGAGGGTACGGGTACGGGGATTAATGTTCATACCCACGCGGGTATGGGTCCGGTTACGGGTATTTTTTTAAAACGCGGGTATGGGGATGGGTACTGTAGTACCCTACCCATACCCTACCCATTGCCATCCCTAGTGCCGAACAAGAAAATTACTATAAAATAACTTAAAATTGAAGGATAATATTTTAAATCTACTAAAACATAACTCCAAAATTAACGCGGTTCCGGGCGTGCACCAAAACGTTGTCCAATTTGTCTTTTTCAACAAATTATGGATTAAATAAAGTGATTGATTAAGTAAAGTGATTGGACAATGTTTTGAAAAGTAATAAAATCATAAAAATTTGATCCATCAAACTACTCTAAGGAGGCACCATTTTAATAGGAAAATTTTTTTAAATACAATTTTTTATTATTTTGATTTTAAAGTATATCATTAGAATACATGTACATAAAAATTATGTACATATTTTATACGAAATTGATTTTTATGTTTGAATAACATTAATTTTTACTGTTTAAAAATTGGTCAATCTTGTAATGGAGGTGGATTCTAAAATAAGTATTTTGATTTTTCAATTCCGTACACAAGGCACCAATTCTATGGTCTGCTTAAAAACATTGGTGAAATCCTCAAGACAATAAAGAATTTATAGGCCATTTAAAACAAACATTATTAATAAATTTAAGGCAACGTTATTTTTTAATGAATTTATTGGATATACTTTATTATAGAGAATGTTTAGAGATTTTAAATTCAACCCCTATTAACACAATTTTCATATTATCAAATAATTAAACATATTTGAATGACTTAATAATACATTACTAAAAATAGACAAAAGTTTTTTCCCACATTCAATCAAAATTAAATCTACTTTGAAAGAGTCAAGTTCTTTAGATGATCTTTGAGACAGTTAATCATATGGACAAATAATAATCATAGGTGTACGTCTTAATTGAATTTCCAAATTCTCATTAATCCCAGGTTGTCAAGTGTTGTTCCATCAAATCCAACACGAATGCCACTTTATGTATGCTGCAATATCTGCATTAAGACACTACTGTCACTTTTTTAAGCAAAGGGGCTTAAACTTCAAAGACAATAAAAAACAAGAAAAATATCAGAAAGAACATAAATTGTGTCATTATAGTCGTCTTCACCAATGCATTTGGGGATTCTTTTAGACAACTTAAATCCAATATCCAGCTATCAAGTGTCAAGTGTGACACTAACATCCATTTTGCATGGTTCTTAATTAACTGTCATTGTACAAATCATCATGTTGCTGTGACCAGCACTAGTTACCCAAAAATCATCTTCCCATACATAGATCCTATACGGCTATAAGTATTCACAAGATTAACTCTTATTTTTCTATCAACAAAAACAAGTAATTATTCATATTTACTAAACATTATTTTATTGAGGAAAACAATCATAGACTTCTGCCATGTGAAAAAAAATTAATTTGACTAATTTGCTGAAATTCATTTTTAAGTGTAGAAACTATGCCTAGCGTTTTGACATTTTCTCCTGCCTCCATTGCATGCCCAATTCCAAAACCAAATTTGAAAAAATAAAAAAGTTAAGATTAACAAACCTATACAAAACCAAAACTATAAATACCTTCCAAGAAAGGGTGGGAATATATTTATGATATATTATTGTGTTTAACGTCTTTCACAGACTGGGCAGAAACAAACCATTCTTAAAGTCAAATATCAAACAGTGGATGGAACTTCCTCAATCACGATAGGAATTATCATGTAAATCACTTAATTAGTCATGTCCTATATGTACATTATGAGTCATATCTCCTCTCATTAAGAACGATTATATAAAATTGCATTTCCTCACTTTTTGTTAGCATGATCTATGAGTTATTAAAAAGGAAAAAAAAATGGCTCCAAATTGTTGTTTGTACACAGCTAAAGGACCCCATGAGCCATTAAAGAAGAAAATAGCTCAAAATTGTCGTTTGTACATGGCTATTCACGTAAACTAAGGAACATACATTGCACCCAAGAGAACAAAAAACTGATTAGCTGGGTGCAAGTTTCAAACTTGGGCGTCTTTTTTCAAACTAGGTCCATAAAATTAATCTTATAACTTTTGTCTTTTGAACACTAGTTTCATACAATTTTGTTGGGATTAAGAAATGTATCATATGACGCATACAAACAATATATATGTACGCCACAATGTTAAGCATACAAATTAATATCTTTGACAGAAGACCGTATGGAGGTTATCTTTATTTCCAAAGGATGCTTAATAATAATAATAATAACTATAATTATGATGATGATATCTACGTTATTGACATTACTTAGGTTATCACTAATGAATAATATTATTTAGGGAACTAATTTTAATTTTTTAATTTCTATATATTTTAATTATTAAATATTATAAAATAATAAACATTTGTATTTAATGTTTATTTCATAAAATAAAAAAAGAAATTCTTATCGACGAAAAAGATATA